AGGTTGTGGCGTGCAGCGTACTAAGTTTTCCTACTGTGGTAATTTTGTTGTCGTCTGCTGATAATTCCATATAGTAAATGGAGCCCATGAAGCTTGCAACGAACAAGTAGGATTTGTGTAACGGGAGCGGTTTGATGTCGGCGTCTCTGAGCTACCGGTATAGCAGCGACACGTCGTCTGCGTATACGTACTCCAAAATAAGCTCCAGTCCGACGTAAGCTTCAAACCAGGAAGCGGTATTCACCAAGGACCTTGACGCCAGACCTCGAAAACCCGTTTAGCCTCTCGAGCACATGCATAAAATTGCTCTGTACTCGACAAAAGAGCTGTAAAAACATGCATATATGTATAATTCTGTCGTCAATACCCTCCGTTCCAGTTGTGCATTCGGACCACGTCGCCAATTCTCATTTCCAGGTGCCAGCGTCTGACGCTGCCACGTCATTGGCGCAACATCGAGCTGCGTCATCCCCGCGGGTCCGAGACGGTCGCCATACCAGCAACCCATATACATACGCAAGTACAAACGCACGGGCAATGCAACTAGCATTTCAATGAGCAAGCATCGATGATCCGACGCCGATCCATACGAATAAAAGAACATGGAGCCATTCGAATAAAAGAACAGACATCAATTAAAAGAGCACTCATTGACCGGTTCTTTTATGCAGGGAAGCGTTTTTATGCACGCACCACAAACTCGGAAGCATGCTGCGACGTCGGACGCTATGGACGTCCATGGGCGCTGCGTGGGTCCGCGCATCCAAGGGCGCGCTCCAGGAGCTCCTTGCCAAGGACCCGCCCACGCCGCCGCCGAGCGTCGTCGCGGCCAAGAAGGCGGCGCGGCTCCAGGACGCGCTCTGGAAGCCCGCACTCGAGTTTCCTGCGTCGGCGCTGGATCGCGACAAGCGGTCGCTGAGCCACTCGCTGCAGGTGCTCGAGCGCCTCACGCTGCGCACGCTAGCACACGTATTGCAGCCGACGCCATTGGCCGTGCTCGGGTCGTGCTGCACGCTCGTGCTTGGCATTGGCGGCCTTGAGGCCGCGTACCTCCTCGACGACACGTACTTGCAGGCGTATGGCCAGCGCGACAACTACGCGATTGCGTTCATCGTCGAGTACGCGTACGAGAACTTTGCGTCGAGCTGCATCTGGGACACCAAGCCAGCGGCGTTGATTGCGCAGGCGCTGGGTTTGAACCCACACGAGGTGTCATTCTGCCCGATCTTGCAACCAACTCGTGTGCTCATGGAGCCGTAGATCCTGCATGTGTTTACGGAATCGCCCGACGACGCGCAGCGCATGCTGACGATCCTCGGTCTTCGCACGAAACGCGCACTCGTGGCGGGCTTTATGCTCATCGCCCAGGTAGATGCGACCGTCCAATAAAATGCCATCGCTGCCGACGTATCCATGCCATGATGCCGTAGGGGCTCGGGATCATGGGTGGGGCCATGCGTGTCTCGCGCGACTACTCGAAGAACGTGTGCTCGGGCAAGGAGCCGCCGCTCCACGGCGTACAAGAGCGCATCATTCGCCTCACGGGCTCTGCAAGCGATGCGACCGAGGTGTCGATGGCCCGGTACGGCGCCCACATGCTGCCCGTCTTCAAGGACCCCCATAAGTACGTACTCGATGATGTTCAGTGTCTCGTCTAGAAAGGATGTGGCTAGGATGCGGTACCTCATCTCACTGTGGTCGCACGACGGTAAGATTCCGTGCGTCTGGCACGTGCCCGGTGGCAAGTACGGGTTTCGCCACTCGTGGACCGGCCTCCGGATTGACCGCCGCTACATGCTCAAGACGACGACGGGAAAGCTCATTCTGACCATGGAAGCCGACGTCACGCGCGCCGAAGAAGCCTTTCACCTCATGCCAAGCACGATACCGGATCTGAGCATTGAAGAGGCCTCGCAGGGCTTTCGCTTGATCGAGCGGGCGGCCGCGGCGCGCATCGAGCGCCCATTCCGATCGCTGCGCGTGATCCTCGGCGACTCGCTCCAAGTGGAGCAGCAGGTGCATCTGCGTGCGCGCTTGGAGGCCAAGAACGAGTGCGACGTCTTCATTGATGCCAAGGCCATCGTCATGCTCGCGTTGCTCAAGTGGGCCCAGAAACTGCCACGTACGACGCGTCACCAACAACTATAAGAACTGAGTGGCGAGAATGGGCGTAGAGGACGCGACCATTGTGATTGATTCGTCGCCCGAGCACTACGCGTACATGGCCCACCTCTTGGCGGCGAAAGGCCACGTGACGATGCCGCAGTCGGAAGCCGCGGCCATGACGCACGTCAAGACGGAAGCCTGGCCGCACCTCGTGTACCTCTCGTCGACGTCGGCAACGATCAATGCACTGCAGACGCTCATCCAGAGCAACCGCGCCGACCCGACGCAGTGCTGCGCGCTCCTCAACAAGTAAATTCTTGATGGTTTTGGAAAGGGGGATATGCGACCTGTGTCTAGTGCCTACGGTCTCGACCATTTGCGGGAAATCGCACTCTACGAAGACACGCGGATTGGCTCGATTTGCGCGGCCGAGCTCCATGACGACTACTTTCGCCAGGTAGGACCAATATTGTCTTGTGTATTGCGTACATAATCGTCTATCGACTAGGTGCGTATTTGGACGCGCATGGGGCACTCGGCCAGCACAATCCAAGACGAGCTCGACATGCGCTTTGCCGAAGTGCTCGCGATCAAGCAGTCGACGCTGGAGAGCGTGCCACGTCATCCTGTCTCGTCCACGGCACTGGGCATCGCGAGCAAAGAGCTTTAGTAATGTCGGTGGTCCGAACATTGGATGCATCCAGTTACCATGGTCAACCGTCCGGTAGCGCATGTAAAATCAAAGTACCCCCTGTTTGTGGAGGACCTAGGAGAAAAGGTAGCACAAAAAGTGACAGCTTATAGTAAGCGATGGTAGTGTGGTGGGAAGCCTGCTTCTTGTCAAAACAAGCTGCAGTCGCACCGGGAAGTGGATTTAAAATGTGCCGAGTCTGGCAGAAAAAATGAGCAGAGTCTGGCGGAAAAATGAGCAAAGGTGCCCGCAAGTACCCTTCCCCTTTCCTTGGGAGAGCCTTTCGCGGGCCCAGAGTGCCGGCGCGGGTTGAATTAGACAACGAGATTGCACTTTGTGCAAACCCGCCGTCGATTTAACCCTTAATCGGGACCGCCTTGCCGTTCATATGCGTTGCACGTGCATGACCCGCCGCGCCGTACTCGGTCCACAAGTCGTCCGTTCGTGCCCTCTGGCCGATCTTACGCGCTTGCGTCTGGTATTGGCTTTGGCTCGAACGCAACAACCGTGTCTTTCGCACGACGCTGACGCAACTTCCCCGCTCGCGATCCGGGCAGCTACGATCGCACGACTGCATGTCCGGCACTTGGCTCGTCGCGCTGTGGTGCCATCTCTTGACGCGTCGCTGGCCGCTCTCCGCGACGACCCTTGGTGTGCACGCTATCTTGTCCCTCGCACAATCTCGAATCACGACCACTAACGCTTCTCGCTGACGCACCGGCCACGCCTCACGATTGCATTAGGAAGTTCACCATATCTTTACAATTGCATATATTATAACTCGGTTCAACGACAACGTGCATGACCCGCTGCGTCACGTGACGCAGGTTGCAACAACATTGGTTCTCAACGTAACGTAGCGGTGTCGCTACATAGATCGAGGGGACTTGGATATCATTTCGACATGTTGATATATATGCATCCATGGTGGCGGTGACTGCATATCGCTTTGGGTCTTCTGCTTCTTCTCGCACGAGGTTCTGCGAGATCGAGACGAACGGCTGCAACGCTTCGCAACGTTGTGGTTCTCCGCCGCAACGTTTCGAATGGCGACATGCGATTGGCGGAAAAACGATCTTTGGTTTTAATATCCGCCAATGGCATCCGTCGTTGATTTGCAAGCGTCGGCGAGCCGGTCATTCTCGTCATGGCGACCTCCATGCACAGTGGGAAGGTGACGCCACGCAACGAGCCCTCGGGCTTTGATACGGTCGACCTCGGGCTACCACCAAGTACGCGCCAGTCGACCGACGCGACGGGCTCGGGCACGCTGCCGGCGCCACCAGCGCTCACGTCGCTCCTCATGGCGCCGTTCACATGGCTGCGCGCATCGTCGTCCAAGACACTCTCGGGCCGCGTCGCGCCAGACCGCCTCTCGAGCCGCAAGAGTATCGCGAGCCAGCACTCGTCGCAGCTGATGCGCTGGGACTTTGACGCAGGCCTCGAGACCAACCATTTGCGGCAGATGGACAACCTCCAGACCATCTTTGGCATTGTCGGAGCCTACGCGGCCCTCGACGTCTCGTTTGAATCGCTCAACCTCTTTATGAACGACGTCAAGCTCGGGTACGTCGAGGCGCCAGACCTGCCTTTCCACCGCTACTACCACAACTTTACGCACGCCATGGACGTGACGCAGACGCTTTTCGCGATGCTGCACTTTATCGAGCCACTGGACCCGATCCTCGGGCCGGTCGAGAAAGCGATCACGCTCATTGCCGCGCTCGGCCACGACATCCACCACCCCGGGGTCACCAACCACTACATTGTCGTCGCCAAGCACGCATATGCACTCGAGTACGGCGATGGGTCAGCGTCCGCGCTCGCAACCACCAGCGTCAAGGTCTGGGGCGTCCTTGAGCGCATGCATGCGGCCGAGACACGGCGGCTCGTGACCAAGCATCGGCTCTTGGGTCAGTTTCGCCCGACGACCCAAGTGCAGCTGGAGAAGCTCTTGATGGCGTGCATTCTCAACACGGACATGGCCCAACACGACGGCTTGCTCAAGCACATGCAGTCGCTGGTGACCGTCCGGCACAACCCGCTGAGCGCCGACGACACGCGCGTGCTCTGCTCGTTCTTCTTGCACTGCGCCGACTTGAGCAATGCAGCCAAGCCATGGAAGACCGCCGAGCGCTGGGCCTCACTCATCACCCAGTACTTTTTCTCTTGTTTTCTTTTTGTATCAATGTATCAATGTACCGAGTAGGGAATTTTTCGAGCAAGGCCAGGCCGAGAAGCGACGCGGTATGCCGGTCTCGCCCAACTGCGACGCAACGACGACCATGGTGCCCGAGCTCCAGATCAAATTCATCAACTTTGCCGTCCTTCCTTGCTTTACGATTCTGCAAGCGCTCTTCCCATTGGCGTCCGAGACCGTGACGCACGCGCTGACCAACATTCAATATTGGGAAGCGAAGCGAGACGACGAGCTCACGCTGGAGCAACGGGTCATCCTCCGAGCGATTGCGGCCGAGACCAACATGACGGCCGAGTGGACGAAGATGCAGGACAAAAGACTCGGGCGACGCGTCGCTCCATCGGCGCGAGTACATCTGGGCCAAACGACTCTGCTACCACCCGGCGTACCTCGTTTCGCTGGCGCTTATCTCCATCTACCTCGTGATCGAGCCCAGTGTGCGCGAGATGGCAACGTCCATTGACGGCGACGCCGCGCTCAACGCGTTCTTGCTCTGTCTGCTTGTAATCGTGCTGGCGGATATGTCCTTGACGGCCCTCGCGGACCACCTGTATTGCGGCAGCTTCTTTAGCTTTCTGGACTTTGCCACCGCGATCTCGATCGTGCTCGAAGTGTGTAGCTATGCACCGCACGCGACGTCCAGTAGTGTCTTTCTGTACGTTTTGCCCGAGCTGTTGCAGCCGCGCATTGTTCGCGTCGCACGGGTCCTTCGCGCCGTGCACGCCGTGCCACTCCTCCTCTTCCGCCTCTTTGCCCATGCGCCGCCGTCGACACCGTCCGTGGCTGCGTCCGAGACGTCGTCCGACGTCGACGACGACCGGTCGACACCCATGGCGTTCTCTCGGCGGGACATTGCCCGACTCTTTACACGGCTCGCGTCGCGAACGTCCGATGTGGTCCGACCCGCGGCGATCGAGCGGCTTGTCGCTGAAGCCTACAACGGGATCGACGTGCCGCCGCACGCGGCCCGCAATGTGCTGGCGTATTTTACGCCAACGCACGCGACCAAGTCGTCGTTTGCCGAGTTTGCCAATGCGCGGTCCGCGCCCCGCATTAGCATTTCGCGCGCGTCGTTCGCGCGCGGCATTCGGCACATGGAGCTCAAGCACGACGGCGCCCCGGATCTGTTTATGGACGCGGCGCCCCGTCCCGCGGCCGAGCGCATGGTATCAATGTATCAACTTATCCCTTTTTGTCACAAAAACGTGATTAGGTCGGCCGCGAACTCAGCGACATTGTCATCAAGCGCATTCTGGTCTTGGTGTTCCTGGTTCTGATTGTGGTGCCGCCACTCATCTGGGAAGCCGAAGCTCCGAACGATGTCTATTCGTACAGCCTCGAGAGTCTCCACGCGAGCGCGTTGCTAGCGTCCTCGCCGCCCCATCATGACGCAGCCCTCCGCGCCGACTTGGCATTGTTTGTGTCGCATTTGACGCCCCTCTTCCTCCAGCTGCACAACGTGTCGGCGGCCACGATCGCGGCGTCGACCAACGGTGTGCTGGCGAGTACGGATGCTGCGTTACTGGCGCAGTACCGGTACGACCAGCTCGAGAGCGTCCAGGTCTTTGGGTGCGACCCGTCACGCCTTGTGACGACGCTCTCGACACGGACCGCGTCGCCCGGCGAGTGTCTCTCAACGGCACTCTTTGATGTGACCGCGTCGCGCGTCCAGTCGGCGCAATGGGCCGCGTTAAGCACGCTCCTCTGCTTTGTCTGCGTCATGATGTCCGTCTTGTACCTCGACTACGAGACGTATACGACCGTAATCCACCCGATTGAGAGCATGCTCCACGTCGTCCAGCGCCTTGCGATCAACCCGCTCCGTTCGATTCCGTGCTTGGCCGGCGAAGCCTCGAATGAGATTTTGCTGCTTCAAAACACGTTGGCAAAAATCGCGTCTTTGATTCAAATCGGGTTTGGCGAAGCCGGCGCGGAAATTCTGTCCGGCAACATGCTCGAAGGCGACTTGAATCCAATGGCCGAGGGCAAGAAGGTCTATGCCATCTTTGGTTTCTGCAGCATCCGCGACTTTGCCGACGCGACCGAAAAGCTCAAAGAAGAGATCATGACGTTCACCAACCTCATTGGCGACGTCGTCCATCGGCATGTGCACGCGCTCAACGGCCACGCGAACAAGAACATTGGCCAAGCGTTCTTGCTCGTGTGGAAGGTCCCGTCCACCTCGATCGAGTATGCGCTGGTCAACGGCAACCAAACGCCACAGCACATGTCCCCGAAGAAGAACTCGCTCCTGACCGTCATGGAGAGCGACAACATGCGGCAGCGCGGCAAACTCACGATCGCGGACAAGGCGCTCATTGCGTTTCTCAAGGTCCAGCTCGAAATGCACGAGGCGGCTGCGCTCAAGCCGTATGCGCATGTTTTGCCCAAAGCACATCCGATGGGCTTTGGCTTGCACGTGGGCTGGGCCATCGAAGGGGCGATTGGGTCTCGCTACAAGATTGATGCGTCGTACTTGAGCCCGGACGTCAACATGTCGTCGCGGCTCGAAGGCGCGACCAAGCAGTTTGGCGTGACGCTGCTCGTGTCCCATACGTTTCACAAGTTGCTCTCGGCTCCAGTTCAAGCCATGTGCCGGCTCATCGACTGCGTGACCGTCAAGGGGAGTGAGAAGCCGCTCTCGCTGTACACGTTTGACATCTACGACGACCTCGGCGCGCATGCGAAGAACGCCCTCGGCTGCATTGACGACCTCCGAAAACTCCAAATGCGCATGCCCATCGAGTTTCGCATCGCGTTCGACTCGGGCGTTGCCAAGTATTTGGAGGGCAATTGGCCCGAGGCGACGCTGCAGATTGAACACGCGCTTTGCTTTGCGCCGACCGATGGACCGTCCAAGTCACTCTTGCGAGTCATGGCCGAGCACCAGGGCCAAGCGCCGAGTGCATGGCAGGGCTACCGCGCCTTGACAGAAAAATAATTAGAGATAAAGCATTATGAACTAATAGTTATACTAATAGTTATAGATACATATCTCAACTCGATCGTGCAGAGGGTAGGCTAATGAAAAACGTTTCGTGGAAAGCTAGGAAATACGAACAATTCGTCGTATTGTCTGGGTCGAAATCCAGCTCGAGGAAGGACCGCGTCGCGGGAAGCATGGCCGCGAGAAAATGGTGGCGGCTTTGCGGGCTCGAAGCGGCGACGTCGTTGCCAGCGTCAAGGGTCGACATCCGGATAATACACATGGTATCCGGACGACGGCGGACCTTTGCGCCACGGACTGCATTTCGGCCGCGACCGCTTGGGACCGACCCGTCAGCGTCGTACCGCCGAGCCCTCGCCTTGCATGTTCCCGCCTGGCCTCCTCACGCCCAAGGGCCCGACCAAGGCCGCGCCCGACAACAACGCGCCCGACATGCTCTGGTTCGATACCTGCATCCATCCCGACGGTACGCGAAACAATGGCGGAGGAGGCGATCGACGACGCGCTGTCGTAGACGTCATCGATGCCAAGGACCACATGCCCGAGTACGAGTACAACGTCACGGGCATGAAGCGCATCAAGAAGCGCGACCGTATCCAGCTGGGCACGCCCGTCGTCGTCAACGAGAAGGCGATTGCGCTCTTCCGCCATGGCAAGCGGCTCTTTGCGATCCAGCAGATGTGCCCGCACGCAGGCGGCAACCTCGCACTTGGCGACATTGAAGAGATCGACCGCATGCTGTGCATCTCGTGCCCGCGCCACAAGTGGCCGTTCGTGCTGCTGTCCGGCGACTGCCTCGTCACGGAAGACATTCGCGCCGAGCAATACCCGATCGAGGTTCGGAAAACGAACGGACTCCTCTCTATCTTTGTGGGCTTTACGGGCCTAAATCAAACGCTCTTCTACCAAGATGATTTTTAACACTCTAACTAATTGTACTCTACTCATTGCTCTATGAATCATCGACGCAGGCATGCAACTCCCTGCGACGATACTGTCTTCAACCAAAAACACGACGAGGACTCGAATAGGCCTCCCACCGAGAACGATAACGAGTCGCTCGGCTGCGTAAAGGTCCGTAGACAGACAGCAGCAGGTGGGTGTATCTGGCCGCGTCAGCGATCTACGGTATCCTTTGGATAGTGTAAATGCACTGGGCTGTGGCGCATGAACTCCCGGCGGTAGTGCCGAGCGCATTGCTGCTTCGAGTCTTCGTTGATCCTGGTTAAAAGGTTTCGGCTAGCAACCCCCAACACGAACAGACCATTCCTAGATAGATAGATAGATAGATAGATAGATAGATAGATAGATAGATAGATAGATAGATAGATAGATAGATAGATAGATAGATAGATCCTTGGCGCTTGGTGCATGTGCGAAATCGGTTGCGTGCGATTAGACGTGGCGGGTCCGGAAATAACCGTACGGTTCCCATTTACCGAGAATGGCGCCGGGAGCGAAGCAAGTCTTCCGCGCCTTCAAGCTCCAGGGGCTCACGCTCCATGCGGACGCGCTCAAGCGGCTCCTCCATGAGATGGAGATGGAGCCGACGCTGGGCCTCGACGACGTCCTCTTCGCCATCAAGAATAGCATCGACCGCTCCAAGCGTCCGTCGACCTCCCCTCTTCCTGCGCGTCGTCCTCATGCTGCTCCTTCTGCTCCTAGTCATCAACAGCGTCGTGACCATCGAAGCGCTCGAGAGCGCGCTCGATACGCTTCTGAGCGTCTCGGCCGAGAACGACTACCAGAGCATCCAGGTCTTTGACGCGTTCGAGATGCCCAGCCTCCAGTACGAAGCCATGACCAAGACGTACAGCGTCGGGCTCGACCGCCACCGGCGTCTCCATGCGTCGCCCAACTACCGCGTCAACCTTTTCCGCAACCGGTATGTGCTTGGCCGATCCATCGCCGCTCCAGCGACTCTTCCTTGACGTAGCTTTGCCGCGATTGAGCGCCGGGTCCGCCGCCACAAGACGTTTTCCAAGCCGGTCATGGCCTCGGCCAAGCTCCAGCGCGAGTACCTCGAGGTATGACTTCCGACACGCGAATCCTTTGCATGTGCTCATGATCATGGAGGTAGCTCACGCGGATCGAGTCGCTCCTCGGTGTCTCTGGCGTCAAGCGCGTGCTGGGCATGCTCGGCCAAGATGAACGCAATGCGATGTACCTCGAAGACCTCACGGCGCGTATCTACATCAACACGGACAAGACGGTAGCTCTCGACTCGAATAATTCTTACTTGCTAAGATGACGACGTAGGTCTGCGCCCCGGGCATGTACACCTTGAACAGCGTCGTCATTGTCGAGGGTCAAGTCCGCGATGACATCTTCCACGTCGAGGTACATGACTGTGATCGTGGTGCCTTGGACTCGACGGATTCCGTGTGGGTAGTCGATGGGTGGACCGCCGCCCGAGTTTCGCACGGACTCGTTGGGGATTCTCGGCGGATTGGACCCACTTGGCATTGAAGTCTCGTCCCAGGTCTACATATATTTACAAGCATATCTTTTATATCTGAACTATGGCTTTGTAGCAATTGGCGCAGATTCGCGCACTGGAGGCGCAGGACGAACTCGCCTCGTTTGTGATTCTCTCGGACGTGCATCTCGACGATCCGCAGGTCATGAAGCGGCTCGAGATCCTCTTTGAAGGCTACGCGCCGTTCTGTCCGACCTTGTTTGTGCTCATGGGCAACTTTACCTCGACGCCGGTCGGCCAAGGTCCGTCTTGGTTTTCAAACGATAGGTGCCGCGAACCTCAAGTGCGCGCATGTGTAGACGCCATGAGCATTGCCGACTTTAAGGACCTCCTCGACAACCTCGCGAACCTTTTGCTCCAGTTTCCGTCGCTGGTCGCGCACTCGCAGTTTGTACTCGTGCCTGGCCCGGACGACCCGGGCGCCGCCAAAGTACTCCCGCGCCACCCGGTTCGTAGGATTTAACTTCTATTTTTGAGCCGATTATTGGTGTAGCTGCCCAGTATGTGTACCCAAGATTTTCTGCGCAAAATTCCGACGGCGACCATGGCCTCCAACCCGTGCCGGTACGACGCTATCTCGTGCAATGACGCTGCTGCATTGTGTATATACTAGCATTCGGTACTACACCAAGGACCTTGTCATTCTCCGCGACGACCTCCAAGCCAAAATGCGGCGTAACTGCCTCATGCCGCTTGATGCGCCGGCCGACGATGACGAAGAGCGCACGACCACCGTGAGCCGGCAGGTACAACTACTCGATACATTGATATCTATATATACAATCTCGATGTGGTAGCTCATCAAGACGGTCATTGACCAAGGGCACTTGTGCCCGCTTCCACTGTCGGCCCAGCCCATTCACTGGGCGTATGATAATGCGCTGCAGTTGTTCCCGCTGCCCGACGTGGTGCAATATATATGATAGCCAAACACCGTACCAAGCAGCACTGATGCCCTACGTAGATGATCTTGGCCGACAAGACGGACCAGTACCAGGTCGGGTATGCCGGCGTCGCCGCGTTCCATCCGGGTCCGTTCTACGTCGACTACTCGTTCATGCTGTACCGCCCGCGACATCGGTCACCGAAGTTAGTCGCATCGATTAAGTTCAAACCACACATGGCACGTGGGTTATTCATACTTTACTGTGAGTCTTGCAGCTGCGTCGACGCCTCTCGTTCAGTCAAGAAGGGCAGGAGATAAAGAAGACCTGCATATGTCATCTGCGTTGCTGGACGGTTTGACAGGGGTCACTCGGTGCGACCCAGGGGTACATAAATTCAATTGATTGAATTTATGTACCCTTGGTGCGACCTGACGTCGTCATGGGACTGTACAAGGTGATAGACACCAATGACCACGGGGCTACATATCTGGAGTCGAGTCCGAGCGAGGAAAACTATTTTTTATTCCTTGAGTCTGGCAGTCGCTGCATTGCGCGGGTGACCGATGCTTTGTTCGTGCTGGCTAATGCCTCTACACGGAGAAAGGGGCTGCCGAAATCCAACATTTTGCAAATTCAGCGCAATGGACGCGAACCTTGTCGCTCGAAAACCAGTGCTTTTATCGCTGGACAAGTCGTCGTTAATTGATGCCCTCTCGATGTACAGCGGTAACTCGACGATGGCATCGAGTCGATGCGACGAGGCCATCAGTAGGGTTGCTGTAGTCGGAAGCGCTGGCTGGGTTGAGAAACGCTGAAGCGGTTGCGTTAGCTCTCCAGTACAAGTAGTGGTACATATTTACGGTTGCTCGGGACACTGTCTGCGATGGTGGCACGCGCGAGAAGCCTGTTGGAAGCGTACGTTTCGGACGCAGGTACTATTTGATCCTGGTTGAAAGGGTATTTGCCAATGTAGTACATACACTATAAGAATCACGTGATATCGTGTAGTATCGAAACGTCAAATGGTGTTCGTAATCGAAATCACGCTACCAAGACCAATTTTACCGTAGATATACGCTACTTCCTGCGAAACCACCTACTCGTAGGCGGAAACACGTGGTTTTATGCGGATGTGTACGCGCCATGCAGAAATGACACTATCACATTGGCCTTTGCTTGTGCAACGGTGCAGTTGACATCAGGAATGTCTCAAATACTTTCGTAGCAATGTAAGATTTACGGTAGAAAGAGCAAGACCGTACTTTTACAGGATCAAATTCTACAGTACAGTTCAGTTCTACTTTGTTTTCAAAGTTGACATCACAAATGACTTTGATGATCGTATGTGACCACGTCCGTTGACTCGGGATGTCGGCCAGAAACTCGAATTGAGTTTTGAGTTGCTGGCTCTTGATGAACGTCCACCGTTGCTATTCCAAGACGGTGTGAGCGGACGCTGGTGTTATGAGAAGTCCTTTGTTTTATTTCATTCTTTTTCTTTTCGACTCCATTCCCTACTATCGTACTGTAGTTTACTATTGTTATCATTGTGTAAATCGAAAGCACTCCATGTGGTGTCAGCTTTGACCAACAACAATTCTTGTACTCACTCTTTCGAGCAGCGTGCCTCTGGCTAGCTACAGATATGTCGTAACACGGCACCATCCCCCACAGTGATGCATGAGGGTGCCATAACGAGATCAGAGCTACTCTTGGGCGCCAAACACTTTTGGTTGCTGTCCGTTGTTCCCACAAAACGCAAGGATCACTCACTAGTGAAAGCCTGCAGCGGCTACTGAGTAGTACCAATATAACCGCAACCGAGATGCGCAGCGGCCATTTCGTAGGCATCCTCGATTCGACGCAACCACCTAGAAAGGAAAGCTGCCCGTGCGGTGGCATGATCGCGAGCACCTAAAATTTTGCTTGTACCGTCGCCGAGCTCTTTCGTGGTTCGATAAAGTTGTCAAACTTCATGGTGTCATTTCCAGGATTCCCAGCCGATGACGACGAACGCACCGTCCAGAAGAAGCATGGCTCTAGTACTAGTACGCCGTATGCATCTACAAATGTCAACCTGTAGTTGCTTGAATCTGGCGCGGCGTCAACGTCAGCAAGGGAATATACGAACGAGCCTTTCTCCATGCAACATGACTGCATGACAACTGTACATTGCAGAACTCTATAATGTCACATGGTATATGTGCGGTGGCCAAGTCTCGTAGTTGTCGTGTGCAAGCGCCTAGTTGGTCGGATTATGCTACGTACTAGAGGTGATTGTGTACGAGGCTGCTGGTGCCGTGTCAGTGCTGACGTCTAATGCTATTTACAGATGCTGAGATTTTCTGGCGTTTTTGCTTCCACACTCTTGCAGCGTCGATTGCATGGAGGTGTCTCCACATTTTTGTCATATGTGTGTACTACAAGAAGAGTTTGTGGTATTACAAAGGTTATTTTGCTTAGGGGCCCTTGGTACTAGATCCTTTTCGAGGGATCGATCCCTCGACCATTTTCCCGCGGCAAATCTAATGCTTCAACCACTGGGCCATATCACCGCACCCGCTTTTGTAGGGTTTGGGTTGTACCACTGGTTGTCGCCGTCGAAATCGTCTTGATGTTTGAATGGCCCATTTACCACGTCGTGTGCATTTTACGCGTGTGTAAAACGTTTATCCACGAGAAACACACTCAAGCACACCGTACAAAATGTACACGATTTCTTTCTTGCAGCTCTATACATGTAAAGAAGAGGGAGACTTACGTGTGTAAAACGGTGAGAATAGGAGCCAAGCCAGCTTGCTTCAAGTTGTAGGTAGGCTTCGCAAGGGAGGAGTGCTAGGCCCTCGGAAACCAGTCCAAAAGTCAGTGGCAAGCCAACTGGACTCTCGGAATTTGTAAAAATGAATGTGAAAAAAAACCACACCGAAGTGTGGAAATCAGTTTTCACACTGATTAGAACAGATACTACACTTGATCTTAGCCAAAAGGCCGAGAAGGTATGATCTCCAGTTGGATAAGCGTCACGCTGGATACCTGGGTCCGTCGGGGGCTCTTGGTGTCGCTTGAGATACTGCGTTGTCGCTAAATGCTTCTAGATCTGCTTCTAGATTTCAACCGCCACCTTGCGCCTGGATCCAAGAGCCTGCGACGAGAACGAAATCATGGTTGTCAAGTCCTCTTTACGTCTGCATGGAGCTGCTCCAAGGCACGTTGTGCCACTCTTGGAGTATTTGACGACTCCCCATTAAATGATGGGGCTATAACTATTTTTGCAGTGCAACTTCGAATGAGTCTCGCAGAACGCTTCACAGCACGTTCGACGGTTTCATGACGTGGCGCTCTCCAGAGCAAGAAATTGTACCTCAAGATAGATGGATGGATAGATAGATATATTGGACTAGAAAGTTCGAACGCGCTGGAACAAACAAAATTAACAAACGTCAAGTTGATACCTTTTGGTACGAGTCGATTGTAGCGGACATTCTACCACAGTACTGCGACTAGGCGCGGACGCGGGCTTCCCAGCACGTGGCGTAGACGTCCTTGACCGTGTTGAAGTTCCACTGCCACTGGAACGAGTACACGCCGGGCGCAATGTCATTTTCGAGGTTGAAGCAGAGACTGCAGAGCGCGCGGCCTTGGTCGCGAATCCCGCCCTTCTCGTCGCAAAACTTGGGGCAGTGCTGGAACCCCTTGTAGTCGATGACGCCTTCTTGGTGGACCCCGTTGAGGTGCTGGTACTCGATCGGCCACTCGTGGAGCGCGGGGTCGGACGCATTGGCGGACGTGGTGCGGAAAATGCGGACGCCCGTGTCTGGAATGTACGCGTTCGTGCACGGAGCCGCAACGTGGTTCTTGGCCGGGTACGCGACGCACACCTTTTGCCCCGGCACGTAAGTGGCCATCGGCGCCGCGTCCGTGTAGGCGCCGGCGGATTCCTTCGCGCACTGGCACGACTTGTGCTGCAGCAGTGGTCGAAAGTCCAAGCCCGTGTCGACGCCAAATCCTTGCGCCTTCTGGCGGCTCCCGCAGCGCGCGTAGCCATTGCAGGCCGACGGGTTCCAAAACTCTTGGTTGGCGGTCGTCGATGCGTCGTAGTCGGTGCATTCTACGCGTTGCAACACAAGTTGTTGGGAAATAGTGTATGTAGGAAGCGATGCATACCGAGCCACGAGTGCGCGGTCGCGGTCGCAGCGAGGAGGCTCAAAATGGAGGTGGATGTCAACATGCTTGTGAGTCGTAGATGCAAAGGCAAAGTGAGTGCGATCGACGGCTCGGACGCTGGCATCGGAACCGCCGCATCGTGCGACGATGGGCCGTTTCAAACGAGAGATATGAACGACCCCGTGGCAGCCGCGAGTGCGACACTGGTCGGTCGGTGGCGTGCGGATGCGGCTTCAAATCCGATCGACCGACGCCACCGGCTTCTTAACGTGGGCACCCATAAATGGTCGCACGGCCGCCGGGCGCCAACAGAGAATGCGCTCGCCTACGACCCGCAATACTGCAACGCGTTCATTCAAGATGCGATTGCTACCGTGTATCACTCAGCGCGCTGGACGCCGGGCGCTAAAAAGACCAAGAAGACGACGCGGTCGCCACCGAAAGCGTCCGTGGACAACCACCGTCCAACGTTGGCGACCAGTGTTCGAAGGACTCCGGTGGACAAGCCGATCGACCACCCGATGGATGTTGCCACAATGGTGTACCGTGCATCCACCTCATTTACAACCCTCGAAGCCGAGACGTATTCGCTGCTTGACGCGACCGACGTTACATACAAGCATCGACCACCGCGCAGACCAGGAATTAGGAGGTTAGGAGGTTAGGGGTAAAAAGCAGCGAGCGCCATGGTCCATCACTGTTTCTGCAAGGGCCAACGACGGTGGTATTGATTGCTGTCTGGAGAGCGACAGACGTAGCAGCGTGTGGGAAGCTTACCTGCATCGCGGCGGAGAAGCGGCAACGGAGTACACGTCGGAACAAGTCAATTTCTAGGTGCTCGCGATCATGCCACCGAACGGGCAGCTTTCCTTTCATGGTGGTTTCGTCGAATCGAGGATGCCTACGAGATGGTCGCGTGTCTCGGTTGCGTTATATTAGTATTACTCGGTAGCCGCTACAGGCTTTCACTAGTGAGTGATCCTTGCGTTTAGTGGGAACAATAATAACAATAGTAAACTACAGTACGATAGTAGGGAATGGAGTCGAAAAGAAAAAGAATGAAATAAAACAAAGGACTTCTCATAACACCAGCGTCCGCTCACACCGTCTTGGAATAGCAACGGTGGACGTTCATCAAGAGCCAGCAACTCAAAACTCAATTCGAGTTTCTGGCCGACATCCCGAGTCAACGGACGTGGTCACATACGATCATCAAAGTCATTTGTGATGTCAACTTTGAAAACAAAGTAGAACTGAACTGTACTGTAGAATTTGATCCTGTAAAAGTACGGTCTTGCTCTTTCTACCGTAAATCTTACATTGCTACGAAAGTATTCGAGACATTCCTGATGTCAATTGCACCGTTGCACAAGCAAAGGCCAATGTGATAGTGTCATTTCTGCATGGCGCGTACACATCCGCATAAAACCACGTGTTTCCGCCTACGAGTAGGTGGTTTCGCAGGAAGTAGCGTATATCTACGGTAAAATTGGTCTTGGTAGCGTGATTTCGATTACGAACACCATTTGACGTTTCGATACTACACGATATCACGTGATTCTTATAGTGTATGTACTACATTGGCAAATACCCTTTCAACCAGGATCAAATAGGACCTAAGTCCCGAGCAAACGTAAATGGGAAACCAGCGCAACGGCTTCAGCGTTTCTCAACCAAGCCAGCGCTTCCGACTAACTTACACCAACCCTACGTCAGAGACGGTCGAATTGCGCGAGGATGGCACCACCGGCTAGCAACCACCGAACGTACAGTACATCGATAGGGCAGCGATTTACGACGACTCGTCGTCCAGCGGTGAAATCACAGGAGACCGAACGACGAGTCGTGGATGTGCATCAATTCACATCATTTTTCATGTTATCGCAGTGGAATCGCATGCCGCAAGTGCGGTGCATCGTCGATACCTGGAGCCGCGTTCACATGAAAGAGTCGCCACGTCTTGATATCCAGCAGCACGGTCTTGCGTGTCCGCGGCAGGCGCAGCGTGAGCACGCCGTTGATCGCTGCCGACGCGCGATCGACGCAGTAGACACCGTCGAGTACCCAGCCATCTTGTGCAAAGTGGTGGAACGCCGTGACGTACAAGAGATGCGAACGCAAACCACTCTCCTCTCGACCGTGGTAACGCACTCGCTGGAGCAGGTACGTAGCAGCGACGACAATAAGGGGCAACACCAAGAGCCCGGACATGCGCGTCGGGTCTCCAATGCGCACGACGCCGCTGTCGCAAACGAGCTGCATGTCCACAATCGGCACGGCGCACGACCGCTGCAAGCGCGCCGAGTGCTTCACTGGTGACACCAACGACCAGATGGCAGACGCTGCCCAGACCAAGACACTACTTGGCGCTGCGTATAACGGCGTGTACTGCTGCGTCCACACCGAGAAGGTGTCGTTGAGGATGAAGACGAGCCACGTCGTTTCGCCAGCCGCCATGATCGTTGAGAACCACGACTGCGGTATCGCGACAATGTAGAAGAAGCCATTGGCTTGTGCAAGGTCGAGCTTGGCGGTGGACAAAAGGCAGATGGCGGTGATCCCTCGTAGAAAAATGAGCGGGCGGCCGATCCAGACGAGGCCCGTGACACGGTTCAGCGCCAGCATATTCCGACCTTCAATGTGGCCGCGGCTAACCGCAATGTAGCCTGACGCGGTCGCTGAGACAATGAAGAGAACCCCCGAGACATAGAGAAGAACGCAGCGGGCGTAGTAGGCAACGTTGACCGGGACTTCGAGCGGGTTGATGGGTCCTTTGTGCACGGCGTTGCGGCCCGAGAGCGCCGTGATGTCGCCATGGACACCGTTAAAGGTGACGACTTCACGCACCCCATGGAGCCACTCGAGGAGGTAGAGGTATCCAAACACATGAAACCCGACGTCATTGGGGTCGAGTAGCAACGACTGCGCGAGGAGCATCGTCGTCTCGTTGGGTTGTTGAAGAAACTGAAGCAGCACCAGCGGCAGCTCCGTTGCAAAGTACGTTGCGATGGCCGTCGACGCATTGGCGATCTCGATACGGTCGTGGAGCGTATATCGCGTGTCGAGAAAGGCCATGGCCGCACCGAGAAGCACGAGGCATGTCTCTGTCTCTTCTTGCGCGGCGCCGTCGCATGTTTGTGTGATATTGACGTCGGCCGACCGCCAACAGCGCAAGGCTGCTCGTGCTCAGGTCGATACTCACCACATCTTGCATGTTGACCGAGCACGCGCCTTGCATCGAGTAGAGGATGCACATGGATGTCAGCATCGATTGCGTCGGACACATGATGTCGCCGCCAACAAAGGTCTCGTAGGCCCACGCCGTGGGCCAGACGGGCAGTGTGACATCGCCAGGAAACGCCTCGTAGGCGGCGATGGCCTCGGCGCTGGCGTGCACCATATCCGCACTGAAACGAGCTGTCAAGAAGCGACTCCACTGGACCAAGACCGGTGGAAAGGCCACGCGGCGCATTCCAATCGTGCCAAACGGTCCTAGCGTACGTTCCACAATGCCGAAGGAGATATCGAGCGGCACACTCAAGGACCCGTTCCTGGCCAAGATCGATGCGATCGTTTGATTGGCAAACGCAAAGCGGGGACTCTGCCGCACGAGACTGCTGCCAGAGAGGCCGCTGCTGTTGGCGGAAATGGCCCACAGGAGACTCGCGAGCGGCCACTGCATCTTGAACGACGTCTGCTGCGTCGTGTGCAGCGACCCATTCGACGACTTGATCGTCAACGGGTAGGCAAAGCCCAGTGCGTTGGCCACCGAGTACGTTTCGATGACGCCGAGCGACTTGAAGTTTTGCCACTGCGTTTCGTAGAATCGGAGCCCGTGCTGTCGCCAGTAGGCTGCTTCGTCAGCAATCGAGAGACGAGGCGCACGGAGGGACTGCCGCCACAGCTGACCCGACTGCGTCGTGTCGAGATAGTCAAAGACGCTGGATGCGAGCGACTCGCCCCAGCATGTCTCCAGATCGACTGGGTTGCCGTTGCGCAGGATCGGCTCCAGATACACGGCGCCATTCGCCTTCTCACACACCGACTGGCGGTACGCCGACACGGCCAGCTCCCACGTTCGATTCAAGTCGACGAAGCAGTAGGCCGTCGCGATCCATGGCAAGAGGCATCCGTTCATGCGGCGCAGACCGTCAATGACCACCTCAAGTGTGTTGACCTCGTTCTGGACCATGGACGCGTACAGCATCGGGACCGAGAACGAGGTGGCCGACATATTGTACCGGTTCGAGTTGTCGCTCCAGTCGCGCTTGGTCAGATCCAGATGTGGCATCGAACCGGTGGTCTGGAGCTGCTGGGTGAAGAGGGTCGCGAGAAACGTGCCGTGACCTGACGTGTTGAACGAGGCCCACCAAAAGTCGTTGGTCATGGCGTCCGTCGAGACATAGATGTAGAGAAAGCTGCCGGTGACCGAGAGGAGCACGTAGAGGATACCGAGGATGGTCAGTAGCGTAACATAGCGTCGCTTGGTGCTTCGTTTTGTCGAGGACGACAATGGGTTTCGGCTAAAGTCCAGTGTGGTTCCCAACCGCACGAGTTGCCAGAGGTTGACATGAAAGTAGCGTCGACCGAACGGCAGGATACCCGCCATGAGCGCCGTTGTCGGGTCGCGAAACCACGTGGGGCTTTGACTCGCACTCAAAAACACTTGTGCAGAGGCGGGCAAAAGGTCGTTGGATCGCGTCGCGCGGTGCTTCAGTACCTCACAGCGACACAGATGCAAGACCATGGACGCCAAACAGAGCGACATCAACGGCAGACCCGCCGAGAGGCAAAAGCGCAGAAAGCTGCCGACCTGGACGGTGCCCCCGAACAGCGGGCGTCCAACCCGAGCTCGACGACGTTGCACGACTGCTGAAGCGTCATTTTCGCTTCAAATGGCGCCGAGAGCTCCGTGCCAACGAGGATCACCCACGTCATGGCAGCGCCAAAGAGGGCATACCACCGCGCCCGGGACCCAAGAATGGGCAAGAGAAAGTCCACCAGTACATAGGTGATCCAATTGACCTCGCCCGCCAATACCATCACATCCAAGACCGACCGCGGCGTCGAGACAAAGCGAGAGATGCCATTGGTCGAGACAAACGACACGGGCGCGGTGCTGAGCACCACAAGCGCCGCGGCGCCGCGACATAAAAGAATCGGTCGTCCGACCCACATGGGACTCGCGACCCAGTGAAACGCCCAAAGATCAACGCCGTGGATGCGCAGCTTGAATAGAAAGGCCGAGAGTAACACCAAGGATGCCGCGATCGTCATCACCATGGCCGAGTAGACAATAATGATAGAGATGTAGGCGGTCGCTTGCTTGGGCAGCTCCAATGGATTGGCTGGCAGCGGCGTCGGCGCAATGTACGGCGACATGAGGTTGAAGAGACCGGTGTCCGTATCCAACGTCGTCACATCCCGCGTGCCGTCGAGCCAGTCGTACACCATGGCCCAGCCAAAGATGGAAAACGCGTCCGACGGTGCGATAGCGGCTTGCGTCAGAAACACAGGCACACTGTCGTTGAGTGCAAACTGCACCAGCGTAACGTTGAGCTGCGCCATGGCCACTGCGAGGTCGTTGGATGGCGTCGGCCAAGGCATCTCAAAAGCCTCGACGAGCCGGCGTACCGTCTCCAGCGTCGATTGACACGCCTCGTAGTTGGTCGGAGTGAGCACAGCGGCACAGAGCTGGGCAGTATTGGCGTTTGCGAGCGATGGGTCGGCGTAGCGAAGCGTCGTCCACGCAAAGACGAGCGCTTGTCGAGACAACGTCGTGAAACTTGGTAGCTGCATTGAGCAGGCGTCGTAGAAACTCAGCTGATCTTGCACAAATGGCTGGGGGCGGTTGGTGTTGCACATGGGGTTGCCGGTAAAGTAGCTGAGGTTGGCGCCGCGCCAGTGCAAAGGGACAAGGTCGACAGTGACCGACGGAATGGAGCTGTAAGTGGAATGAACCGAGTCGTTCAAGCCTTGCGAGGTGCTGGTACGCAAGGTAGTAGGTCTCGAGTGCTGTTGGTTTATTCGCGAGGACCGTGTCCATGCTGCCCATGGGCCCGACATGGAGATCGATAAAAGGCCCGAGGATCGCGTCCTCCTGCAGCGCATACGCCAGCACTTCCCAGCGCAATTTGATCTCGTCGGACGCGTTGCTGGCACCGCGAATCAGACTACAATTGTTGGCTTGACACGTGAAGAGATCGTTCCAAAGACCTTGGTACGCCACCGAGAGCGACCACACGGCCAGACCGCGGTAACTTTGAGACGTGGTGTGGATCGTCACACTTGTATGAAGGCCGAGCGCGTTCTCGATTTGAATGGTTTCTTGCAGACCTTGCTCATAGTAGTTGGTCAATTGCGTCTGCCAATACGTCAGGCCATGCTCGTGCCAGATAGCAACTTCGTCTGGGATCGATTGCCACGGCATTGCCCAGAGAGAGGCGAGCCAGACAGCGCCAGAATGCGAGCTCTGGATATAGTGGAAAAGCGAGATCTCGAGCGAGTTTCCGTACGAGCCGTTGAGAACATCTTGCTCTACCGAGTTGCGCAGCAGCGGCTCCCAGTAGACTGCGCCGTTGTGCATCATAGTGTCATGACATCGAGCTTGGCGACGCGCGGTGGTGGAGAGCTCGTAGACGCGACCCAAGTCGACCCAGCAGTACTGTGCGAACATGCGCATGTTCCGATCAAAACTTGTGCGCCGTATCGCACGGATAACGCTGGTAAACGAAATGTTGGCCAAAAGCACTTGGCGTGAGAGCGAGCGCGTCATATCGATAAAGGTACTCGCTCCATCCTCGTAGCTCTTCTCGAGAACGACCTCGGTGAGTGGGATCGAGTACGATGTCGCGAGCTGGAGACGCCGGTGAAAGATATCGGCCAGAAAGGTTTGGGCCCTGGCGTTGTAAAGCCAGCCCACCAGAGGTCGTTGGCAATATTGGGCTGCAAGACGACGACGAGGAAGTAGAGACTGAGGGCGGTTGAGAGCAGCACGTAGACGCAGCCGGCGAGCGCGAGACGTGAGGTGTATGGCTTTGGAATGGCTTGAAGCTCGCTAATGGTCGGCGCAAACGGCACGATCATGCTGCCCGGGTCGTGTTGGACTTTAGGATGTGGCCGCCGTTTCGCTGGTTTAACGAAACGTTGCATGGCCATTCCTCAAAACAATGACGCTTGCAACCCGGAGATGGGGTGCCCTGGAGCGCAGTCGAGGTGTGGAGTTGTCTGTCTTCGGTTGCTTCTCATGCTCTTCTGGACTCCTTTGTGAATCAAGTATAATTGTATCGTGTCTTCGACCGAGATTTGTTTAAAAGAAGACGCGGGCACGTGTCCTTTGAACACGAGTGGTGTACAAGGGAACGCGTTAAAGTCAAGGGCCAGTGTAGACCCTATCGGTTCCGACGGAGCAGTATACGCCTTTACACGCGGCTCCAAGTAGTGTCCTTGTCTGTGCAGCGTCCGCAATCCAGTCGCTGGTGTCACCAGAGAAGCACTCGGCGCGCTTGCAGCGGAAGTGCTCCGTGCCGATTGTGGACATGCAGCTCAATTGGGACAGCGGCGTCGTTCGCATTGGGGACGCAGGACGCTTCGCCAACTTGCTGCTCGTCGTTGTCGATATCGTCATTGGCACATTCTTTCTTAAGCGGCTCCAGTACCATGGTCGAGACGAGAGTGGGCTGCGCTCGCACCTCGTCTAGTACGCGACAACGCACCACCACTTTGCTCAAAAGAACTTGATTCTGGCACGTTGAATACCTGTGGTACTGGAGAGTGTCTATTGCATGCGGCGTGCTCGCAGTGCGCCTCGCACGATCCAGTCGTATGGTGCTCTTGAAAATCAAGATGAGGTGGCGCTTTGACGGTCGACACGGGGAGCCGCGTCGACGATGCACCACACTTGCGGCTTGCAATCCCACTGCTTTGAAGTAACATGCATGCTCCCATGGTACCCTTCAATGCAACTAGCGCCTTAATCCATAAATGATCCATGTGGGTGTCCACCAGGCCTATCTATACCAATGTACTCTAACCGCACGCGAGATGGGCAGGGCAGCCTTCCGTATGTTGTTGTCTCGTGATCCATGTTCGGTTACACAGTCGGGTATGCTGCAGTATGTGCCGTTTCATTATCCAATCCCAAAAAAGGCCGCATTCTTGCACCATGCGCGTGGCCCCTACGGCGAGTCATGTCCACGCACTTGCCGCGCCGCGGAGCTCCCGCCTCGCGCTATTGGCCCGAGTCTACGTGCTGCTCTCAACCGCCCTCAGCCTCTACTTCCTCGTCGTCGTCTTGCAGCCCAATATTGCCAACGACCTCTGGTGGGCTGGCTTTACAACGCCAGGGCCCCAAACCTTTCTGGCCGATATCTTTCACCGGCGTCTTCAGCTCGCGACATCGTACTCGATCCCACTCACCGAGGTCGTTCTGGAGAAGAGCTACGAGGATGGAGCGAGTACCTCTATCGATATGACGCGCTCGCTCTCACGCCAAGTGCTTTTGGCCAACATTTCGTTTGAGAACGTGATTCCAATCATGCGCGAAACACCATTTGCGTGGAGCGTTCGCATGTTCGCACAGTACTGCTGGGTCGACTTGGGCCGCGTTTACGAGCTCTCTACCACCGCGCGTCGCCAAGCCCGATGTCATCGCAGCATGAAGCTCAACGGCGCAGTCTACTGGGAGCCGCTGCTGCGCAACTCGCTACAGCAAGACGTTCTCAACGGCTCGTATGGCGCGGCAGTCCAGACCACGCTTTTTGATTTCATTCAGAGCTCGCATTTTGGCAACGTCTGGTTCGCCTCTCTCTGGGCGACGCCGTGGCCCCCTGTTTTAGCCGAAGTTGCTGTCTGGCGCGAGCATGGTCTGAGCTATTGGCAAACGCAATTGACCAACTACTATGAGCAAGGTCTCCAGGAGACGATTCAAATTGAGAACGCACTTGGCATCCGCACCAACTTTACCATTCACCACAAAGCCCAGAGCTACCGCGGTTTGTCGCTCTGGTCGCTCGGCTATGCGTACGCAGGCGTGTGGAACGATCTGTTCAGCTGCCAGCAAATGGGCTGCAGCCTGCTTCGTGGCGCCGACGCGTACTCGGACCACATAAAGACAACGTGGGAGTTTGAGCTCTACGGTCTCGACGTCAACGCGACGCTGATTGCGCTCATTGATGCCAGCACAGGACCGTTTGGCAGCATCGACACGGTCCTCGCGAATAAACCAACAGCACTCGAGACCTACTACCTTGCGTACCAGCACCTCGCAAGGTCGTGGCTCGTCTTGAACGACTCGGTTCATTCCACTTACAGCTCCATTCCGTCGGTCACTGTCGACCTTGTCCCTTTGCATTGGCGCGGCGCCAACGTCAGCTACTTTACCGGCAACCCCATGTGCAACACCAACCGCCCCCAGCCATTTGTGCAAGATCAGCTGAGTTTCTACGACGCGTGTTCAATGCAGCTACCAAGTTTCACGACGTTGTCTCGACAAGCGCTCGTCTTTGCGTGGACGACGCTTCGCTACACCGACCCATCGCTCGCCAACGCGAATACTGCCCAGCTCTGTGCCGCTGTGCTCACTCCGACCAACAACGAGGCGTGTCAATCGACGCTGGAGATGGTACGCCGGCTCGTCGCGTCTTTTGAGATACCTTGGCAGACGCCATCCAACGACCTCGCAGCGGCCATGGCGCAGCTCAACGTTACGCTGGTGCAGTTTGCACTCAACGACAGTGTGCCTGTGTTCTGACGCAAGCGGCCATCGCACCGTCTGACGCGTTTTCCATCTTTGGCTGGGCCATGGTGTACGACTGGCTCGACGGCACGCGGGATGTGACGACGTTGGATACGGACACCGGTCTCTTCAACCTCATGTCGCCGTACATTGCGCCGACGCCGCTGCCAGCCAACCCGTTGGAGCTGCCCAAGCAAGCCTGCACGTACACATGGATTGTCATTGTGTACACAAATCTTCTCATGACGGGTATTGCGTGTCTCGTCTTGCTGGCCGCGACGGTGTCGACGCGCCGCATCCAGGATCTCGATTTGCTTGCCTACCACCGGGTCGCGAGTGCGACGTGGGTAGGTCGTCCGTTGCTCTTTCTTCGGGGGGGCACCGCGCTCATTGTGCTTGGCACCGCGCCCGTGTCGTTTGTCTCGACCAATGGCATCTCTCGCTTTGTCTCGACGCCGCGGTCGGTCTTGGATGTGATGGTGCTGGCCGGGGAGGCCAATTGGATCTCGTATGTGCTGGTGGACTTTCTCTTGCCGCTCTTAGGACGTCGGGTGCGGTGGTATGCCCCTCTCGGTGCTGCGGTCGCGTGGCTGGCCACGGTCCTCTTGGAGATCTTTTGGCCATTTGAAGCAATGCTGACGGTGCAACAGTCGTGTAACGTTGTGATGCTGGGCCTGGATGCGCGCTGTTCAGGGGGCAGTGTCCAAATTGGAAGCGTTCGCCGATTGTACCTGATTGCCAGTCTTCAAGTGGCGTCGCTTGGTCTCGCCGCGCTATGCGTGCGACTCTGGCTAGTGACCAACGAGGTGCCCGACCACGGCAGCGATCTCTTGCCAGCATCCGCTCAAGTGTTTTTGAGTGCGAGTCAACGCCCACCTGGTTTCGCGACCCGACAACGACGCTCATGGCGGGTATTCTCCCATTCGGTCGTCGCTACTTTCATGTCAACCTCTGGCAACTCGTGCGACCTTCGCTGTGGCCGTCTTTAATGGCGCACACGACAATCCATGACGCTCCATCGCTCTCCAAAGCGTGGCACGTCAAGCCGCGAACGCTACTCGGTATTCTCTACGTGGTCTTGAGTGTCGCTGGAAGCCTCTTTTACATCCATGTCTCGACGGACGCCATGACCAACGACTTTTGGTGGGCCTCGTTCAACTCGTCGGGCCACGGCACGTTTCTCGCGACGCTCTTCACCCAGCAGCTCCAGACCACCGGTTCGATGCCACATCTGGATCTGACCAAACACGACTGGAGCGACAACTCGAACCGGTACAATATGTCGGCCACCTCGTTCTCAGTCCCGATGCTGTATGCGTCCATGGTCCAGAACGAGGTCAACACACTTGAAGTGGTCATCGACGGTCTGCGCCGCATGGACGGATGTCTCTTGCCGTGGATCGCGACAGCCTACTGCTTCGTCGACTTGAATCGAACGTGGGAGCTGGCCGTGTCGGCGTACCGCCAGTCGGTGTGTGAGAAGGCGAATGGCGCCGTGTATCTGGAGCCGATCCTGCGCAACGGCAACCCCGTCGATCTCGAGACATGCTGGGGCGAGTCGCTCGCATCCAGCGTCTTTGACTATCTCGACACGACGCAGTCGGGTCAGCTGTGGCGGCAGTCCCTCCACGCGCCTCGTCTCTTGATTGCTGACGAAGCCACCTACTGGCATAAGCACGGGCTCCGATTCTACGAAACGCAGTGGCAAAACTTCAAGTCGCTCGGCGTCATCGAAACGTACTCGGTGGCCAACGCACTGGGCTTTGCCTACCCGTTGACGATCAAGTCGTCGAATGGGTCGCTGCACACGACGCAGCAGACGTCGTTCAAGATGCAGTGGCCGCTCGCGAGTCTCCTGTGGGCCATTTCTGCCAACGGCAGTGGTCTCTCTGGCAGCAGTCTCGTGCGGCAAAGTCCCCGCTTTGCATTTGCCAATCAAACGATCGCATCGATCTTGGCCAGCAACGGGTCCTTGAGTGTGCCGCTCGATATCTCCTTCCGCATCGTTGAACGTACGCTAGGACCGTTTGGCACGATTGGAATGCGCCGCGTGGCCTTTCCACCGGTCTTGGTCCAGTGGAGTCGCTTCTTGACAACTCGATTCAGTGCCGATATGGTGCATGCCAGCGCCGAGGCCATCGCCGCCTACGAGGCCATTGGCGGTGGCCTCATCGACTTGGCCATGGCGCCATTGGCATGGGGCGTCCATGGGTTTGTCGGCGGGGACCTTCTCTGTCCGACGCAACCGCCGTCGCAGCGCATAGGCATGTTTTACACCAATCAAGGCGCTTGCTCGGTCAACATGGAGGACACGCTGAGCGTCGATGCCGTCATGGGCAGCCTCGCGCTGCTAGCGGTCGGTCCGAGCGTCAACATCACACGCACGTGCGCCGAGATGACGCCGTGCCGTACTTTTTTGGAGTCGATCACTGTCTTCCTGCACGTGCGCTATACGCTTCAGGAACGCATCGCGATGGCCAATGCGTCGACAGGCATCGTAAACTACTTCACCACAGAGCTGCCACTCGTGCTTCTCCAGTACGTTCAAAACAACAACGAGACGACGATGCTCCTCGCGCAGTCGTTGCTACTCGACCCCAATGACGTCGGGTTTCATGGGTATGGATACCTCTACCTTCTCGAGTGGCTCCATGGGGTGCGCGAAGTCGTCACCTTTCACGGTGCCCATGGCAATATCACGGCGCTCTCGGGCCGCAACGCCGTGCACAAAGGACCCATCAACCCGCTCGAGCTGCCCATCAATGTCGCCTACTACGCCCGCTGCGTTCTTCTCTATGTCTCGGGCGTCCTCTTCCTCGTTGTGTCGCTAGCCTGTGGCTACATCATTGGTAGCCGCGGCCACATCGAAGGCCGGAACATGTTTGTCGTCAACCGTGTCACAGGCCTCGTCTGGATCGGCCGCCCGCTCATTTTTCTACGAGGGATCACCGCCATCTGCCTTTTGTCCACCGCCAAGCTCGACCTTGCGCAAGCCAATGGTTTCTTCTACATTGTCGCGATACCGCAGTCGTGGTTCTCAACGATCATGGCGGCGGGTGAAACGACGTGGCTCGTCTTCATCCTCAACGACACCTTCTCGGTGTGGACGCAGCAGTACACGCCTTTGTATGCGACGCCAAGCAGCGTGCTGGTCTGGGCCGCGTCTGCCATCTGGTCGCTTCTGTCACCAGTGAAGCACTCGGCGCGCTTGCAGCGGTCGTGCTCCGTGCCGATTGTGGACATGCAGCTCGTTTGCGACAGCGGCGTCGTGCGCATTGGAGACCCGACGCGCGTCACCGGCCTCGTCGGGCTCACGCTCTCGCTCCTCATGGGCACATACGTGCTCCAGCGAATGCGCTACCACGGTCGAGAGGAGAGTGGTTTGCGTTCGCATCTCTTGTACGTCACGGCGTTCCACCACTTTGCGCAAGACGGCTGGGTACTCGACGGTGTCTACTGCATCGATCGCGTTTCCGCCGCGATCAACGGCGTGCTCACACTGCGCCTGCCGCGGACGCGCAAGACTGTGCTGCTGGATATCAAGACGTGGCGACTCTTTCATGTGGACGCACCGATTGCCTCGGAAAACGCGCCGCACCTGAGTTATGCCATCCCACTGCAGTAAGAAGCGCTGCCATTCCGCTGTGCAGTTGTAGGATTCGGTGGCCTGTCGCCGTGAATTTCGCTGAGGACAATGGAACCTGTGATTGCCAGTGGTGTTAGTGTATAATGTACTAGTTTTGATGGTCAGGTTCAAAATGGACTGCCGTAGCACAATGTACCGCACCGGTACCAGCCCCATGCGAGCAGTTTCGATGCCCCAACGACGGCTGGCGATTGCACTTGCTCTGGTCGTGCCACGTTTCACCGTCTGACAACCATCATTCTGTGACCAGCGCTCTTTCTTGACCAATCCAAACATGTCATGGCTGCATGTCGCACTTGCGGCTTGCACGACAGCTCCTAGCGTTCTGCGTCCAGAGAGATCCCATTGCCGATGGCCATGCTGCTGCCGCCAGACGCCCACATGGGCCGTCACCCGCGCTCGATCTACTCGCTTTGGCACCTACTCGTCTGGCCTTGCGAGCTGCTTACGTACACGGCGCTGCTGTGCGTTCTCGCCCACGTCGTCTGGACCGGCGTCGGCGTCTGCCTTCTCGGGCTTCTCGCCCTCTGCGCAGTTTGTGTGGATGGCCCTCGCCTCCTGTGTGCTCATGCCAGCTTTGAAAGCGTCGTGGCGCGCTACCATGTGTGGCTCTTTGCTTGGCTCAAGGCCGACGTCCGCCTGCACAACCACGTGTGCTTGACGTCCCAGCGCATCCCGTTGGTTTGCGAGACGAACGAAGACACGTACTTGTGCGCCGAGCATACGCAGCCGCTGCTCATTGACGATCCATCGTGCGCCGGCGTGCTGCGGCTTGTAGCGTACCTACTGGTCGTGCGCATGGGCCTGGCCCTTCTCGCTGTCGTCTGGCTCGACCTCGCGGTCTGGTCGGTCGCCCAGAATTTCATCGCTGGCTTTCATGTGCTCCGTGCGCTGGTTGTGAGCCCTGGCGTCGTGCCAGAAGCGGTGCTGCAGATTGCCATGGTCCCCGCGTGGCGCTGGGATGTGGGTCCGTACTCGCTGCTGCTGCTCGTCGTTGCCGTGTGGTATCTTGTGCTCGTGACGCGGCAACCGCTCGTGCAGCTATTAACCGGTTGCACGCGCCGGTTTTGCTGCGTCGCTGTCTGTCCTCTTCCTTGTCGTGACGGTACGACGTCGGTGACTCTAGTTTAATAACTAGTAAATGTTAAGAGAATCTAGGCCAGAGGAGCTCAAGGATGGCTCGGCAAACTGCGAGCGGTACAAGTGCACTTTTTCAAAGTAAGGCTTCTTAGAAGTCGCCCCAGGGACCATCCATTGCTCGATGCGCAGTCCCCGCACCTTCCCATTTATACAATATTCTTTCACCAGATTATTGACGTCTCCCACTTGATCAACGACTACCCACGAACTGTCGTCGACGGTAAACACCAGACGTACACACGTAGTTGTGTCGTTTCATAAATGTACTACATAGACGTCTACGACCGGTGCAATATTGCACTATGTGATGTGCTTGTAGTGCGTTCCTAGTCCCTGTTTTGAAACATTATGTACACAAGCACAGGTCAATAACTCATTTTTAGAAGGTGCGCGCGTTGATGTCTCTGTGACCGGTTGGATATGGGTTCGAGTCTTGGCGCGCCTGCATCAAACCTTGTTTTGTTCCTGTTTAAGACAGTGTTTAAGTCTTGTGGGTGGTATCCGTACAATACACTGTTTCGATGCCAACCAGTGTGTCTTCCGGATACGAACCATCCTTCGAAATGAGCGACCGGCGACCATCGCACCGCAGCCGCAGCCGCGACCGGCGGCGCAGCCCCGACCAGACGCGGCGACGGAGCTCCGACCGGCGCCAAAGCCGAAGCCCGGACCGACGTCGTCGTAGCCGCAGCCCCAGCGCCGAGCGGTCGCGCCGCCGCAAGCGCAGCGCCAGCCGCGATCGTAGTCGTAGCTCCGACAACGATCGCAAGACGAGCAAGAAGACAAGCGACAAGCGAACATCGCGCAAGGCAGCTGATACGAGCAGTAGCAGCGACAGCAGCAGCGACAGCAGCAGCAGCGACTCGGACGACGAGCGTCGCCGTCGTCATGCCAAGAAGGCGTCGTCCAAGAAGGACAAGAAGGACAAGAAGAGCAAGAAGAGCAAGAAGAGCAAGAAGAAGAAAGCATCATCCCATGCCATCAACCAGAACGAATATGGCAAGTATGGCATTCTGCGCGAGACCGACTTCCACGCCAAGGCCGTCTCGTTCCAAGCCTGGCTCCGCGACGTCAAGAAGGTAGATCCTCATTGTCTGCTTCCGATGCATGGAAACACGGATGTAGATCCCTGACTTTAACGGACCCAAGTACGAGGCCATGGACCACTTCCGCGACTACATGGAGGACTACAACACGGCGACGCTGCCGCATGCGAAATACTACGACATTGAAAAGTACGAGCAGCGCCAGTTGGCCAAGGAGCAGGCCAAGCGCGCCAAGCGACACAAGCCCCGCGCTGCGGAAGAAGAGGCGACGGCGTATGCGGAGCGCATGCGGCAGCGCGCCGAAGCGAACAAGAAGGAGTTCGCGCTCATTTTGCAGACCATGGACCGCGGCAAGATCGAAAGCATGCGCGAGCAGCAGCGCCTCCGCGACCAGATGCAGATGCACTACAAGGCCGGCAACATGGACGAAGCGCGGCGCCTCGAGCACCTGCTCACCAAGAAGGACGAGGCCAAGCCCGAGCCCGAGTTCAAGCCCGACACGGGGCGTCATTTTTAGTCTAAAATCTATCCACTGGATACTGCTGCACCGAGTGATGCAATCTATAATTGGCATGGGCAACCGAGCCTCGTCGTCGTCGTCGTCGGGGACACGCACGTTAACGGTGGGTGAAGTCGTCGGGACGCCGGCGGGTGTCATTGCCCGCGTGCACTCGTCGGCTACAGACAGCACCAAGCTCTACACCTACGTGCCTCGCACGGCGCCGGCCATGGTCGTCCGACGAGGCGATCGCAACACGACGCTGTCGGCGTCGACTGTCCTCTATCCCAAGACGCAGCTGCCTCCCAGCACGACGTCTTGATGTCTCCACCATCATCGATACGACTATCCATCCAATCGAGAGTATAGATACTTCTACACAACGTGTCGTATCCCGTACGGAACTACTATCCAGTGGACGTCCAGCGCTATCCAAGGTCCAAGGGGCATGCAATACGTTGGCGCAATATTCGATATGGACGAATATTACCTAATGCGATGCCCGTCGATCGATTGACACTGCAGTCGGATAGCTACAGACTGCTTTGACCCTTTGCAACACGTTGGATATAGCAGGAAATAGTGCATAGAGGGTCAATCGTCGTCGTCATTGTCCAATGACAGTGCCACCGACGGCCAAGGACCGCGACGTCTGGAAGACTGTACGGAGCGTGTCGTCTGGAGCTTCCTCGCTTCTGCTTCCTCTCACGCATTACATAGCATTCCCTTCGGTACCATCATATATGCATGGCCTTGGGACGATGTTACCGAGATAGACGACGTGCAATGCGTCTCTATGCATGCCGCGTCTTGACAAGAGAACGCCGCGACACATGTTTATGGATCGAGTGGTCATCCTGCAGGCAACGCCAGCGGCGATCGTGCAAATGCAGTACTTGTAGTAGGAACGCCTATGCAGCATCCCGACCACCCACGATGTGGCGAAGGTCCTACTTGACCACGCCGCATGACACAGGTCCGGCGGCTGCAATCGACATCGACAACCGTGGCTCGTGGTCCCACACAAGCCAACCGGGCTTTCTGTGGCACGCCAAGGGCGACGTCATGTATACATCTTAGATCTCAGTACAAGGACGGCGACCGACGCCAGACTTTGACCGTGCTGTCAATGGACGCGGTCAGGAGCATGTCTTCGGTCGGGTGGCTCACGACCGACCGGACGGGCTTGTTGGCAGCATGGGCGAGGAACGACCGCGACGCATCCGTCGCGTGCAGCATGTCCCATACAAGCACGCGGCCGTCTTCCGAGCCGCTAATGATATGCGCGTCGTCGAACGTGAAGCCGCATTCGACGCCGTAGGAAGAGAGCGCATGGCCTTCAAATGCATTGAGCTCCGTGCCCGACGCCGCCTCAAAGAGGACGACGCGCTTGGCGAGCGTCGACACGACGATGCAGTTGAGGTCGCTCGAGAGCTGGAGACTGACGACGGGACCTACCCGTGCAAGATAGTCGTGTTCGTATCGTCAAAAATGATATCAAAGACGAACTGTGGAGGTTGTCTTGGGTGAGAAGCCCAGCACGGAGGTCGTAGCAGCGCACGTAGCCATCGACGCACCTACAGAAAGCGCCCTGCATGTGTATCCATGGCACACGGTAGAGAGGATATGTACCCCGTGATGATTTCGTGGTCGGTCATCTTGACGCTGGTGACGCTGTCCTTGAAGTGGTCGAGGACTTGAATCGGCGCAAACGAGTTCCGCGACCTAGCAGCACCATGGTAGTACGGTGACGACGACGACGACGACGAAGGCGTACCGCATGTCCCAGAGACGCACGGTGCTGTCGTACGAGGCGCTGGCGACGACGGAGCAGTCGTCATTGTACTCGACCGCGTTGACGCTCTAGAGATCCTGCATGAGAAAAACGAGCGCCGATCCAACACCGTGGGCGTACGTGGCTATGGCCGTCGAGCTTGCGCACGACCTTGCCCGTGGCCACGTCCCACTGGAAGATGGCCTTGTCGCGGCCACAGGACACAAACTTGGCATTGTCATGCTCGCTACACCAACATCCGCTTCGCACATCCGTCCAAGACGATGGTCGACGTACATGGCCACGTCGCGCACCTCGTAGCCGTGCAGACCCGTGTACGACTTGACGAGGAACGCCGACTCGGGGCCCTCGAGGCCATCGCGGTGCGGGTTCCAGAGCTTGATCGTGCGGTCGTTGCCGCAGCTCATGCAGTACGTGCCCTTGTCTACTTGGCATGAGCGACATGGCCATATACAGAGAGCGCGATGATACCATTGAAGCGGACGGCGATGACCGGGCCCACATGGCCGCGCAGGACGCGGGTGCACTCGTACGACGCCGGTGCCATGCGGCCTGCTGTTGGATCCCGACGGTAGGATATACTATTTCATAGATGACGCAAGTAGTGTACGTCTCGACACGCATATTCTATATATAGTGTTAATAATACGTGAAATAGTGTGATTTATCGATTGACCGAGGCCGGCTCGATGACAGGAATGGACCCGCGCAGCGCCAGCCCTTTTGATGGCGCAGTTGGCGGCTGCTAGACGCCTTGCGCTCGCCTTCGTGCAGCGCTGCTCCTATTGCCTAGATGTCGTGACCTCTGAAAACGAATGTGTCCGCGCAACTCACGGGTGAAGACCGGCCTTTACACGGCGAACGACCTCTCAAACTTGATGCATCAAAACGAAGTCCGATTCTGAATATTCGCCAGCGCAGCATGGACGCGCTCCTTGGCGATACGCACGTGTGGGCGACGATCCTCGGCTACGTCCAGCGCCAAGACGTTGCCATAATGGGTATGCCATATGCGTCGTCTACCTCACGCCCATGCGCATGCGCCTCTAGCCTGCGTGAACAAGACGTGGTCCAAGGCCGTGGCGCGGCCGCAGGTGTGGGAAGTGCTGGCGCAGGCGCCGCGCGGCCCGTTCCTCGCGTCCTGCTTTCGCCGCGCTTCGTCGTACGCGTACCGCGAGACCGATGTTCCGGCGCCGTACGTCGCCTCTCTTGCGGCTCCTGTCGCCTTGACGATGGACTAGGAATGTGAATCGCCGCGGCGCGCCGCCAACGATCCGCGGCTGTCTCCTCAGCGACCGCTCGACGCTCAAAGACTACATCAACGAGCTCCGCGCCATGTACTATGAGCAGCAGAACCTCGCCAAGACGCCTGTCTACCTCGCTGTGCCCGACGCGCTCTACGACGACGCGGCCAGTGTGAGGACCGACCGCCCGTTCACACGCGACGAGTGGCGCCGCGCAGCCTTCACGTCGGTCACGCTCGTGCAGAGTCCGGGCAGTCCGATTGCGACACACGTACCTTGGATCCTCCGCCTTCTGTATTCTAATAGGATGGCATTAGGTGCTCACGGGTGCGATCCTCCACGACACGGCCTTCTTCTACCTCTGGCACCTCAAGGAGGCTCGGATCGTCGCTACCATCTACCATGCGCTTGCTACCTGCTTTGACACGTGCGCCAAGATGCTCGTCATTGGTGCCGCCGACGGCACGGTCAAGACATGGGACCTCGCGGCCGCGGTGGCAACCAAAACGACGAGTGCGCCCGTGCGCGGGTTGGTCCCGACATCGAGCCTCGCACCGCGCTCGCACATTGGGCTCGCGCCGTTTCTACCGACGCGCGCCAACCAGCGCCACAAGCCCGTCAAAGTCCAGGTCGATGTGAGCGAAGGCTCGTTTGTGTTTGTGGCCGCCACGTACGAAAAAGGCGACGTGGCTGTCTGGAATGCGACCAAAGCCGAGCTCACGACATCGCTCTCAGTCGAGAGGTAGCGACGCGTGGTCCATTTTCATTTCTTTTGATTGATTTTTGTTTGTTTTGGTGATGTAGCATTCACAAGTCGACACTGCCGCGAGCAGCCCGGACGCCGACGCCGCAAGTGACGAGTCTCATGCTCTTCCGCAACACACTCGTGTGCGGCACCTCGGTCGGTCTCGTTCGGGTCTTTGATACGCGGGACGGGCGGCTGAGCCACCGCATCAGTGGCCACCCCGGTACGCTCGAATCGACAAGATGATGACAAGTTGATGACAAGATGGCTGTCTTCGTAGATGCCATTGTCAAGACACTGACGCGCGGACGGGTGCTCTGGAGCGCCGGTCAAGACGGCTCGGTGCGCTGGTGGGGCGGCAAGTCCCCAAAAGTCCTCCCCAAGTCGCTTCTCTGTGAAGGGCCCGTGTCGCATCTCGAGATGGACGAGTCAGTCGTCGTGGCCGCGTATGGCGCCAAGGGCATGCAGGCATGGGACGTGCGCACGCAGCAGCCGCTCACGACCTTTGGCGCCACCGACGGCGTCGCGTCCGTGGTCTTTGACAAGCGCAAGCTCGTGAGTCTCTCGCCACAGGGCGTTGTCCATGTGTGGCGCTGGTTTGGCTTGTATCCGGTGCACTCGATGCCACGACACCACGTGTACACGGCGATCGCGCATGATGAACGCCACCTCGTGCTGGGGACCGCTGAGGGCGCGGCCGTCGTCTACCGCATGGAAGGCATCCCGTCCAAGAAGCCGCCGGGCGCCCTCTACGACTACTAGCCCTTAGATTGCGATATTCAACTATAACAAATGACAAGGTAACCTCGATGCTCTGTCGTGCTGAAGCTGGAGAATTAGCTGGAGACACGGGGCTGCATGTCGGGCGCCAATAACGGCCTCGTCGTCGTGCCTGGAGGACCTCGACCAACTGTGCAGCTCTGATCGCGACGCCTCTAAAGGACTGGAGCATGGCCCTGTCAAGATGCAGATGCCACGTCGTCGACCACCTTTTGCGTGTCAGTAAATTCCTGCTTCCGCTTCACATGCACGAGGTGCGGGGTTCGATCCCGTCGACGCTGTCCCTTTCTTCTCTTTTCCATTGGTGATGGCCATGTAGTACCATCAGATGGATGATGACGATTCGCAGACATCCCTCGCGGCCGCTAGCGCCCATAGGCGTCGGGAAGCTGCCGACAATCGACCTGGTCTGTCACAGCGTCAATCACCACTCTTCATCGCTAAAATGGCAGTGCCGGGTTGCGCAGCCACGACCCGATAGGTAACCCATGGCGGCACGCACCAGTGAGTCCTCGGCCTTGAGCTGGCGTGGAGCTGACCTGCATCGCTCAAGGCCCTTTGGCCACAACGACGACGACGAGGCGTTCAAAACGATATGGTATCCTGTGTCGCCATGGGCCCTGCAAAATGCAAAGGCCGAGTGCTTGATGAGCTGGCGCCACGGCAGAGCGACTGTAGTATCAAGTGTAGTGGTCGAGTATCAAGTGCAGCATGGAGTCGGCAGCTTGGACAAGATGCGGGCGAGCATGGCCTGTCCGAAGTGGTGCACTGCGGTTATAAAACGACTAGCCATCTCATGGTGTTCGGCGCGCAGGCCACCGAGAAGGCGCCGACGATCGGCGCGCGCCGGCCCATGACGGCCAGCACCATCGACCGCGCGCCACCCGCACAAACAAGCGTCGCGCGGCCCGAGTCCGCGTGCTTTGCCAAGCTCCGGTGTCACATGGCACGCCGTCCACCACCGCCGCACGTCGACCATCCATCTCATAGCAGCACGCACGTAGACGCTAGCGCGGGCGGCCGAGCACCAAGCGGCGTCGCAAGCCTACCTGCGGCGGTCGGCGGCGAAGAAGAAGCTCGACGACCAAGCGTTCGCAGTACGACAATGACATGAATGACGACGACCTTATGGCGACGGACTGGACGGGGTGTTTAGGAGCAGCTCCACCTCGAGCAGCAACAGATGAAAGACCGGCTCATCACCAAGATCGTTGCAATCTCGACCATGTCGAACTCTCCACCAACGCTGAATGTGTAGGAACAAGCCAACGCACGGACCAAGTACCTTGACACCGACCGCGTTTACTCGCTCGTGCAGGTACGAGACCGTCGCCGATGGCATCCGGCATGAACTGGAGCCAGGATGTCTATGGGCAGTATGCAATTGGTGCACAGCGAAGTGGTGATGCCCGCTTCCGCGTCCTCGACCTCGATGTCTTTGAACGCGAGTATCGGCGGCTCGTGACCACGTCGCGCCTCGAAGCTACCGGCAGCTGCGGGGACTTGACCGTCTTGCGGCGCCATCCTCCGCACAGCGACCACATGCGCAAGTCGCTGGTGCACATAATGAATGCCACGACGCAGCTCGCCGAAGCGCTCGACGAACAGCTCCTCGCGATGCAGCGCAAGGGCTGGAACACATCGGCCATGGGACATCATGAATCGTAGTCGAGCACGACCGATGCACACGTTGACATGGAGTAGAATCATGTGCGATATCTACGACGATGCATGGACTACGCTCTTGTCGCCTCGTCGTATTGTGTACAACTTGTCGTTCGTTGCCAGGACCGAAGACAATGGCTAGCCTCGAGAGATGTGCTGGAGGCGTTGGGGTTGCTTTAAATGCTGGCAAGGAGCGCATCGTCCTGCGTACCAGGCGCCCACGTGGCGACGAGAGAAGAGCCAGAGAAGCCAGAGCCACGGCCCAGCGAGCGAGTGAGGACGTAGCAGAGCGTTCGTTTCTATTATAACACGAACTGATTGTTGTTAGAGCCCGAGGACTTCACATCAACTCAACACTTTTGTTAAAGTTGCATGCGAAGCGTCGGCAAGGCGTAGGATGTAAGAGTTGGTTGGAATTGCAGTAGAGATACAAGATGACTAGGAAAGCGTGTAGCGCATGCCACCGACGGTCATCAAGAGATCGTTGGCCGATTTCTGGGACGACTTTTCGCCCGAGAAGAGTGAGGCAAAGACCGCGCTCTTCTCCTTCTCGGCCTGGACCGCATCGAGGGCTTCGCTCACGGCGCGAACCTTGGACTTGGGCGCGTTCGTTGCGATCGCAGCAGGCTCGTCGCGCTTGCGCTTGAGCGCTGGGATAGCTGTCGTCTTGCCATCGTCTTTTTTGTGGAGCGTGAGCATGACCTCGATGGCCTTTTCTTCGGGGAGCAGCAGAGCCAACCGATCCTTCTCGCGCGCCGGCGCACCGCACATGAGGCACTCGGTGGACTTGACTTCCTTGAGCGCCTTCTCCGAGAGGACGCAGCCGCACTTCTTCTGCACGACAAACGGGTGCTTGCCGTTGAAGACTTGCAGCGTGATCGGGCAGTGGCGAAGGCCGGACGTCTCGTCGGCGTAAAACTTGCAGTTGACAATGTCCTTCATGGAGCGGATGTAGCTCAGCTCCGGCGGCAGCGTCCGCTCGAGGAGGCGCTCGATGAGCGACGCCTTGTTGAAGAGGTTGCCGAGCTTGTCGGCCACGATCGGCGCTGCCAGCGGCTCGTCCGTCAAGGCGCACATGGTCGTGCGCTTCGCACGCAGCGTGCGCTGGTCGGCCTGCTCGTCGCGCTGCTTGTGCTGGCCATGGCGCATGAACTTGCGCTTGACCGCGATGACACCACCATCGTTCCCCATGCTGTCGTCTCGGAGCCTCGAAAGCGGAATGCGTCGATGCCATTGGCCAAAAGATCGAATTTTCGAAAGGAGCGGTTTTTTGCTGAACTGGCAAAACACTTGGATTTTGTATGCAGACGCCACTTTCGACAAGATGGAGCGTCCTCCATAGGACCGCCCTAGCTAAGAGTAGCACCTTACGTCGTAGCTCTATATACAGCTCAAGGCACAATCGAAGATGATGCCTTGCGGTCGGTCGCGTGGCCAGGCCCCGTTAGCGGTACGGCTCCTCGCGATACGAATTCAGCATAAATCTGACCCTGTACAGCAACGCCAGGCGTATCCGGATCAGCGGGGCAGTCACTTCGAACTACGAATTACGGTATACAATACACAAGGTATACGGTGCGCCTCGAAGTCCATTTGAATCACATTATCCGGACAATATTTGAATCATTTCCAAGTTTGCCGCGGGGCCACGGAAGAGGCCGGCCGTCGACGTGGTCATGGAAGCTGTCGTCAAGACATTGCGCCACGTGGAGAAGACGCATGCAAATGCATCGTCTTCGACATCGTCCAAGCATGGGCTGCATGCGCTGGAGCTCTTCTTGCTCCTCAAGCCCAAGACCTTTCCTGAGCATGCCAAGCTGTCGACGCTCTTGCTCCAGCGCAAGACGTCGGATGCGTTCGCCACGCCCGCGCCCAGCGCCAAGAACGTGGTCATTGACAAGTCGCCGAGCCTGTGCCTGCAAGGCATCCAGCTCGCGCTACAAGCGTCGCAGGACCTCTCGCTCCTCGTGCTCGCGAGCCTCCTGGTTATCAACCTCAACCGCGACAAGGTCAGCTTCAAGCAGCCGTTTACGTGGGAGAACATGCATTTGCAGCTCGCCAAGAAGCTCCTCGACGTGGCCGCGCTCCCGCTACCGAGTGGATTGCACGAGTATTGCCGCCTCCTCATGCACTACCATCTGCGACTCGTCTTGACCAGCGTCCAGTTTGCATCGCCATCAACCTCGAACGAGGACCTCGACTGGATCGCGCTCCAGCGCAAGTTCTACGACCTGCCAACCACGCTGCCACCGTTCATGGAGAAGCTCCTCGTCGTCTGCCTCCAGATGCAACTCCATGAAGGCAAAGTCGCAATCCTCGTCCTCCACGACCTCGCGCCATCGCGCATGACGAAGACGACGTGGGACATGGCCTACCGTCTTCTCTGGAAGTGCGCGACGAGCCTCGAGAAGGCATCAACAAACGATGCCGGCACGGTCTTGCATCTGCGGACCCACGGCCTTCGCTGCTTGGCGTACACGGGCGGGCCATGGCCCACGTTTCTTCAGCAGGTACGATCCTTCCGATCTCCTTTGCCCTGCCTTGCATGAATTACCACATCGAGTAGCTTCATCGCACGGGCATGCTCTTCAAGAAGCACGCGCAGCAGTCGCCATCGCCCTTGTACGCAGAGATGGTGTCGCTCTGGCACACCCTGCTGGCCCAGCAAGCGACGGTATGCTATCCATTCTGCAGGCGCATCGCGTCATGCCTCTGTCTTAGGCGGACGAAGCCATAAGCTGGCCGATTCTACTCCAGTGGCTCGAGCACTGGGTGGTCGTTGAGCCATCGCATCCGGGCGTCGCAGCGACCTTGGCCTATGTCCGTCTCAACCTCGTGCCTGCCGATGGGCGCTGGCACGGACTGCTTTCGCTCCTTAAGCAAGACGCCTCGATCGATAGTGTACTCGAGAGCCTCGGAAGCGACCTCTCGCTGGCCATGCTGCCCATTGCCCTGCGCTGCCTCAAGCGGCGTCTCGCGTCCCACAGCGCGGCGGCCTATCCACGTCTGCTCGAATGGACGACGCGGCTACGACAAGGCAGTACGTCGGCCGGCGACCGCGACCGGCTCGTGCAGGAAGAGCTCTACTGCCTTCGCATGTGCATGCGTACCTCCATCGATGCGCCCATGACGCTTTTGCGCTACACGGAACGCGCGATCGCTCTCTACACTGCCGTCTTGCTGCCGTCAGTGTCGGACGATGCTGCGGCCGCCTTCAACGCTCTGTGCGCGGACGCTCTCGCCGCCGCCATCCAGTGGTTCAAGCAAGAACAGTACCAAGCCGTCGTGCAGCTCGGCGTGCTTATCTCGCCGCACAGCGACAAGCTCCACGCCGTTCTCGGCGCCGCGTACCACAAGATGCACAAACTCGACTTGGCGATCGCGTCGCTCGAGCTCGCCGTGCGCGTCGACGCATGCCATGCCGACAAGTACCTGCACGTGCTCTTTGACGCACCGCGCGTCACCATGGTCGACTCGATGACGCGCCTGCTGCATGCGTCCTCTGCGGTGTCGACGCCGTTATGCCAGCAACTGCTTCAGCAAACGACCAAGTGGCTCCGGCACTTGCGCCGCGAGGCGTGTGAAGCCACGCTCGAGCGCTTCCATGCCGCGCTCGACCTCCACGCGCTCGTAGCACCCACGCGTTTGGACGCACTCTTGCGCCAGCGGGCGCGAGCCCTCGCCGACTTTTACGTCCATCGCGACGTGGCGCCGTGGCTCGCTGCCCTGGATACGCTGCTACGCGCGGTGGCCAGCGAGACAACGCCGATCGCGGCGGGCTGGCGCGCGATTTGGCGCCTCGAGCGCATTTTAAGCTCCACCTACGCGTCAATCGAGTGTCCCGTATCGTTTGATGCGATTCGACCGGACCTCGAGTGTGCGATATCTGGGTACACGCATGGGATTCAAAGCGACAACGACGAAGAGAACCTATATCGAGACGCGCTGCTCGGCGCCTGCCACGTGCTCGGGTGGAGCTCGCTTCACGTACGGCCCCTTGATTCGGTGACATGTGGCCACGGTGTCTATGTTGTAGCGACGACTGACACCCGAGCGCGCGCCGTGGGAAAACGCTGCGGCGATGCAGAGCACGGGTGACGTGGACGGTGCGCTGCGTCTGCTCCAGTCGGTTTTGGACGAGGAGTCGCCACGCCAGGGATCCAAAGGGACGTCGTTGACGGCGGCCCGCTGTCGACAGATCGCGCTGGCGTCGGCGTATGGCGCCAAAGGGCTGTACGAGGACGCGGCGGACGCGCTCAAATCAGCGCTCCACCTCTGCTTCCAGCACGTCCAGTACCTCGGTCTTGACACGATTTTGCTGCCGCCACTTGCCGCGCCTGGCAAAATGTACTTTCAAACGTTCGATGCCAACGGGTGGCGGGTGCTGCACGATGCGCTGACCGTACTCTCGGCGCTCGGCGACGTGCATGCCAAGCTTGGGTCGCCCGCCAAGTACGTATATCTTGTTGTTGTTGGTCCTATAACGAAGAGTGATGGATATCGCTCGTCTACCTTCGCCGCGCCCAAGCGCTGGCATTTGGTCTGCATCCGCGGCTCGTGGGCACGCGCCACGTCGCGCTCGTGGGCGCGCGCCTCGAGCTCCAGCGACACAACTTGACGGTGGCTCAAACCGCGCTCACCAAGCTGCTGCCGATACCAACGGATGACGCGACGCTGCGCGAGGACGATGCGTGGATGGCCCAAGCGTGCAACGAAGACCTCTTTGAAGGCGATGTGCTTCATGTCCAGAGCTGCTATGGCCCGGCGCAGAAGGCGTACAAGCTCTCAAAGCACCGCATCATTCCGTACTACCAGTCGCAGAAGCGGCTCATAAACATTGTCGGGCGCAGCTATCGCAAACTCGCGTCCAACGCCGTCTGTGCCTACTATTTCGACAAGACCAAGTCAACGTTTCCCGACGACGCGATCACGGCGTTCCAAAAGGCGCTCAAGCTCAGCATGTGCGACGTGGAGAAGGCGCGGTGTCTCCATGCCGTCGGCCTCGCAGTCTACCATCGCGCGCTCACGCACGACGACGGTAAGCGCCTCGAGCTCCTCTCCCAGAGCATCCAGGCGCTTCGGGAAGCGTGGTGCCATGCCGTGCACATGCGCTACCGTCCGCATTTACTGCATGTAGTGTGTCGCGACTTGACCTTGGCGCTCATCGAGACAGCCAAGCACACGGACATCGTCATGCAGCGCAAGCTGCTTTGGAACATGACGCTGTTGCAAGCGTCTGGCGTCCGCGTCGACAAGCACGACAAAATAAGGGCACGGAGCCCAAGCCAGAGAGCATGTCGCCGCCCGAGTTTTTCCAGATGCAGACGGACGCGTTCCAGACAGCGTTCGTGTCGTCCGAGATCCCGGCCAATTGGAACATTGTGTGTCTCTCACTCACGTCGTCCAAGGAGCTCTTGGTGCACCGACTCCAGGTAGCACGACTCTTCTTTCGTACAGGAGGCGTCTGACGAGCGATGTTGGTAGCGCAATGGCGCGGTCCCTGTTACGGTCGCGCTGCCCAAGAGCGTATTTCCAATGGAGAGCTTTCTCTCCGGGCTACACAAGATCATTGCCGCCTCCAAGTACTAACTTTTCTCACGTGGGAGGGCGATACAATTGACTGACCTAGTGACACGTTGTCGGGGCATACCGCCGATGAAGCGCATGCGTGGTCAGCTACCCAAAAGAAGCAGTGGTGGCACCAGCGCAACCATCTCGACAAGCAACTGCACCTCCTGCTCGAGAAGGCCATGGTACTCGATCCGTGGATGTTATCGGACCCTATTTCTAAACGGTTTGGAGTAGACCAAGCTCGGGTATTTCGCCAGTCTCTTTCTCAGTCGGCCGGTGGTGGTGCCGGAGGCTGTCGTCGCAGCCGTGGCCTCGGTGCGTGCCCAAGTCGCAAATCTCTCGCTTGTCCAAGACGAGCTGCTACTCTCAGTGCTGTACGCGCTGCAGCAAAACAAGCTGTCGCGGGACGTGGCCCTCGCGGGCCTTCGGTCGATTGTGCCGAGTCTCAACTTGGCGGCGGTTCGATTCCCGGTGCACGCATCGCTTGAACCACCCGGCCCCACGATCCTCGTCTGCGATGAGAAGGTCCATGCGTTTCCGTGGGAAGGCCTAAGCATTTGCAACGACGTGGCCGTGAGCCGCATGCCGAATCTGCGATCGATCTTGTCGCCGGTCGAATCCGCCGTCTCCAAGCACAGCGTCCGGTACATGATCAACCCGTCGGGCGACTTGGTCGCGACCGAGAACGTGCTCCGACCGTTCTTGGATCAAGCCGCGCGTGCGTGGCAGTGGACCGGTGTCTTTGGCCCCCAAGACGATACCGCAAGTCGCATGGCCGCGTATGTCCAGGAGAGTGATGTGTTTATCTACTCGGGGCACGGCTCGGGGGAGATCTTTCTGCACCGGGACGTGCTATCGGGGTGGTCAAGAGCCAGCGTCGCGCTTCTCTTGGGCTGCAGCAGCGGTCGCCTCAAGCAAGAAGGGATCTACCTCCCGGAAGGCATGCTTTTGAGCTACTTGGCCGCCAATAGCCGCGCGGTCGTCGGCATGCTATGGGACGTGACCGACCGTGACATTGACCGGCTCAGTCTCAAGCTCTTGAACGATTGGTTTCGAGGCGACGCGTCGTTGGCGTCGGCGCTTCTGATGGCGCGACGCGAGTGCAAACTGACGTCGCTCAACGGTCTCGCGGCGGTCTGCTACGGTCTCCCACTGTTTGTCGATGTCCAGAACGACGTGGTCATGACGGACGAGTAACACAAAGTAGAAATACTGCAAATTAGACGAAATAACATAAGGTATGGTCCACACACTAGATGACATAGACTACATCGCAGTAGACCGATTGGATGACTATTGCGATGGCTTGTAGAGCCCAAGGAGTCCTTGGGGTGGCGCAACCCTACCCCTACGAAGTAGCGTCACGGTATTCTAGTATAGTCCTAGGTATGCATATCTCCATAATCGCTGCCATAGAGCCTCGTCGAGACGGTTCTTCTACATGTGGACGAGTTACGCTCGTCCACATATAGAACTCGAAACTATCAATGTCAGCACTTGATTTTTTATGGTCCTACAATTATTTTGAAGCAACTGGCGGTGGAAAGGGTGTTGATGGCAACCGTTGCCATCTAGCTACAATAGCTCTACTACCTTGTAAATAGACTTGAACGCGACAGACGACATACACGTGTGGTGGTGGTATATCTGTCAATGTGTTCATTTTGTCTACATTTTGTCTACGCATATTCGTTAAACAGTATTAATACTGTGGCTTCGATCGAAACAGTGTTTCGTTGGCCGTTACAAAATCCTGCGGCCAAGATCGCTATACAAACCGCAAGTGTACGTATGAAACGGGTAGGGGTAGGGATCGGCGGCGGCTTGTATGAATCAAAGTATGGTGCGCTTCGCGCGCGACGCCGACGAGCTCAGTTGCCAATTTGCCGAGTCGCGCACACATGAGCTTTAGCAGCGGCAGCAGTCGGAGCAGTAGCGCCAGCAGCAGCGCCGCCAGCTCGCCGGAGCGCCCCATGGTCGTCGACCCTCCAAGCGAAGACGAGCATGACGACGACGAGGAAGACGATGATCGACCGAGTGTAAGCGCCGAGCCCGACGAGCACCATGCGAACGAGCCGTGCATGATCAACCCGCGACTTCAACCTACGACCCCTCGGACGCCGTCGCCGATGGTCGACGTAGTACATGCGACATCGGCGGCCGGGAAGCGACCGCGCCAATCGCTTGGTGATCGATGGGACGTGCGACCGTCCTTCTTTAGCCCACCCCTCGTGCACCCCAAGGCCAAAGAGATGACAACCGAGAACCCGAGCTCTGCTCGCCCGACGCCGCACAAGCACGGGTTCTATAAGGCCAAGACTGCGGCCGAAGCCCCCGGCGCCAAAATCAAGAAGGCAAGTAGCGCGTTTGCGACGACAATGGCGTCCGAGTCGCGGAAGAGCAAGGTCCCAAGTCGACCCGCAGAGCCCGAGATCACGCGCGCTGTGAGCCCGACGGCGATCCCTGCACCACCACCGAGCAGTGCGACGCTCCAAAAGCGACGCCAGTCTACCGAGGCAGAACCACTGCGGGATTCCAAGCGAGTCTGCAAGCCGTGGTCCATTAAGAAGCTGCGCCGCAAGCTCCTCAAGGAGCAGCTTCGCAAGGAAATTGCGCGCACCCAAGTCGACACGTACGTCTTAAAGTCCCAGACGGCCATCTTGCGTGGTGCCCAACATGCCCAAGCCGCTTAGGTCTACGTTTCTTCCATCCATGTGCTCATGCTTCATCATCCATCTTCTTCGTTCTGTCATTTATGACACGCAGAGCCTTCTCGTTCGACCTTGCGTGTCCATGCTAATCGTCTTTGGCTCCATAATCTTGGGCTACCTCGAACGAACGAGCGTCGATATATTGTATATTGCGCCTTGCAGCGGGCTCGTTTCGATTGCGATATTGCGCGCGCAATATGCGTTCTTCGTTCGATGTTTTGGGCTAAGAATACATGGTCGACCAAGCCGTAACGGCCGCAAATCGAACGGTTAGTAACGGTTTCGCAACCGCAACCCTAGCCGTTCCAGCCGCCGACGCGGTATTCTTCAACCCGCCAGCTTCCAGTCGCATCGATTATCGATTGCCATGGCAGAGCCGACGACCGACGGACGCACGGCGCTGCATGCGCAAGACGAGCCCATCGGCAGCGATGACAGTAGCAGCAGCGACGAAGACGACGAGGAGATGGCCGCCCGCCGGCTTCAGCGCCTCAAGCGACAGCTCCGACAGCTCCACGAAGCCATGCTCCGCCAAGAGATTGCGCGGGCCGACGCCGAGACGCGCGTCTTGAACCGACTGAGCGCCTCATCATGCCAACGAACCATGCTTCTTCTTCTTCGTTACATGTGCATGTATAGGGCTAGGGTCGAGATGGAGATGGAAGGGTTCCGGGAGATGGGCATAGAGGGAGCATGGAAGCATGGCGGACGCATGGAGCGAGAAGCATCGAGGAAGATGGAGGAAGATGGAGGAGGATGGTGGAAGATGGAAGGACGCAAGCAAGGTAGATGGAGGAGGATGGTGGAAGATGGAAGGACGCAAGCAAGGTAGAGGGCGGCCGTGCTTCCGCGAAACCACGCGTCGGACCCGCTCACGCGCACGCCGTTTTCGACCCACCCGAGGCGTCGTGTCATAAAATACACACGTCGCATTCCTTTCGACCATTTCTATTTGAAAAGTATGGCCCCCCCGTATTTTTTTCCTCTGGAATTTCGAAGCGTAGGGGGTGTACCCTAATACCATGAAACGGTCATTTTTCGCGCGCGAATTGTGTTCTACGGTGTAGGGTTAGCACGTCGTTGCATTTAATGACTGGATTCTTGTATGCAAGCGTCGGCGCGATATTAAATGAGGTTGCGCGCGGCTAACTTGACCACCTCAGTTTCCAACTTGCCTCCGAGCCAAGAAGACGACAGCAGCAGCAGCAACCATGGCGAGCCCCTTGAACCTCCACGACACGACCATTAGCGCCGAGGCAGCCGCGACCTTGGCCCAGGAGATGGCGACGACCATGGGTAGCGACGCGAGCTTGACGGAAGCGCTCGACACGTGCATGGGCTTCCTCGACGGCGGCAACATGGAGCCGGAAGCGCTCGACGAGGATGTCGACGAAGCGCGGACGACCAAGCCGGACGAAGAGACGCCGGCTAGCGACGACCACAAGCGCAAGCGTGCCAGCAACGACGACGATAGCACGCCGACCAAGATGCACCGCCAAGCCCAGACGACCGACGTGCCCGTCGACGAGAGCGGCGCCGAGACCAAGGACGAGGAAGCGAGCGCATGAGTAGCAGTTCCCGATCCAAGAGCAAGGATAGACCCGGGAAGTAGTGTTGGAGCCCATGTGGGCTCATGCATGTGTTATCTATCCCTTCAATGCCAAGATGCAAGTGATCAAGACGTGTCCATGCCGACAACACCGCCCAGAGACCAACGTGTCATTTTCCCCACTTATTGCCGCCATACTTGCTCGGCAGCCAGGGTGCCAGCGCAATGCATGCAAGGTGGTCGAAGCCAGGGGTAGGGGTCCGACTCCGGCGGCGGCTCGTCGATCCGACGGCGACCCTCTGCTGCATACCTTCCCGTGCACTGTTTTAAATCACATACAAACCGTAGGTTCGCCACTGTGATGAAAAACGATGAACGATCGCCGCAACGTCATTCTCCAGTAGGTTTGCTCGGACGCACATCAGCGACGACCGCCCCGATGCATGCTCATGTCTCGGTCATACCACTCCAGGTATATGTAGACGAAGGGCTTCCACTGCTCCTCCAGCCCACCATCTTCATGCCCTCTATACTCATCGCCGGTAGTTGCACCCTCGAGATTTACGACGCGATACGACATTGATCCAATGCAGACGTGTTTGTAGTCGAGCAGCTTACTCAAAGTGGATGATGGCGCGGATGCAGTCGCCGCTGTGCATGGCGTGGAACGCCTCGTTGATCTCGGCGAGCGAAAAGTGGTGCGTAATGAACTCGTCGACCTTGAGCTCGTGCTTGAGGTACTTGTCGACGAGCGCGGGGACGCCGTCGCGCGACTTGAAGCCGCCAAAGGCCGAGCCAGCCCAGCGGCGACCGGTCACGAGCTGGAACGGGCGCGTCACAATCTCGACGCCGGAGGCCGCCACGCCAATGACGCAGCTCTGGCCCCAGCCCTTGTGGCAGCACTCCAAGGCCGCGCGCATCGTGTCGGCGAGGCCAATGCACTCGAAAGTGTAGTCGAGGCCGCCAAAGCCATCTTCGACCGTCATCTCGGTCAGCACCTGCTGGATCGGCTGCGTGTAGTCGCGCGGGTTGACGCACTCGGTCGCGCCAAACTCACGCGCAATGTCAAACTTCTTGGGGTTGATGTCGACGGCAATGATGCGGCGCGCGCCCGCGGCCTTGCAGCCCATGATGACGGCAAGGCCAACCGCGCCCATGCCAAAGACAGCGACCGTCGAGTCCTTCTCGACCTTCATCGTGTTGAGGGCCGCGCCGTACCCGGTCGTGATGCCGCAGCCGAGGAGGCAGACCTTGTCGAGCGCCGCCGTCTTGTCGATCTTGGCGACCGAGATCTCGGGCAGCACCGTGTACTCGGAGAACGTCGACGTGCCCATAAAGTGGTAGATGGTCTACATCCATGTGACGATGAGGAGCTGCTTGCTCGAGGCAGACGTCTACCTCGCCGTTGCGCTTGCACGTGAAGCGCGACGTGCCGTTGGGCATGAGGCCGCTGCCCTGCGTCGAGCGAATGATCGAGCACAAGTTGGTCTTGTCCGACTTGCTACGAGCATGCGAGCATGAGCATCTCGTCGTCGCATGGAATTTTTTGCGGGTACCAAAACTTGCAGTTGCGGCACTGCGGCGTGTAGCACGGGATGACGTGGTCGCCGACCTGGAGCGACGTGACGCCTTCGCCGACGCTCTCGACGATGCCGGCGCCTTCATGGCCCATGATGCACGGGAAGATGCCCTCCGGATCCGCGCCCGACCGCGTGTACTCGTCCGTGTGGCAGACGCCGGTGGCCGTGATCTTGATGCGCACCTCGCCCGCGGCCGGGGCGCCGACAATGACGTCTTCAATGACAAAGTCCTGCTTCGCGCCCCAGCACACAGCGGCCTTGCACGTGATCGGTTGCGCCATCTTGATGGTCTCGGGATGAAAATGGAAATGCGCTCCTGCGCCTCTCTTTCCAAGACGATGCCCCCCCCTCGCCTCTCATGGGGACCCTTCTTCTCTATATACAAAGATGCTGTCGTTTCGTTTTCATAGGGGGTGGGTCGGGTACGTACACGATTTGCTTGAAGATCGCAACGTTGCCGCGCCGTGATTGGCCCGCTTCCGGTACGTTGCATCCACCACCATGTCAAGCCCGAAGCTCCGCGAAGGTTCATACCGGTACCGGTACGACGAGTCCATCGACCTTGCCGCGTGCTCGTGGCTACGACAGGGCAGTTGCGATGACCGCTACCGGATGCTCAGCGCCGGCGTGGACAGGACCGCGTTTCTGGCTCGTTGAAACTGCGAAGCGTCGGCGGTGCGAGAGCCCCGAAGCTGCAGTAGAGAGACCTGCCGCGATCGTGTTGGCCGACGTCGCGATCGTGTCTACGAGGTTGGCGGGTCGCGTGACACGCCGACGCAATCATGCGCGAGCGCCCACCGAAGTCGCGACGAACTCTTAATACGAACTCTTAATCGCCCCCAAAACCATCGATAGAGGCAGGGCGACTGTATGCACGCAGCCTGTGATTGGTCGGTGCTCCATTGCAACCTCCCCTTTCGCAAACTTCGGTTTCGAAGTTCGACATTAAAAACCCATCGACACCTGGAGTGATCTCCCATGCCAAATACCCTCCCCTCCTTCCCCGAGGGCTTACGGAGCCCCGCTAACTCTCCCTCTTCCCCAGAACAACCCCACCGACCTCGTACCTCTTCCCTAACGCCCTCCCCGACCTCACGAAACAACTCTGCTGCCTCAACCACCCCATCCCCGAAATAACAGGCTAGGAGTCCCAGGAATATTATTACTACGACACATGTGGCGTGTCGCAATAGTTTTAGGGGGCAAACAGGACCCGTGCGGGGTGAGCTGGTAGGAACTTTTGAATATAAACATGAAAGTGTTTCGCGGGATCTTCATTGTTGCAAAGAGGTTGCATACGTAGAGACTAGCAATCTCCTTCTCCTTCATGCATTCACCGGGCCGTGGCTGCGCAGGCGGCGGCGCAGGGGCTCGTCTTGCTCTTCTGTGGTCGTCAGGGGGCGCTTGCGGCCGCGGGTGAGGCCCATGAAGACACGCTGTGTAAAAGCCTTCCAGGCTTTGCCGTCGGCGGCAAAGCTATGCAGCTGGTTGAGGTCCTCGAGAGACGCCAGCGACCGAGGCGGCGTCTACGACTGGAGGTCGTGGTGCAGGACGATGGGCAACGCGATCTTGGTGCGGCCTAAAAAACGGGATGCATCGGGAGTGGCAAAGAAGCGGGCGGCGGCAATGCTGACAGGGACGTCTTCCTTCAGGCGCAGCACGTGGCCCAGCAGGCGCCAGTGCTGGCGGGCAACAATCGCGCTCAGTGGGACGCTATGGCAGCGCTTGTAGAGCGCGACGTCGCCGAGCGTGTTCGGGTGAGAGATACCTAGAAGGCGGCGCTGCTGCTGGCGATGGAAGCTGTCAAGGCCCGCAAGGCTCGTTGGCGTCAGGGCCCACGTGCCACAGTTGATCTTTTGAATGCGAAGCATTGTTTACCGGTATTTGCGACGATGGCGCGTTGGCCTAGACAAAAGTCAACGCGCGACCTTCGCTGCGCTGCGGTGCGCAGACTTTTCCGGGCCAACGCGCCGTTGTCGCTTGTTGCAGTCTTCAATGTGGCATCGCACCTGGGTCATCTGGGTCACCTGGCACTTCCAGAGCATCTTTGACGCCTTCGTCATGAGTCGAGTTGGCCTCCGTCGATAAGGTCGCTGCGGCGGATTGCTCACGCTTCGCGAATCTTGCCATCCTTCGGGTCTCTTGCTTCTTCTGCGCTTGCCGCGCCTGGAAGAGATCCGCCTCGTACACCGTCCGTGGCTTCACCTGCTTCCCATGAAGCCCCATGGTATGGTACTAGAGGGCGTCCTTGCCATGACGATCGTCTCCGCGCGCTTCCGCTGTCTCGAAATCGAGACGCGCTCAAATGCTCTATTAGGTGCGGCTTCGACGCACTTAAAAATGTACCCCGTATAAGTGCGTCGTACTTAAGGTTTACAAAATCAAGTATAATGTCCATCATGTGACAGCACTTAACAGGGACTACCAAATCGCACCTCACAGGACATGTTCTGCGCGATGCGATTGGCTGAGACCAATGAAACTGCGTTTCATTGGCCAACAAATCTGGAATTATAGCCAATGGGTTGGCCGGATTGAGACACGACACGCCGAATTAATCCCCTGGGATGCTGGTACACCACGTAAACGTTCCTACCAGGATTAAGCGGCCCTACCGGTACCGTAGTGCGTATCGGAGCTCACTAGCATAGGTCGTCCGGCACTCGTGCTTTCGCCCGGTATGCTTCTGTCGTCCATCAAACAGAATGTCGCTTGAGCGGTCGAGCATGCAGTGTATTTCGGACAGTCGACGATGCAGTGTTTGTCGGCGATGCAGCGTATCGGAGCGAAACAATGGATGATGATGATGCGACAGCCATTCGCTGTGTCGTCGCGCACGCCTCAACCTGCTCGATCGGTTCTACACGGGACAACAGTACGCTAGCCACGGTGCCAGGTGCGATCAATTTGCTGCGGCCCACGCCCCGATTGGCTCCGGCCGGCTTCAAGTGTACCGTCATTGGATGACTGCAGCCTTCGAAAGCGCTCATCGATCCTTGAAGCGCATACATCAATGTGTGTGATATGATCGCCTCTTTTCCATGACGACGGAGGAGATTGCTGCGTTCTCTGCTTCATGAACGCATGCTCATCATTGGGTGCATTGTGATCCAAGTCGATCCGCCACCCATTTGATCGCGGACTTCACTTTTTGAGCGTCTACATCGCATACTTGCGTCGGCTTGTCTCGACGACAGCGCCTGCTTCCTTGAAGGTCGTGATGGGCGGCGCCCCTTGGAAACTTGAGTTCAAGCATGTCTCCTTTCATTGACTGCCAAGTCGAGAGCAAGCGGCTACTACACTCGTTGTTTCCGAGCCAACATGTCCACAGTGCCTCTTCCATCGACCGTCCTCCACGCGTTGCACGTGACCGCACATACACACAAGATCCATCCCCTGCACGAGGAACCAGGTACACACTCTGTCTCTTCGATGGACCTTCGTCTACTATTGCTCGACGACATGTTGATTGTGTGCGAGCTAGGCGACGCGACCGAGTCGTGGGCGCAGTTGCCGTTGACTGACTGCCTTCTCCGCCTGCGAACACCAGCAGCCAGTCGTGGCGAAGACTTCGTCGCGATCAGACGTCACGAGCACAAGTCACTACGCGCGCAGCTGTCAACGGGTTCAATTTTTGAAACGTTGAAGTGGATGCCCAGCTGGTCGAAGTTGGCGCGTGACGACTTGCGATTTCTATGCCCCCCGAAGAGAAAGGCAGTTGCACGTGGTGTCGATGCCAACAGGAAATCGGCTGCGCGTCATGAAGAAATCAAACCGAGTGTACCTGGCGCGCCCGACAAAGGCCCAAGAATGAGGCAAGCAGCTCTCTCTGAGAGTGGTGCCCGCGCAGGTTCCAGGCCGACGTCGCCGCCCAGGTTGGTGTAATCGAATCTCCAAGTTTGGTTCCACCCATTTGGACCAATATTTGGCCCTTCTTTCTCCCTTGGAAACGCCGCATTTGGGCGTTTGCATTCTATTACCTACGACATTCCAGTGTTTGTACGGATTTTTTAATGCGACTCGAAGGACGACGTCAACTTCGAGGCGCCCGGCGAAGCGTCCCACGCTGTCCAGCACGCGTAATCCCCGGCGTGGATGGCTTCTCGAAGTTCGAAGTACACATACAAAGATGAAGCCTAAGACGTGGCGGCACACGAGACGACCCATGGTGGCCAGCCTTGCCACTATCAAATCCGCATACAAACATCAAGTCCAACGAGATTAAAAATGCGCCGGAATCGCATCAGCCTCCAAGCTACTGCCATGTGGGGCAGGGCCGCGCAGCAGTAATGCAACCTAAGCCATGTGGTTCTTAGATCATGGCCATGCCAGCTGGCTACTGCGCTCCCGTTCTTCGGCCAGTTGGTGTTTCCCTTGCTCGACACGAAGAAGTGAAGGCGGCGACAATGTCCCACGACCCGGCCCACGAGCCCTACCACTATGACCACCATGGCATGAGCCTCGAGCCCATGTACAGCCACGGCGGCGTCTCGTCCTTCCACATGCAGATGCAGCAACAACAAGCGGCGTCGTACCATGGCGCTATGACCAGCAACGGCAACACCAGCACGACCAATCCCAACAACCAGTACGCGCTCAAGCGCAAGGCGCCCGCGTCGCCGCCGTACACGGCCGAGCCCGTCGTTGCCGCGCCCACGTCGGCGCCGCTGTCCGGCGGCCCGCAAAGCCAGCGCACGTGCGACGTGTGCAAGTACCCGGACCCGATTCTGACCGTGCCCGAGTGCGGCCACACCTTTCACTCGCGCTGCGTGGGCATTTGGCCGATGCTCACGTGTCCGTACTGCCAAGGCGACGTGGCCAAGATCGCGGTCGTGCCCGTCGACATGTCGTCCAAGCCGACGCAGCGCAGCGGCAAGTGGACCAAGCAGGAAGAGAAGTTTGTCAACATGATCGTCGACGAGTTCGACCATGGTACGTTCCCGCTCGCGAACGGCACGCCGGTGCGCCTCGTGCTCGCCAAGCTCCTCAACTGCTCGCCCATGCGCCTCTCGAAGAAGTTTCAGAAGAATGCGCTCGGGAAGCGCACATACCGCGTCCCGAAAACGTCTAACAACGGCTTTCGCATCTGCTTTGACACCGAGTCGCACCAAGCACGCCAGATCGAGTTCTCGGCCGCCGAATCCGCGTTTCGCCAAGAGGTCGTCATGCTCCAGCGCAAGGACAATGCGCGTCAAGACGGCTTTCTCGAGCTCCACGACCTCCGCCTCGCAGTCATTCAGTTCTGGGTCTCCAACTTTCTCAAGTTTGCCATGTCGGTCGGGCAGCAAGTCGATGGCCTCGACACGACCGAGCCCAAGAAGAAGAAGCAGGCCATGCAAAAGCTTCGCGAAGGCATGTTTGACCAGCTCCTCTCATGGAGCAACCCGAACGCCCCCGAGTCAAGTGCGACCGACGCGCCGCCCGCCACAAACCCCAACCCTAGCAACACCAACACCAACACCAACAACAACACCAACAACCCCCAGAACGCCAACGCTAGCAACAACAACAAGAGCGGCCACAACGGCAACGGCCACAGCAGCAGCAATGGTGCACCGCCGGCCAAGAAGGTCACACGCCGCCCGGACGTGGAGCACCACCCGCCGCCGCAGAGTCCATGGGACACGCCGTTTATGGACAGCCATAGCATGAAGCACAATCAGCACAACGTTGCATACGGCAAGCCGGTCGACCTCGATCTCTCCAACAGCAGCAGCAGCAGCACCAACATGTTTATGAGCCACATGTACGCCAAGGCGCCCCAAGCCAGCTTCCGGCAACAGCTCGACAAGCACGACGGCGGTCGGTACCACCACCGTGACGCGATGCCGCCGCTCCAGCCCACGTACGGTGGCCCGACCGGCTACGACTACAAGCGCCGGACGCCGACGCTGACGCCCTTGTCGATGCGCGCGGGCGGCCCGCGGCTGCCCGACAGCATCTTTGACGACCACAACGGCCCGTCCGCGCTCGATGCGGTCCTCATGAACACACCAACGAACGCCAACTCGTTCCGGCCACCGACGCCAGGCCCGCCGCCGTCGTCGCACTACGACCCGATGGAGCCGATCCAGCAGTACCCGCCGACCGCGTCGTGGGATCAAATGCTCGATGACTTCACCGGTATCAACACGCAGCTCGTGGATCCGTCGCTGCACGCATGGTCCAACATCCAGCTGACATGAGCAAAGAAGGAAGCGGAAGAAGAGGAAGAACGTAAACGTAGTGTCGTGTATAGACTCGGTCGTAGCTAATATAACTATTTTAATGCAGATATAGCCTTAGTATGAAAAACACTTCAACTTGTCTGTCTTCAAGCAGGCGCTATTACGGTAGTGGAGGAGGCCGAGTACATACCGGTACGAACTTGAAATAGGTGGATACGACATGCGTGGATTCGTGCGACGAGGGTCGCGACACAGCTTGGCGACACCACAACCTCAATTTGTTGAGCCTCGGTGGACCTTGTTGAAGGCGCTTCTTCGAGGCGCCAACTTCGATGCCATGACGTTCCGACGTACTGTAGCATCGCGGAGCTAGCTTGAACTCGATAACGAAGGTTGGAGCTGCGTGGACACCATACAGCGAATACCAAGCCTCTAGTAGCACGCTACCGAGTGGATGGAGGACTTGGGTGTGTTGGTTCTTGACAGAAAGGACGGTGGTAGCACCGGGTGCCGCCACCAAGACCACAGAGTTGCAGCCGAGCGATGTGCCCTTTTCGTGCTACCGTAGCTTGCTTGTTTTCCCATCTTGCAGACCACGTCTACATGTACCAAGGCGCTGCTTGGATGTCGATGCGGGAAGATTGCCATCGCCTCTGAAAGCTTTCTGATTGGTGGAAATACCACCCGTTGGCGCAAGGCCATTGGTTCAAAATCCTCTCGGTGGTATCCGCCAATCCATCTCGCCATGATGTTGGTTGCCCGCGCGCTGCGGAAGCCGGTGCTTGCCTCGGGCCGCCGCCCGCTCTCGTTCCTTGGCCGTCTCTTTGGCGACGAAGAGGTGTCGCCGGCGGCTGCGCCATCATCGCGGCCCTTTGGCTCGAGCGAGTACCACCTCGCGCTGCTTGGGTACGTCTCGCAGACCATGCACCCGCAGCACTCGCTGGCCGCGATCATCGAGAAGGACGCGGACTTTCTCATGGGCCACGTGCTGATTGGCGCGAGCCAGTGCCTCTCGCCGCATGCGCTTGCCGACAGCGTCCAAGCGTCGACGCGCGCCGCGACGGCCAAGGCCATTGCCGCCCGCGGTACGCTTCTGACGACGCGCTTCTTGTCCTTCTCGCCCTCGTCATCGTGGCCTGTACTAGTCGAGACGAGTACGCTGGAAAAGTGGCACGTTCAAGCACTCGAGTACCTCGTGGCGGGCGAGTGCCGCAACGCCGTCGCAGTCTACGAGACCATCTTGCGCCATGACGTGACCGACCTCCTCGCGCTCAAGTGTGCCACCGAGCTCTACGCGATCCTCGGGTACATATTGTCTTGTGTGTCATAGACATGTTTTGCGATGCGTTTATGCACTAGCGACAAGAGCAACATGCTGCATGTGGTCTCCCGCGTGCTGCCGCAGTGGTCGGCGACGATGCCGGGCTACAGCCACCTCCTGGCCATGCAAGCCTACGCGCTCTCGGAGAACGGCGACCACGGCGCCGCGCACAGCCTCGCAGACCGCGCCATGTCCATGCACGAAGAAGACGCGGTTGCGTGTACGACGACGCTTCCTCTTCGCCATGTGGTGGCTCATGCTAGGCTCCTAGTGCATGCGCTACTGCATGTGTACGAAGTCCAAGGCAAGCACCAAGACGGCGCGAGTCTTTTGCTGCAGAGTGCGGTACGATGACGATGCTTTTTGAGTTTTTTGTGATTTTTTACTTGATATTTGATTGATATTGGATGGTTTTAGGACCAATGGGAGACGTACGCGGTCTTGCGGACCCACTTGCAGACGCATTTTGCGCTATTTCTCATTGAAACCGGCCGCTACGACCGTGTGCTCAAGCTGCTTCGCCACGATATTTTGACATGCGAGGTGCGACGATGGACACGTAGTCTGAGAGTCGTTTTGGATTCTACATGGATTTATGCTTAGAGTATGTCGGCGAATGTCTTGATCGATGCGACGCAGATTTACTGGCGCCTCGTCCTTGCGGGCTTTCCTGCCGACTCGATTGCGACCGAGCTCATGACGCAGTGGCGTCACGTTGTCGACAGCGACGTGCCGCTCACGCCGCTCGCGACGCTCCATGCGCATGTACACGCATAGTCTTGTGGGATGCCGCCGATGGATACAATATTGTCTTGATAGACCATGTTGTCGCACGCATCGGCACCCGACGGGATCCGCAAGCAGCTGGCCCCACCCACGTCAGGTACGATCGGCATTTATATTTTGACAAGCATTTATGGAACGTACAGGTCTGGGAGATGACGCATGGGACGTGGCGGCCGTGGCGGCCAAGCTCGAGCGCAGCGTGACGACGTTTAGCTACCCGGAAGCTGGTAGATCCCTCGTTGTCCAACTTGGAAATGATGGCGGTGGGGTTAGGGTTCTCTGCCATTGCGCAAGCGGCGTTTGCGGCGGTCACTGCCTACAACGAGGTTGTCTCTCCAAGATGCGGCCATGTCGCATGACGATGGTTGTAGCATCGGTTTGGCGACGCTGTCACTGGTCTCTTGCGCGTTCGCTCGCAAGCCCACGTACGCATGCATTTGTTTCCTATTTTTCCTATTTTTCCTATTTGTCATGTTTTTCGAATTGATGTGGGGCTAGGTGCTTGGCGGGTCCAAGGTCGAGCAAGAGCTCTACGACATGCTGCTCATCGATGCGTACCGTCGTGTGCTTCGTATCCTTGGTACCATTCTTTATGTGTAGGGCGACGCGTGGCGGGCAGTTTGACTTGGCGCACCTCGTGCTCAATGAGCGGTATGTCCTTCTTGCGTTTGAAAGATTGATACATGGAATGAATATGACCGTAGTATCAACGCCAAACCGCAGAGTGCGCAATACTGGCACACGTTTGGCAACGTTATGCGTGGCCTTGGTGACGCCGATGGCGTCGACGGCGCTCGTCGCATGAGCTACGTCCTCGGTGCGTTTTTTCAGTCGAGCGAATCAAAGCTCAATGCGTTGAGTAGGCCTCGGTCAAGCGGGCGCCGGCGCCTCGTAAGCCAGCGCACTGAACTTGGACGGTGCCACACCGCGTGAAAGACTAGAAACACGCCGTGGAAATATCTTTGAACCAGACTACTCTGGTTCTCGTGGCTGTTCAAGGTGTCAAGGGCCAATAAGATGATTCGCTTGTTGACCCTTGAAGCACCAACACAATGCGAGGGTAGAGCCATCTACGAGAAAGCTGCAATTTAAATCGCTGGATGACGACATTTCGTCGAGGAATACGATCAAGTGAGAGGCGTTGGTGCGCGGCTCTGGAGGCACCGATGGAGAGAGATGCTGAGGCATCGCTCCAGGACGACCAGTGTCATATCTCTTGCTGCTCGTCGCCCTTTCCCATCTGCGTCTCCAGCCATCAACGACCACACAACGAACGTCGTCTTGTCCTGGCTTGCGCTGGTTGGAGCATGGGCTGTCCCCATCGTCGAGACAAACCAGCTATAAGAACGAGTCCTCGAGAGCCCCACGAGAACGACAAAGCGCAGGTCGAGCGTGGCAATATCGCAGCGGAGCTCTGAAGCGATAGCATGCCGCTGTGTACGGTCCACGGCTGCTCTCAACTGGACTAGCGTCCGAGCTGAGCCTAGCGCACTGAGCTCGCGGCCAGACGCCTGCCGCGATGCGAGAAGGCCAGCCAAGTGACTGCCGTTGACGACGGGACATGTCCACTGCATGGCGCAGTGTGAATCGATGCTGTAACGTGGTGCTGCCACGTTGCCGCCCCGTATCCGTACTATGTTTCCGGATAGTATGCCCAAGGGTGGGCATGGACCTGGTGTACCCAACGCCGCCGCAGGCGCGAGTCGGCCTCGACGCGCTGGCCGACGCGACGCTCGCTCGCCTGCGCGTGCTTGTGGCTGTCGATGCGAGCGACGATGCGCAGCCGGTCGCTGCCGACGTTGTCGGGTACTATGGCCTCCGCCTCATGGTGGCCGCGTCCAGCGACGCTGCCTTCTTCCACGCGTGGTGGCTTCGCGCCGAGACCAAGCTCTTCCGCGCGCGCTTGCGTCGGTACCTCGACTCGAACGCGGCGCCATCGGCCAAGGCGACGCTTGTCCAGTACCTCTTGGCGCGATCGCCGACCACGTATGCGACCGACAACGATGGCGCGTTGCGTGTGCCGTTCTACGAGGTGCCATCGCTCGTGGCGCAGCGCGATTGCACGCTGCGCGGCGGCTACTGCCGCATCTCGCCGCTCTCGCCCGACATGGCGGTGCTCTTGGCGCAGCACCGAGCGAATGCACTCGAAATCGAGCTCACCACCGCGATACGAACACTCTCGTTTCTGGACCTCGACCGGTTTGCGAGCCTCATTGGGCGTGTGCAGAGCGCGATCCGCGATGCGTGCCAGAGTCAAACACTCGGTGTACGTGGCGGTCGCCGGCGACTCGCGTGTGCGGCCGACGTTGACGCCGCGCCTCTGCCGCTGTGCATGGCGTCGCTCTATGCGACGCTGACGCACACGCGTCACCTCAAGTACGACGGCCGCAACCAGCTCCGGCTTTTCCTCAAAGGCGCGGGCTTTACATACGCCGACAACTATGTGTTTTGGAAAACCCTCTTTTGCCCGCCGACGACGCCCGCCGAATTCGAGAAAAAGTACGCATACAACATCAAGCACGGGTATGGTCTCGTCGGCAGCCGCAAGGACTATGCGCCGTTCGACTGCACAACGATTCAAAACGGACCAGCTCCGCGCGCGGGGCAGTGCCACGGGTGTCCGTTCAAGCACTGGGAAACTGCATTTCTCGTCGCCAAGCTCCGGCCGACAGTAGGGCTCGAGACGGCGACGGCGATCGCAGAGATGGCAAAAGGCGGCCAGTATGGACGAGCGTGCGCCATGCATTTTGAAGCCACGACCAAGCGGCCGGTGGCCACGATTTCGCACCCAAATGTGTACTTGGACATGGCCCACGCCGCGTTGAGCTAACGTATTATATTGCATGTGTAATCGCATGCTTCAATCCAGTTGGTTGGTTATGGGTGCCCGCTCTTCAAGAACCCGAGTCGCTTCGTGTGGTGTGTCCGGATCCAAATGCAAAGCCCGCCACGGAAACTGCATTTAGCACGTGCCAAGCAACCACCGAAAGTGATGTGTCCGCTTGGTAGTACGTCGCGGCCGAGGCCGAGTCGGAAGAGGTATGAAGCACCGTAGGGCACACTCCTAATTGCATTGGGATCACGGCGGTTTGAAATAGGTCTATCCATCCACCTAACTATGGGACGCGGGGAGCGCCAATCACATAGCCCGAGCCCTCACCTATCCCGAGGCCTGCCGGACCACACAGCACGGCGCGAAGGACGTGCAATTGGTTCCAACATGCACTGCAATTGGACTGCATGCACGCCCCTTTCTTTCCTGCCGCGAGGCTGCCTGTATAATGTTTCGATAGAAGGGAGAGGGACAGAGCTCTAGAATGGACGCTCTTAGCCGTATATAAAGATTTCGAGCTGTCGACCGCGTTTACCGAAATACGGTCGGCGGAACCACGTCGGTGAGCGGCAAGTAGAGTTTCTCGAGTGTCGCGACGGCTTCAAAGACCACGAGGCGTGGCATGTCCATGTACTCGGCCAAGATCGACACCACGTGCTCGGTCGCGCCATCGACGTGCTGCAAGCGGACTTCACGTGGGTACCGATAGTATGGGTAGAACGGCGCGTCGTCTGGCGTCGCAGGCACGGCGTCGATTGGCGCACCCGTCGCGCTGTGCAGGGGTGCAAAGGCGACGACAGGCGCCGGCTTGACAAGCGTCTCGACCGCCTCGTCGGCGGCGGCAAGCTGCTGCAGCGTTTCAATGTGGTCGTCTAGGTGCGACGGCACGGTGACGCGGCTCCACTGGCCATGCCGCGCGTCATCGGTGGCAGCGACGAATGCGTGCAGGTGCTTGCGCTTCAGGCGCGGCGTCCGCGCGTCCAGCGGGTGCATGAGCGAAAAGGCTTCGTCCTTGTCGGTATTGGACGTGTAGACCAAGAGGTGCCAGGACGGGCAGAGCTTGAGAGCGACGAGGACGCGCGCGACAAAGTCAACTTCGGACGGCAGCAGCCAGAGCTTGGTGCCGTTGCCTTCGGCGGCCATCGTCTCGGGCGGCAAGACCGTGTGCAGCCTGTAAAAGGCCTCGACCGCGCCGTGTGGCAACTGCAACGCGGCCGCGCAGGTGCGAAACGCCAGCGGCATGTTGAGTGGCGGCAAGTCGAGATCGAGGTGGTAGTGCAAATAGTTGGCTTCGGCCGTGATCGTCGAGGCCGTCACGGCCAGGTACGGCAAATTCGTGTTGAAGTACAAGTGCAGCGCGTCGACGGGGGCGGTCATCGTATCCGGCAGCAAGCTCAGCACGTTGCCGTACGGGAGCCGCCCGTCGCGTACGAGCACGTAGAGGTCGCTCGTGAGCACGCCGAGGTGCCGCAGTCGCGCCGCGAGGTACAGAAGACCCAAGTGCGACCGCAGCGAGAAGCGTGAGAGCTCGGTTTCTTTCGCGCCTTTGCCGTCGTTGCCATAGTCCCATTGGGTCTCGTACCCGCTTTGCAGCAGCGCATCGCTAGCATGCCATGATGATGAGGAGGATTCCCGAGGCGAGATTGATAAAAGACAGGACGTACGCTGGCTTTTCCGAGGCGTGGCCTGCCTTGGAGAGGAAGCAGTTGAGCAGTGGCCGCGCGCCGTGCGCACTCCACATGCCAAGAAAGTGGAACCAAAGCTCTTCGACGGTTGCGACAAGCCCCTGGTCGTTGAGCGCGACGGCGAGGGCTTCGGCCTGCAGATGCAGAATGGTCTGCGACACATGCAGGCACGACTCGAGCGTGACGAGCGGCTTGGCGGCTTTGGCGGCTTTGCCGCGCCGGCTGCGCTTGGCCTTTTGCCGGATCTTGCGCGAGCCGCGCATCGCGAGCGCGTCTTCCATGTCGTACTCTTCGTTGCGGCTCTGCTGTGCGTTCTGCGCGCCGCAGATGTTGCAGATGCTCTCGCCCGTCGCATCGTTGCGGTCAAAGTTGTCTTCGCCCGTCACGCCGCACGTCGTGCAGAAGTACGTAAACTGGCTCATCGCCGCCGCTACCGTGCCAGTGTTGCTTTGCCGCAAGGCCATTGGCTGCCGTTTCGAGAGGACACCGGGGTACAGCTTGACTTTTTCAACCTTGTAATTGGTACACCGGGGTACAAGCAACGTTGAAGTTGCAGTGGAGTTTGCACTTGCATTGAGAGTATGGCATTCGATACGGCCAACGTCACGACGACGACGTCGTCCATTCGAGATAGAGACATTCCTAGGACAATATAGTGCATCCATAAATGGATTTGCTCGTTGCCATCCTCGGCTCCCGCTTCCGGTGGTTTCTGGCCTAAGGACTCCATGTAGGATTTATCCAGCTTGGCTGCTGCTGGAAGCGTCGCACGAGTGACTGATGTAGTTATGTTGAAGCGCTTCGTCTATCACTCTCACGAGCCTGCGGTACATGAAAACGATCAGAGAATCCAGTGCGAAGTTCGCACCTGTTGTAGTATTGGTCTAGTGCATATACAGGGTCCTTCTTGCAGACAGGCAGAAGAGACACGTGGGTACTTGAAGGCCGACAATGATGCTGCTTGGCATCGCACGTGCCTGCTGCCGCTACTGTTACCGGTATGAGATCGCACTCGATTGCTCATGCCCTGCCGTATGCAACCATTCGAAATCTCAATAAAACAGCAATCCCAATGCAGTGAATTGCGTCACGACCAGCTATGTTTGAGAGTCAAGGGCTCTACTGCCCATCGCATGCTTCATTACACCCCCGGGTTCAGGGGGTTAGGGGCAACGAGGTGTGTTTCACCCTTTCCCAAAGGGGACGGAAGGAGGCATGGTGTATATGCGCAACGCCTCCCGTCCAACCAGCGTGCCTTGCCAATAATGTCAACCTGAACTTAAAAAGATGGTACTGCTGCACCAGCTTGTCGGTTTCAGCAACAAAATGCCCCAGAGAGGCCCATTGCGCCAGGTACCCGCGGCGCGCGAGTACGTATGCGAGGTCGCCGGCTGCCTCTACCTCGTGCTCTCCATCTGTCTGAGCGTCTACGCCCTCGACGTCTTTGCGCCGTACATGGAGAATGGTCTTTTCTGGCCGCATTTTGACGCGTCCAACACACTAAGTCTTCTTGGCGCCGTCTTGAATAAGCACCTCGGTGCGCTTACTGGAGGTTCGAACCCTGTACCGATCGACCTACTAGCATCCAGCGCGTCGATTTGGCGACGCGCCTCGACAGGTGTCAGCCCTGCCTACCCGCGTCGTTTGCTCTACCAAGAGCTCACGGACCTTGCGGTGGCGATCCCAGGGTTACGGCGCCTCGAACCGAGTGCCGTCGCGTTCATGATCACACCGTACTGCTGGGTCGACCTCCAGCGGCGCTGGGTGCTCGCACACACGCCGCGTCGACTGGAGCGCTGCGTCGCCACCGACTTGGACAATGGCGCCGTGTACCTCGAAGCAGTGTTGCGCAATATTGACGTTGACGCGTGGAATACAGCGTCTGGCGGCGCCTTCTCGACCAAGATTGCGTCGTCGATTGCAGCATCGTCGGCGGAGGGTGCGGCCTGGGTCGAGGCAATACTGCATCGCCACGAGGTGCTCCCCGTCGACAACGAAATGACTTACTGGCAAGCGCGGGGTCTCATCCGCTTTCAGCTGCAGTACGGCAATCGCGTTCAGCTAGGCATCAACGAGAACGTCGCCATCACCAACGCGCTTGGGGTTACATACGAACTACCGCTCACCTCGATCCGAGCGCTGCACCGTGGCGCGTCCTGGACCACCTCGTACATGTACCAGAGTCTTGGCAACGACTTGAATGCGATTTGGCCCAACCAAAGCCTCGTGGTCAACACGTCGACCTATTTTGGCGTGCAAGATAGGGACGCTCTTGTCGCCTACGACGTGGGCCTGCCCCTCAACGCGGTCAACGAGGTCATTACCTCGTCCGTGGGTCCGCTCAATTCGATCGATCTCCGCTGGCTGCGCGTGCCGCCGGGCCTCGCCGACGCCGTGGCCGCATTTGACGCCACGCTCTACGATCTCATATCGACCAATGCGACCGTGTACGACGCCCTGGCGTCATTGCCGCTACTACACGCCGAGACGGTTCCGTACAAGTGGCAAGACCCGTCGCTGCGCTTTCTGAGCGGCAACCTCATGTGCAGCAGCGGCGCGCCGATGCCGTTTGTCTTGAGGGCTTTTGGCTTTGACGACGCGTGCGGGACGCAAGTCCCGGCTATCTTTCCGCTCTCGGCGACGAATACGCTGTTTGCTGTGCACATGCTATACGGTCATCATATGAACGACATTTGCACCCAAGTGCCGCACCAAGTCGCAGCGTGCGAGCGACTCGTGGCGCATCTCACCGACGTGTACAAACTGCTGGCGCCGTTCTTACGACACATTGATCGGCCGACGCTGGACGATGTACAGCTTGCCAAAGTACAAGTTGTCCTCAACGGCTCGACCCTCTCGCTGCAAACAGTCTTGCTTCTGGGCGAGCGCTTTGATTTCTTTGGCTGGATCAACCTCTATGACTGGGCCCAGAATGCGCGCGAAGCCATTGCCTTCGAGGGCGATCTTCGCACCTTGCACTTGGTCTCGTACGCGTATGCGCCCCTCCCACCACCGAGCATTGGGAGTCGCACCAACACCAATGTGGGCAAATACCTCTGGTTCACCTCCAGTGTCGTGACAGGAGTCCTCGGTGCCGTTGGATGCCTCTGCCTCTTCTTGGTGTGCCGCCACCGACCGCGTCCCGGCACGACCCCGTGGTTTCTCTTTTCGAGGCTCGTGTCGTCCGTCTGGCTCAACCGGACGCTCCTTAGTGTCCGTGCGATGACAGCGCTCCTGTGTCTTTCCACGGCCCCGATCGTTCCGATGGTCGTCCATAGCGACGTGTGGCAACTGCAGTGGCAACCTCGGACGATGCTGACGTCCGCGATCCTCGCCAGCGAAGCATCTTGGCTTACATACATGGCGTACGAAGTGCTGCATCCGTTGACGTCGGGCTATACCCACCATGCCGCCATGGTCAGCGCGGTGGTCACCTATGGGACGGTCCTTGCCGTCGACGTGTGGTTTCCAGTGACCGTCGTCGCCTCGGTGCATCGCCGCTGCGACTTGCTCAACATGGACTGGCAATTGGAGTGCTGCAGTGCGAGCGTTCGCATTGGATCGCTCCATCAGCTTCTTTGGCTGCTCTTGCTTCAGCTCTTTGGCGTGCTCGTCGGCTATGTGGTCGCTGTGGGCTACAAGCACTGTCGTTGGCATCGACCGAGTCGTATTGTGCCAGCTCAACGACCGCCCGCACTCTTACTGCAAGCCTCGGTTCACGCCTTTGGAGTTGATACAACACCGACGCTGAACTACGCCGCGTCGGCGATGGCCGGTCTCTTCTTTACGACGTCGGACGGCGTCAACTGTGTGTTTGATATCAACCGATGGACGCACTTGCCGTTGGACGTGGTGGAAGCAAGTGTCCCGTTCATGGGCCGGCATCTCACCGTCTTCACAACGATCGTGTCGTCGGCGTTTGGGTCCATGCCGGCGCTGCACCGCATCTCCAACGTCACCCCAGCGTCGCTCAGCACGAGCCTCGAAGCGGTGGCCGCCTGCGCGTCCCAGCAATTCTGGCACCTCGTCGGCTTTCTCTACGTTGTGGGTACGCTCTCAAGTAACATTGCGTACTTTAACGTGGTGCTGACGAGTCTCAGCAACGATTATGGCTGGGCCGGCTTCAACAGTTCGGGCATGCAGCCTTTCTTGGCCAATGCCTTCAACCGTCAGCTTCTTCTGACGCCGTCGTTGGAGCAAAAACGTCGCTGAAGCTCGACGACCCTGGTCTCGGCGATTTAAGCCAGCTCTACAATGGCTCGAGCACGGTCATCACGTGGAGCGACGGCGCCGCACGTCGTCAATTGTACGCGCCATCGCGTCTCTTGACTGAAGTGGTCACGGATTTGCGACATATGGATCCGTGTGCCTTGCCGTGGATGTCGACGCAGTACTGTTGGCTGGATGTGCGTCGTATGTGGTCGATGGCGTCCACGTTGAATCGATACGCGCGGTGCGACACAAAGAGATGCGGACGAATGGTGCCGTCTACCTCGAGACTGGACTGCGGAACCTTAACGACTGGGATGCCTGGATGCGCTGCTGGGGCACGTCGTTTGAGATTGGGTTTCAACGGCACCTGGCAACGTCGCTCGAAGGAAGAGCGTGGCTGACAACGGTCCCCTCGGCGATGGTCCGGACTTCGATCCCGGATGAAGTCGACTATTGGCGACGTCATGGCATATCCGCGTACCAACTCCAGTGGCAAAACTACAAGTCTCTGGGCATGATCGATGCGGTGACGATTGTGAGCGCGCTCGGTCTCTCGTACCCGCTGCTGCTCAGTCAGTCGGACGGCGCCTACCATGGCCAGCAACAAACCAGCTACAAACTCTACTGGACCTTTGCCAGCGATCTCTGGGCCATCACACCAAATTCCACACGCATCAGCGAGCAGAGTCTCTTGCGCGCGAGCTCCGCGTTCGCCTTTGCCAACATGACACGCGCCGATTTGCTATTGGACAATACGACGCTGGTGTCGCCGTTGAACCCAGGGTTCGCGCTTCTGGAGGCGCACATGGGTCCGTTTGGCGCCATCGACAGCTACTACGTCCCTTGTCCGCCAAGCTTGCTGTGGCTGTACACGGTGGTGGCACAGCGCATCACGCGTCTCGTCGCCGAAGACGCGGCGGCGGCGACAGCCTTCAGCGCTCTCGCCGCGCCGCCGTGGTATGCGCCCGTGCCGCACTACCTCTTGCAAGCAGACAACGTTCAATTTACCGGTGGCCATGTCCTCTGTGGTACCGACACCAAGCCGTGGATACCCGAGAACGGACTCTACCTTGGCTACAGCGTCACCAACATGTGCAACGCCGTCTTTTCCGATCGTCTCGAGCTCTCGCTCGTGCAAAAGCTCGTGGTCCTCGCCGCCATGAACGCGTCGGTCTCCGATGCGATGAACGTGACGGCGATCTGCGCTCTGGACACAGGGTATGCCGCCAACTGCACCAAGCGTCACGCAGGGACGCTTGCTTTTCTCTCGACTGTCGGGGCGTCGGTCGTGGATGCATCACTGCCGCTGCTTGTGACCGATGCGATGCGGGCTGTCGACGCACTCAACGTGGTCGTCCTTCAGTTTCTTCTCGAGACGACCAATAATGCAACCTCGCTCGCGCATATTCCGCTCCTCAATGCGTCGGACGCGGCGTGGACGTTCTATGGCTGGTGCTATCTCATGGAATGGGTCGTTGGACACCGCGACGTCGTCGCATTTCGCGGCGACCGAGGCAACCTCACCGTGCTCTCGGCGGCGACTCGTCCGATCGAAATGCGACCCGACCCCAATGGTATTCCAAAGAGCTTTTCGTTTCTGTGTCTCGCGTGCGTGCAGTACGTCACCGTGACGCTGATTGGCGTCAGCGTTCTCGTGGCACTCTCGACCCTCTACCACCGCGGTCACATTGAGAGCTTCAATTTGCTATGTATCAACCGCGTCGTTGGACTCGTTTGGGTCGGCCGCCCCATCGTTCTCTTGCGGGCGCTTACAGCCATTTGGCTCCTCAACACTTCGCCGTTGCCGCTTCACTATCAAAATCACGTGACGTTTGTGAAGGCGCCGCCACTGGATTCGTTCAAGGCCCTCCTCGCGACGTCCGAGCTCACGTGGTTTGTCTACGTACTCAACGACATTGGGAGCTCGGTCACGCGCCAGTACACCTACTCGTATGGCTCGGCAAGCGCCAACTGCACGTGGGTGCTGGCCTCACTCTGGACGCTCTTCGCGCCGCAGCAGTATGACGCGTCCATCCAACGCCCTTGCGTGGCTTTCAACATGGATCTTGCGCTGTACTGCAACAGTGGAACGATCGTCCTCGGGGGCCAGCGCCGCTGTCTCGCCTGCATGGGGTTGGCACTCGTGTCCTGTGTGCTTTGTTATCTCTACGCTCGCCGCACATCGCCCAACTTGACACCGATCTTTGCACCGCCGCTCTTGCTCAACGCCCAAGGCTACCACATGCTCACGTTCAAGCACTGGGTGGCGCAGGGTGTCTACTATATCGACACGACGTCGGCCATCATGGCGGGTGTCTTGTCCTGGAAAGTCCACGGACATATCTACCTCCTCGATATCAAGACGTGGCGATTTGTCTCGACGGCACTTAGAACCCCGCGTCCTCAATCCCGCGCGGCCAAAGACGAACGCTTTGCGCATGCGTTTCCGCTGCACCTCTAAGTCGTTGGCGCACGTGGCATCGATTTGATTGGCGACGCGTGCATGACACTGCTATCAAGGCTTTTGTACGATGCAGTCGCCGCAGAAAAAGAGCTTTGGACCGTGCTGACCGAGGCGATCGACGATTATTTCTGTGCCCGTAGTATGCGCCAAGCGTCCTGCATGGAGCTTGCAGCCAGTACTTCGTACTCCGGTCTTGATAAACGCGAAGAAACGTCATATCAAGGGTATACAATAAATGCATTTATTATATACCCTTGGTCATATTGAACAATCTACTTACACTCCAGAATGTGACATGACATCGTCGCATCTACGATGACGTATTGGTAGCACCCCAGTTTGCCACGTCATGAATCGGTTGTCGTCGGATCGTGTGGCGGGTAAAACCAGGCTGTACTTCGTGACCGAGGGTACTCCTTGTGATGCACGATCGTCAAATGATGAAGGCGCCGACCGCACGCTTCCGGTGCCGCGTCTTGCGTGGAATCGTGCGGGGCGCTAAACAGTAACGTCATCCGTCTTGTGGACGCCAGCGGGACAAGAAGAAGCGTCTTGGCTGCGAGCGAGAGGCCGTGGCTCCACACCGTGATCGTGACTTTATGGGTGTTGCGCGTCTGATCGCGGGCGGTTCGGCGCACGCCTCGCTTTTGATCGCGAGGTAGACGCCGCATGCAGTGCCACGATGACTTCGCCATAGCACGAACAATCGTGTTGGCGTGGGAAATCGGAAGCTGGTCGTAGCCAAGATTCAGCCGCACGAGCTTTGGCGACGAGCACAGTAGCACCCCGAGCGACGCGATAGCCTCGTCCGAGAACGGTACCGAGCACGGCTCAAGAAGCCAAAGCTGCATTCAAGGCGGAAACGAGGTCAAATGCGCCTCCTGAAGCGCACGTTTGGGCATTCTTGGTGCCTGCAGCAAGGCGGCAAGGACGCACGTGGCATCGCACGGAATGCGGAGCCGCAAATCCAAGCTTTCAAGGCGCGAGGAGGTCGCGATTTTGGCGGCGAGGGCCGTCATGTCCGCTTCGTCCAACGCCGGCGGGGGGTTGTCGTCGTCGTCGTCACTGTACCAATCGTAAAAAATTCCGCCTGCCTAAATCAAGTTCCTCAACCGAGTACACACAACGAAGAAAAGTCCGACAATTTTATTTAGCATAGTTTTACCTATTGTAATAGACGACCCACTTCAACAACTAATACGTACCGGTAGTTTTGTGACCAGAGGAATTTCCTTACCGACGCGCCGGTGCGCCAGGACAAAACGGCAAACTGGGTTCATTTCAATAGCCAATCACACGACTGATGTTAGTTTCCTGCAGTTTGATTGAACGAATCATACTGGATACGCACGCGATCATTTCAGAGCGCTCGCACAGCACCGATCATTTCTTAGTGTGGCAGCGGATGAACGAGGTGCGACCGGTGCCCGAGCGATCGTCGATGCCAGCCTCCGAGTGACATAGGTCCAGCGCTTTGACGCCGCAGCCGATGATGACTTGGCCATTGGCCAGCGGCACGTCGAAGACGAGGACGTTCACATCGATTGCCTCAACACGGTATCATCGTCCACTGTAGGCACCCGTCACCAGCCTTGTCCTGTAGGACGGGTACTCGCCGCTGGCTCGCGCTGTACTCGAAGGTCAACGCGCTGCCGTGCGTCGTCTTTTGGGCCTCGGTAGCGACGTCTCGATCGTGTTGCCGGTACGACTGCTTTGTATTGAGCGCACCCTGACTTTGAATCTGGTAGAATGGTCAAACGCTCGTGGCCGCCGCGATTCAGCATGGCCACGACGCCATCGCGCGCCTGCTCTATCGCGAGCTGTACCCAGGACCTGTTTCGGTGCGTCAAACTACCTGAAGACACTATTGTCATCTCATGGTCGTGCTGTAGGCTGCAGCCGATGAGATTGTGCTGGCAGACCATGCCTTTACCGGCTCGTCGACCGTGACTGTGACCAAGGGCACGTATAAGGGCAAGGACGTATTGGTAAAACGTCCTCGGCTGTCCATGCCATGGGTGGTACGAGAGGTGTGCGACGAATTGGAAGCGATGCAAGCGTACGTACATTGCCATCATTTTACTTTTGTCGACCAACCAGATATACCGTAGGTGTGCGTCGCCGTATCTGATGCAGCTGCTCGCCGTCCTCGACAATGGCTCGACCGAACCTCTCAACGCGGTGCCTTTTGAGGCATTGGTTAGCCCCGCGATGATCATGGAGTACATGGACCAAGGAGATTTGCACGAGTACATCCAAAGGAAGAAGTACGATGAGCCAGTGGCCATGACCGTGTCGACAACTGACGTCGCCTTGGTGCTGGCGCGCGCTCTGGCCGACCTCCATGGACAAGGCATCATCCACCGCTACGTCAGAAGTCACAGCATCTTTCTCTCGACGACGCACTACATTCGGCTCGGAAACATTGGGTCTTCACGCGCACATGACGACATGGCGACGTCCGGTTTTGTCACCAAGTACTGGATGGCACCCGAAGTGCTTCACGATCGCTTCGGTGGAGTACGCCCAGCGTACACGGCGGCCGCCGACATCTACGCGCTTGGCGCCGTCTTGACGAAGCTCGACACACTTCAGGAGCCGTACTATGACGTGAAAGACCGCTGGTCGATCGAGGAAAACGTTCGCACGGGGCAACTGCGGCCGCATATGAGCGACACGTGTCCACCATGGCTCAACGACCTTGTCAACCAATGTCTCGCATTCGACCCCGCGGAACGCCCGACCGCTGTAGCCATCGTAGACCAGCTTTTATTGCATCGGGACGCACCAACCGAGGTACAGACGCTTCTACTTGGTGTAGGGATCCACCCAATGGATTGGTTTCATAGGATGGCCATGGCGAGGCCTTGAACGCCACGTTACCCGTAGAATCGCCAAGCACGCTTATGGACCTCATGGCGTCGGCCCAGCGCCTCCGCGCCATGGGTCTCGAGGTAGGCATGTCATACTCTACGTCGTCGACGACTCATGAGTGGCTCTAGATGCGCCTCTACACGGCTGCGAACAACGGGGACCTGGATGACGTCAATGACCTTTTGCAACGCGGCGTCGGTCCCAGCTGTTGCGAATCATTTGTACCACGCCATCGCTGCACGTTGGTGGTCCCAACAATATGAATGGCATGTAGCTGCATCGGACGCCTCTCCACAGCGCCAGCTTGCGCGGTGATGTCGCCATGGTGGCGAGCCTCCTCGCGGCCGACGCCAATGTCAACGCCATCGATGCGGTAGAGTCCCAGATTGTACTTTGGATTGTACTAAGATGTCTCGTGCGGATAGAAGGCGTGCTCGCCGTTGCATTTGGCCGCGCTGCACGGCCACTTTGACGTTGTGACGTGTTTGCTGCAAGCCAACGCTGATCTGTCGCTTCTCAACCAGGCGCGTCACCTCGCGACAGTAGAATCACAACTTGGTGCTCATATTGTCTCTAGTCTGGTGTCACGGCTGCGGCAGTGGCACGCACGCGAGGCCACCTCGCGCTGGCCAAGCGACTCGATGACGCAACGACGAACGCAGCTCCATAGTAGCATGCACCGCTTCTCGTTTGTGTGGTACATCGTTTTGCGTGTACCGTGGGTCGGCGTGCCGCTTGCGCAGGTCGGCTGCTTTTATTGGCACACTAGTTTGTAGCGCGTTTACTAGTACTTTAATACCACGTAGTAATCGAGCGATTTTTCTTTTGCAAGAGTTTTTTGTACCCCGACGGCGGTACCAAGGACATCCGCTTCGACCAAGAGTCATCAATTGACCCTTGCTTCGACTTAACTGGCTCATATAATATATGAGCCAGCCCAGTCGAAGAAATGACCACCGCTGCCATATGCATATTATGCACATGGCAGCGGTGGTCATTTCTCAGACTGCCACGTCATAAAATGGCCGTTTCACTCTCGCACGAGCGCTTGCCACGTCATGAATGTCGATCGTCGCACAAGGATTCTCCTACTCCAGTGTGGTCAACGCAAATGCAGTTCGTGTTGCTAGGAAACGCTGACAAGCCATTCTCAACGAGGCAATTGGAAAGGCACTTGACGAAATTACCCTCCAATTTACTGTAATTTGCCAAGTATTTACCGAATATTGTACGAAAAAAATGCGAATGCCCGAGCTCTGGTCATGATTCGGGCGGCTGCTGGTGCAATGGTACTACCCTCTAAGAGTCTAAACACAAGCAACACTCCAAACACTTGAACATGCAAGATTCTCGCGTTGCTTCACACACAGTAGTGGTACGAGCCGTTGATATAACGATGCAGTCGGTGCGGTTGACCCCGAGGTCGTGTGCAAGACCATCGGTCTCTCGTTGAAAGTACGACCGCGCTTGATGCACCAAGTACCCGTCAGGAGCGTTGACGTCACGTCAGTGTATAGTGGACGTCGCGGGCTACTCGGAGGTTCATCACCGACATTTGCCACTCTGCGGCTAGTACGTACTGCCGATTGCTGTGCGTTCAAAAGCAGAGTCGAGCAGCACTAGGTTTGTTTCAAGAAGTTGTGTATACTACTGTTCGTCGGCAGACTCGACCGTGGTGCGGCCACGCAGGTCCAGATAACGAGTCTGTCTCGGAAGCGGCCTTGTTGCATCATACACGTCCAACTCCAGAGATGAAGCGCAAGAAACGCGTCGCATAACCTACAGCCTACCACGGAAAAGTGAACGTCAGTAAACTCGCACCACGACATTGATGTCTCGACCTCTTCCTCGTCGTTGATGGGGCTTGGTGCATCGCTCGGCTCTTCGACGTCGTCCCCTTCTTCGGAGAGTGCATCGCTCGGCTCTTCAACGTCATCTTCGACGTCCAAGAGGTCGAATCTCGTCGTGTCGTGATGCGGCAGGAGCGTCGCGATGATGTTCTCGGCCGTCGGACGATCCTTGGGGTCGAACGAAAGACACTGATTGGCAAGATCTCTGAGCCACTGCGGGCACGTGTCGCTCATGTGCGGACGCAACTGCCCATTGCGGACCTTGTCCTTGATCGCGTAGCGGTGAACCTCGTCTTCGTACGGCACTTTGAGCGTGTCGAGCTCCGTCAGGACGACGCCGAACGAGTAGATGTCGGCGGCGATGGTGTACGGCTGGTCTTTGTCGTCGTAGCCCTCACGAAATACCTCGGGGGCCATCCAGTACTCGGTGCCGGTACCGGCCGTCATCAATTCGTCAACTGTGCGTGCCGACCCGACGTCGCCGAGTCGAATGTAGTGGGTCGTTGAGAGGAAGATGTTTTGACTCTTGACATCGCGGTGGATGATATTTTGTCGATGGAGGTCGGCGAGTGCGTGCGCCAAAACAAGCGTGACTTCGACCGTCGAGACATCCATGGCCAACGTCTCGTTGTTTCTCTTTCTCTTGAGGTAGTCGAGCAGATCGCCCAAGTCCATGTACTCCATGACCATGGTCGGGTTGTACAGGTTGCGCTGTCGTTCGCCGGTGTGTTGCGGCTCAGCAACATGAGGCTTGCTCGAGCCATCGTCGAGGACAGCGATCAACGGCTGGAGATACGGCGACGCGGACCTATTGCAGCATAAAGAAGTAGTTGTCGCACGAGATCAAAGCAGCAGTTCGAACGTCTGCATGACCGCCACTTCGTCAAGCATGGCTTTTTGCAGCCGCGGTAGATGGCCGTTGGGTCCTTTGATGACGACGGGCTTGTCATGGAGCGTGCCTTTTGCGACAAGGACGTTGGTAGTGTTCCGGAGCTCGGTCCCGACCCGGAGACCGTCCGCAGAGACCAGCTAAAGACGTACAATGAAGCGTCTCGTCAACATTCTTGCTCGCACCGCAGCGCAGCCAGGGTACAGGCGACGGAAGACAATATTTGCCACTTGGTAGTGGCCCCGCTGGACGGCAGCGGCCAGAAACGTTTGTCCCTTCTATACTCAATTGATCCTTGTGAGCTCTAGGGTTGACGATGGATGATGAATGATCGACTGACAGGCATGGTCGACACGTCTGCGCCAAGATCCAAAAGACACTGCACAGCATCGACGTGGCCTCGGAGCACGGCCGACACTAGCGCCTTCGTGACGACCTATGAACAACCTAGATGCGTCAGTGGCACGTGGTAGGATCATACCGGATTGGTGTTGGGCAGCGACGATCCCGTGCTCTAGAAAAAGACACAGTCGAGACTATGCAAGAGCAAACAACGCACGTTGTTTTTGTGTGTGCATTGCGCACCAGCACGCAGGAGCCGGTCGACGCTGCTGGTATTGCCGTCGGAGGCAGCGCGGAGCAGCGACAAACCGAACGCGCGGGCGCCGATCGTTTGGACAAACGTGACGAGGGCGTCCTAAAACAGACATTTAAACCATGCCACGGTGGTACTAGTATGTGTTGCGTGCCTGGGGCAGGCTCTGGACTTTGGCACTGGCGAGCACGAGGGCGAGAGCTGCGTCGACGTTCTGGTTGCGGACAGCGCGGTCCAGTGCCGTGCTTTGACTCTTTCACGTTGTTATGAGGCGTGTTTTCACCAAGGAAGCCACGTACCGGGTCGATGTCATTGATCGGGAGCTTGGCCGATGCCAGCAGATCGGCAAGTAGCTCCAGCGTGTTGGCGTCGACCGCCAGGTGCAGGAGTGGCAGACCAGCCTACCAATCGATGATGTTAAATCGGTTTTTGTTCAGGTCGTTCAATGTGCACGTACATCGTCTCGCACGTCCGGATCAAAGTCTTTTGTGCAAAGGTGCCGCGTCTGGATCACGTCCTTGTTGCGCACGGCAGCGAGGAGCTACGTAAGATAGATGAGGTCTCGCATTGTAAACGAGATTGGACCTCGTCGGTGATGTTCGCTTCGTCGCTTGGCGAACGGTCGTCGTCGTTGCGGTGTGCCAGAAGGACATCAATGATGGCTTTGGCCGTTGGGCGCTTGGTAGGGTCAAATGAAAGACACTGGTTGGCGAGGTTCTTGAGCCATTGCGGGCACGCGTCGCTCATGTGCGGACGCAACTGCCCCGTGCGAACCTTTTCCTCAATCGACCAGCGCTCTTTCACGTCCTCGTACGGCACTTTGAGCGTGTCGAGCTCCGTCAAGACGACGCCGAACGAGTAGATGTCGGCGGCAATGGTGTACGGCTGGCCTTCGTAGTCGTAGCCCTCACGAAGTACCTCGGGGGCCATCCAGAACTCAGTGCCGGTACCGGCCGTCATCAATTCGTCAACCGCGCGCGCCGACCCGAAGCCGCCGAGCCGAATGTAGTGGGTCGTTGAGAGGAAGATGTTGAGGCTGTTGACGTCGCGGTGGATGATGCCTTGTTTATGGAGGTCGGCGAGTGCGTGCGCCAGCACCAAGGCGACGTCGACCGTCGAGACGTCCAGCGCGACGGATTGCCCGTGTTGCTTCTTCTTGAGGTAGGCGAACAAGTCGCCTTGGTCCATGTACTCCGTGATCATCGTGGGGTTGTACAGCCAGTGTCCTCCGTCAAGGCCACAGACGACGACGGGCTCGCGCGTGCCGTTGTCGAGGACAGCGAGCAGTGGCTGGACGTACGCCGAAGAGACCCTGTGTTTCTTGTGTTAGTCAATACGGAGATTGGATTACGTACGATTGCATGGTCTCGACTTCGCCGCGACGATGACGGACCGTGTGCGGGGAGGGATACTTTGGACCTTTAACAACCACCGTGTTTCCGTGGTACGTGGCCTTGGAAATGGTGGCCAAATAATCGCTGAAGATTTCGGCCCCGACCACGATGTCGTCGGCTGCAGCCTACTCCATGCAATGACATCGACCTGTCACCACCCCCCACGACGTACCGTGCTTGGTCCTGGGTACAAGATTGGGTACAGGATGTCTGCGATGGCAAACTGATCGTGCTGGATGACCGACGCCAGCAGCGTTTGTCCGCTCTAAGGTCGATTCACATGAGCTCGCACAAGAAGCTGCAATTGGGTGTGTACCGGCATCAACGCCGTTGCATCCACCCCGCTCGTGACCAAGAAACGGACGACGTGGGCGTGGCCTTTGTGCGCCGCCTTGTGCAACGGCGTCCATTGATCCTAATACATCCATACACGGTCCTTCCATGTCTCTAGGATCGAGAATCGTACCTCGCCTCTGCACTCGATGTCGGCGCCCTCGACGTTGACGAGTCGCTGGACCTCGGCCAAGTCCCCCGTCGACGCCGCCTGCAAGAGCGCTCTCTACATCGTGAGAGACCGATATGAGGATGCTGCCGAGTGTTGAAGGGCAGTGTCGTCGTACCTTGTTTGTCATCCGTTGCCAATAAGAAATGAGCCAAACGAAGAAGGGAACGAATGTGATATCAGTTGAGTTTGCTGCACACAGTAGCCAACAGCCTTGCGCGGGATTGTTGCGTCGTCGTCTCGCTGAAACTCAATCGCACGTTTTGAATGGCAATGCGTCAGTAGACTCAAGGGCTCATCTATTATAAACCCTTGGTAGACTACAATCTATTTGCCTCGTGAGAAAAGGGCCGTGAAGCGCGGGACTCGCTGGGAGCCGCACGCCTCGCCCGAGTACAGTACTATGAGGCCAAATAGGATGTGAGTATCTTGGTTGCTGGGAACAGCAAGGGTGCCCGTTAATTGGCTGGATGTACTGACTGCGCGGGTCTTGCTGGGCCTGTTGGCGGTCATGTGCACCTCTTCTGTCGCTTGATGCGGGTACCAGGGGCAAACAATGGTGTGTAAAGCACCCAGGGAGAGATGCGTGAAAGCATGACCTGCATGCATTCAGGCACTCTCAGATGGAAAAGTGGCGCGCAAAGTCCAAGTTCGTATCGATAATGACGCCCCGCCCGATGTCAATCTATCTTCGAATGGTGTAAATGTCCGCTCCACAGTCGCATCTACCTGGTAACTGAAACGTTGCGATCAATTCAGGCAAGTGTGCTTGACGTTGACAAGAGCGCGCCACGTCATGATCACAAGGTCGAACAGCAGGCGCGACGATATTGCACTTATGGACACTTCAATTGACAGAGTGGACAAGTAGGCTAATTTATTGACCAGCGCTGCAACCAACGCTACAAGCAAGGGTACAAGGTTTGATGCTCCCGTGGTACATTATTAGTAAATGTAAGGGTGATCCATCGCTTGACTCGGATGTACAAGGTAGTGTACACATCATAGCGAGCGCGTCAGATGATTTGTCCATATTTGGTAGTAGTAAATAAGGTACGGTGCGGTCAACTTTTGGTCAGGTCACACCCTCTGGTATACTGTAATACTAGTACTATTGGAACTCGAGCGTTTCATCTCTTTCTGTTTCCGACGTAGACGAGCCACGTGACCTCGGACGTGGTCAAAAACGTCTTGTACCATGCAAGGGTCGTGACGCAAGTCAATGTCCACCGCTTGGAGTCTGAGCGGTGACGAGATGGCAGCCACAGACCAAAGAAAGATCACCGGTCGCGTGACCCGTGACACGCCAAACACGCGGTTGAGGCCACAGAGGTTGGACCCTTTCAAGTAACCGCGATGGTACATTAGCGAGAGAACGATGCCGCTTCTGACGGCAATCAACGCGGTCATGACGTAAAGGACATGATAATGATAAGAATCGAAAAACTCTGCGGCGTCGCATCCGCATCCGGCACCATCGAGACGGGCAATGTCGGCGCTGACACGTCAGCGAGGGCTCCCGCGTCACTTTTGAAAGTCACGACGTATTGCGCCCCCACCGCCCACGCCCAAAGAAAGTTCCAGCCATGGGCGGTCCGTCGCATCCAAGATCGGGATCTGGGTCGAGACGACGGTACGAATATCGGATGAGGCGTTGGCCGTGAGCAATGCAAGCAGCGAGACGTCGAGCGCGGCGATGTCGGAGGCCACGTCCGACACAGAGAAGTTGGTGAGCACGGGTGCAAAGTAATCTTCAGTCCAAGTACGCAAGGATATGGCGTTGTAACCAGCGCGACCAACCGGTTCGAATCAGGTCGGATGACCGGCACAGAGATGCGGTTGGTCGCCATGAGACCACATGCCACCAACTGGACTGTAACCGAATCGAGCTATTATCAGCTACTATGTGTAGTACCAGAGCTCCATCATCCAGAGAGCCACCAGTATTACACGCAGCTTTACACGCTCTGTCATTGCGGTGCGAATTTGCCCCGTGTTTATGACACGTGGCACTCTGCAGTGTACATCGCTTCGACTTCAAGTTCGACGGCCTGCGCCTGCTGATTACTGCCAGGAATTACTGCCCGTTGCCCAACGAAAGTCCATGATGCTGTCCTGTCGGCTTGAAATGCAGCAAGCTCCTCCTTGCTCCTCACGTTTGAAATAATGAATTCAACAATATATATGCCACTGCCGTGACTCTAACTACGTCGCGACGGGGTCCTTGGTCTCTCCTATGGGCCCAGACCCAAGATGCGCTGCAGTTCGCCCGACTTGTACATTTCGAGAAGCGTATCGCTGCCCCCGAGAAACTTGCCGCGGATAAAAATCTGTGGGATCGTCGGCCAGCTCCTAACCAACAATACGACAATAAGACAATATAAGTCAATACGCGGTCCCGTACGAAAAATCCTTGATCGCTTGGCGTAGCTCGGCGCACTCGAGCAGGTTCGCGACGCCAAAGTCGACGTCGAGCGTGCGGAAGACAGCGACGACTTGGCTCGAGAAGCCGGCCTCGGGCGCCTCCCGCGTGCCCTTGATGTACAGCATCACGGTATGGGTGTCGATCTCGCGCTGGATCCGCTCGTACACCGACATGCGTCGAACGAGGTCAAAGGCCAATTGAGGCGCAGCAACGAAAACGCCGTTGGTTCTATATCACCCCGGCGATCGACGCATGCGTTGGGACACTGTGGTCACCATCTCCGGCCACGCCAGAGGCCAGTGGGTGGTCCTAGATCAGCGCCGCTTCCAGCGCGATCTAACGGAAACCAACCATCACCGCCCGTTCCACCCACGCGATTTGATGGACGCGCGCCATGCCCTCTGGACGTACCCGGCTACATGCATGCGCCATGGCGTCTGTATCGCCTCCCCTTCCTCGTGGAGGCAGGCAGTCGACTGGCGACAAGGCGATGTCCATGCTTGCACTTGCCGAGGTACTCGTACATGCCTACCGTACGTGCATTGAGCGATGCACTGTACGTCGGCGCGCGACACCCTTGGCCACCACCACCACCACCACCACCACCACCACCACCACCAAGCATGGTACACTACAACACCATCATTTGCATCGAGGGCTTGCCCGTTCCACACCGTACGGGGCTGTTCTTGCTGACGCCGATGCCTGTCTCAATAGGTAGCAATTCTAGTAGCTCCAAGGACCAAGGACGAGGTGGCTGCGGCTGGGCACGCCAGAAGACGCTGCATCGAACAATGCCACCACGACGGTACTACCAAGGCTCGACCCCACGGCGAAAAGAGAATCATCACTTGTATTGCTTAGTCGCGCGCCCGCAACTCGGTGAGCCGAATCGAGTCGCGGTTGGCGTACGTAAACAAGGCCGGAAAGTCGCACGGCAGCTCGACATAGTCGATCGCATGCGCGTGGAGCTGGTCCAAGAAGGCCTGGAACGTCGAGGCGTTGCGGATCGTCGAGGCAAAGATCGCGGTCGTGCGTGGCCGCGCCAAGAAGGCGGCGAGGACGCGCATGAGATCGGGAAAGGTGCGGACGTCGTAGACGCAGTCGCCGGCAATGAGCACATCGTACGCCGTCTCGCAGTCGGCCCAATTCCAGTTGGTCCAATCGAGCGCCGCGGTTGTCACGAGGCAGCGCGAGAGCATGCCTCGAAAGGCGTTGAGCTCGACGTTGTAGCGCAAGTTTTGAAGGACGACGGGGGCATAGTCGGTGACCAGCACATGGGCGGGCGGCGCAGCGTTGGCCGCAAGCACGAGGCCGGTAAAGCCGGCGCCGGCGCCGAGCTCGATCACACGCTTGTTGGCAAATGCTGCCGGGTGCGCGAGGCCATATTCGGCGAGGTAAAAGCCCGCTTCCCAGAGCTTCATGCCGACTTCGTTGTGGGCCGTGGCGACGCGGCACGTAATGACATCGTTCCGAGCGGCGTTGGGCAATCGGAGCCGATACGAGACGTGGTGCAGCTCGTCGAGGTTGTTGAAGCTCTTGTTGTTGGAGATGCGCGCCATGAGCTCGGCCATGAGCTCGTCCGAGATGTCGCCGCCAGCCATTTCCGCATCTACGGTGGCGCGGTCGTCGATGGCGCGAGACCATGCAGCGTACCGTGCACGTACATCTTGATGATGCGATAGGTGTAGGCTTGCTTGGGCGCATAGTCGTCGCAGATCGGGTCCCGGAAGATCTCGGCCACGACCGCGTCCTACGACGCACAGACAATACGTATACGTCGTAAAAATGATGGTCGTTTTTGGAAAATGATGTTCGTACCTGAAAGTCAATCGAGAGATACGCGTCCGATGCGCGGAGCGCGGCCATAAACACCTCGACCGGCTCCATCTCGCGGTAGAGGTCCAAGAGATGGTCCATGGTCGCACTCTGCCGTGTCAAAATGGCCCGACGACGAACTTAAGACAAGTGAAAATCGTACTTATAGAGAATGGCTAGATGCACGCCTTTTAAGAGTGCCATGCACGGCAGAGTGCATCACAGGGAGAGGTGGCCACGTCGGCGACATCCACGGCACGTCCGCTTCGATAGATTCATGCGATGGCGTTATTTGCCGCGCATGGCAGATCGCGCGAAGCTTCCGCGCAGGTGGTTGCAATGGTCGAGTTGCGTGGGTTTAGACGAATGCGACGCCACGACCGTCGGTTCATTTTTCACATATTCAAGTGCTAAACGCACGCCATTTCAACCACGGGGGAGATTCGAAGCCGGCGCCAGAAGCGAAGGTTACCGAGTTGTCTTGCGCCATGCGCTGCCATAGGATTGCCTTGCTTCGAATTCCGTGCCTGTGTGCACATCATGCGGTGCAGACATGTCTGTCACAGGCCTCGATCCTCTTGGAAGGGCTCCAAACGTTGCGTGCATATAGCCAAGCGCGTTTTAAAATGACAGGTCCCAGTTGGACGTCCCTGTGGATTGGCCACTTAATCGATGGTATGCACCAATCCAAAGCGGCGAATCGTGAAAAGGACGTGATTTTAGCCAATCACGTGCGCGGATTCCTCCCCACCACACCTCGTGGGCGTCACTTTAGATTTTTCTTCGTCCCAACTCCACCATGGTTGCCGCTAAGTTCACCGTCGTCAAGACCGCCAAGTACTCCGTCCTTCACCCGACGTCGGGCTGCAAGCCCATGAAGCCCGTGGCTGTCGCCGCCAAGGCCGCCCCAAGGCCGCTGCCGCCAAGGCCGCCACGCCCAAGGCTGCCCCAAGGCTGCCACGCCCAAGGCCAAGAAGCCCGCCGATGACGATGATGATGATGACATGTTCGGCGACGACGACGAGGAGGAGGACGAGGCCGCCAAGGCCGCCGCCAAGAAGCGCGCCGACGCCGCCAAGGCCTCGAAGAAGGAGAAGGCCAAGCCGATTGAGCGCTCGCAGGTCGTGATTGAAGTCAAGCCCTGGGAAGCCGAGACGGACCTTGAGGCGCTCGCCATCAAGATCAAGGCCCTCGAAGTTAACGGCCTTACGTGGGGCGAGAGCCACAAGCTTGTCCCGGTCGCTTTCGGCATCAAGAAGCTCCTCGTCCAGTGCATCATCATTGACGAGCTTGTCTTGTTGGACGACATCACGGAAGCCATCGAGCAGTTCGAGGACGAAGTCCAGTCGGTCGATGTCGCCTCGATGAACAAGATGTAAATACGTAATTCATTATACCACTATGAGTACGTCGTCTGTTCGCGCGGCTGCGACCACCCATGGTGTTGCCATCACGGCTCCTCGATCGAAACGTGGTAGACTCGATCGACGAGTACGACGACCGGTTAGTTATAGTCCGCGCTCGACGCGGAAAGGCGCGCGTGGCGGCGCCGATCCCTTTGGACTAGTCACTGCCGTGTAATCACCGTCAACGGCAGCGGGACGCGGCGAGCGCGGGGGGCTCACCGGCGTCTCGGGTGCTGTGTACTGGAACTGGACAAGGCCAAAGCACATCCACGCGACGAGCGTCGCGCCAAAGTACGCCCACCACACGCCCGGCATGGCGTAGCTGCCGCCGGCCTTGAGCGCATCGAGGAACGCCACGATGCTCGTCGGCGACGGGTAGCTGCCAATGAGGTTGCCGACGCCGAGCACGAAAAAGTACCCACCCAGAAAGGCCGTGCAGAGCACGACGACGATTCGCTCCTGCAAGTAGACAACGAGCCCGACTGCGACGCCGCCGATTGCCATGGCGATGAGGATCGGCACCTCGGGCTGCGCAGGGTACAGTCGCATGAGGAAGAGCGCGCCAAGAAAGGCACCGAGACCGACGCCAGCGAGGACACCGAGGACGGCGACGCCAAAGCGGAAGAAGAAGAGCGCTGCGCAGCCGAGGACGACGGCGGCGACGACGCCTATGCCAAGCGCGGCCATATAGACGTAGGTCTCGCGCTCCAAGGCCACGTAGGCCGCATTGAAGCCGAGGACGAGCCCGATCGCAAACCCTGAGAGGAAGAACGCGAGCTTGACAAAGCGGTACCCGAGGAGGCCGAGCGCGAGGCCCACCGCCGTTGCAACGCCGTAGACGACGGCCGGGGCGACCACCGCAATCAAGCGGGGACTCGCGGCGCTCGAGGACGAGGATGCCAGCAGCGTCGCGTACGACGGCGTGGAGGGCGCAAAGAGGCCGAGAAGAAAGACCGAGACGGCCATGCACATGGCGACACCGAGTACAACGTGGACGAGCCGGCGCGTCTGTGGGCGCACGAGCGGATGCGATGGCCCTAGCACGGGCTTGCGCATCGAGGCCGGTCCAAGCAGCGGCTCGTTCGGGTGCGATGCCACCACGTACATGGCTGCTGCTTTGTTGTCGAAACGGCGCACGGGGAATAATCTTTCTTGGCTGGTGCAGAAACGTCAGATCCAGACGGCCTTTCCAAAGCGTACCACCATCTCGGTCTCGACAAGACGGCGGTGTATTGTGAGGAATGGAAGAACGAGCTCTTTTGTACGGCATCTAATAGAGCGGTGGGCCCAAGAGAGGTACAAGTACTTGTAAGACCAAAGGTGCTGGCTCACCTGCCTGCGACACTGGCCACGATGTGGTCGTGTTTGACTTGTATTTAGTATGTATATACTAAATATACGTTGATGGATCTTTTCTTGTGAGAAGCCGTCCAGCGAGTGGTCAGGCCTAGCAATCCGAGTTCTTATTCGTGAATGCCAATGCAGTTGACAGTGTACATAGGGACAGCCGTGGCACTGCATCAAGGAGCTAGTGTCTAAAGGCTCGTCACTGGCCGATGTCCATAGCATCGTCTGTGTGTTTGTGTCATCATCGTTATATAGGTTGTTATCGTAGTCTCATTCTCTATTGGCGCACCTCATATGCACGTGTCTACTTGGTGCGCACGCGCTTCCACTTGTAAACGGCGGGCCCACCATCAACGCCGTCGGCGATCTTCATCTTCTTGCCCTTGGATTGGACCTTGCGCTCGAGCTCGAGCACCTGGCGCATCGTGTTGATCTTGGACGCGCGCTCGAGTCGGTCGCTCATCTCTTGGTACATCTTGTTGGACTTTTTGACTGCCTTGGCACTTGGAATCGCCAGCTTTTGGAGGTCGGCCTTTCGCAGCCGGTTGGACGCGCGGTGCACGAGCTCGGGCACTGTATCAAAGTGCTCGGCGACATCAAACGTCTTGAGCGACGCTTCGTCGTCGACAAACACCTTGTGCTTGTTTGGCTTCTCGACGTCGATAAAGTGGGCCGACGCGCTCAGCTTCATGGCCTTGGACGTGTCGACCGCACGCTTCATGTGCATGTAGGCCAGATCCTGCGTCTTCATGACCTTGAGCACATCGGCTGTGAGAAGCGCGTTGTGGTTGTTGGTCGAGACGTGCTTGCCGTCGACGGTCGACGACGTGTTCATCTTGAAGTAAAACTCGTCCGGGTTGCGCAGCGCGGCCTTGAGCTGCATCGTCTTGAGGCGGTTCTCCTTCGAGTGGAAGTCGCGCGCACGCTGCACATAGTCCTTGTGCTTCTCGAGGAGACCGAGACCGAGCTTCTTGCGCTCGAGCGGCTGCCCACGCTCCTTGTGCTCGCGGCGCTTGACGGCGTTGCGGAGCGACGACATGCTGGTATTCGCAAAATGATCCCGAGCCAACCATTGGCGAGCCGGTCGGTCTCGAATTCGGACAAGTCCTGTTTTCATAATGGCCGCACTTGAATTTATTATGCATAGGACCGTCTGGTTCTCGTTCAAATAGGACAAAGCCTTGCAATAGACCTCCAGCCCAACCAAGCCATTGTGAGATTGGCTAAAAGTACGCCATTTTAGACAGAAGCCGATATGATGCGCCATACCGGCCTCGCCCAAACAAGTGCTTTGCAACGAACGCAAACACCATGCAGCCTATCTGCGCTTTTCAGCAGCACAATGTCACGGCGTACATACAGCCTCTGTCGTCGCCACTACCGAGAAAAAGCCGTTATGGGTTTTTAAAGGTGCGTGCGATTAGCTGCCTGGACGGGTGACATCCGTGCTGTGCATTTTTATTCGACAGCATGATGTTGCTTGGACGACGCCTGCAGCGGCCATCCCTCGCGCTTGTCGCCGCCAAGCGCAGCGTCGCCGCCTTCTCGAGCGCGCCGATCCAAGCGCCACCCGGCGTCGATGTCCAGGCGCTCACGGGTACGATGGTTATATCGTAGTAGCATCCGCAATTCATTGCGCTCCAGAGGCCATGGCCGGGCCCGTGGTCGAACCCATGTGGGCCGTCCAGCTCGCGCAGAACGTCATCGAGACCGTGCACACGACGACTGGTCTCCCGTGGTGGGCCACGTTTGCGGTACGCGCTGGCACCACTATTCGGTAGCGACGCTGCAACTTGATCGACCTAGTGCACCGCGGTCGTCGTGCGCGGGTCCCTCTTCCCGCTGCTCGTCTACCAGATCAAGTCGATGGAGCGGTATGCCACGCCCTCGTCATGACCGTGCTGCTTACAATGGCGTCGTGTAGCATGGCGCAAGGCACGCGCGATCTCCAAAGCGTGTGGAAGACCTATCTCTACGCCCGCGTCTTCCTTGTACGACACGCATGATGCAAGGCCTCAGTTGACAGCATGTAGCCGCCCGGCATTCCATCGATGCAAGTGGATGCGATCAAGCAGCTGCACAAGGGCGCCAAGGTACGACGCATGCTCTTCCTGAACGATGGCATTGCTCACCCGATGTACGTAGCTCGTATGGGAGAAGCACGAGACGCACCCGGTCGCCTGCGTCGCCGCGCCGCTGGTGCAGATCCCGTCGTTCTTCCTCATGGCGTACAGCTGCCGCGACTTGATTCGGTCTGGGTCCGTCGCAGGCTTGGAAACCGGCGGCTTGGGCATGTACCAGAACCTCTTGGAGGCCGACCCGACGTTTCTCTTGCCAGCGCTCGCCGTCGGGTCGACCTATCTCAATTTTGAGGTTGAGTGTTGCGTGTTGAGATTGCCTTGTCACGCCATTTCCATCTCTTAGCTCATGGGCCACTCCAAGATCAAGGCATTCGACTGGCTCAAGACCAAGATTCAGTACATTCCGCTGCTCTCGTTTCCGTTCATTTGCCAATTGCCGCAGGTTCGAATCCGCGACGACAACAAACTAACGAACGACTCCGTGCAGGGTGTCTTCTTCTACTGGCTCGCGTCGTCGTGGTTTTCCCTCGCCCAGTCGCGTCTTCTCAAGGTCCCCGCACTGCGCGCGACGCTCGGCCTCAAGGAGATCCCGTCGGCCGCCGCGACGCTTTCCAAGACCCTGCAGGACGCTGTCATTAAGGCGCCCAAGTAGCTTGAAGTCGCAGCTGTACTGCAGCATCCTCCGGGACCTTCATCGCACCTTAACGACACTCGGATCTCAACACCCCTACCCCTCGTTTTATCTCACTTCCGTCTGGATCCAAGGACGACGGTGTATATAAAGTTAGTAGATTAGTAGTTTAGTGTAGACAGAAACAGAGGGGCACGGCGACACAGAAAAAGGAGGTGGAGGTCGTTTACGCTTCGGCGACGGGTGGCGCCGGCCTTGTCCAGTGGGCGACCTCAGGGTGGAACACGGCCACGTCTTCCAAGAGCAGGTCCACAAGCGCGTCTTTCGTCAGCCTTTCGTCCGGAATGTCAAACTCAAAATCAAAAGGCGGCGACGCGTGAATGTCGGCGGGGTCGTAAAAGGCTTGCAAATACGGGTGTTGCAGCGCGTCGAGCACTGAGATGCGCTTCTCCGGGTTGAAGACCAGCATTTGCTTGAGAAGGTCGACCGCCTAACCGACCAAATTGAGCACCAAGTCGAGCAAAATCGAGAAAAATCTAAGTACCTCGGGGTTGGCGCTTGGAAATGCGTCGTCGAGCTTGGTCGCCTTGTAGATGGGCAGCTTGGTCAAGAAGCGGAGCGCCTTGGCGTTCTTGACAAACTCAATTTCTTCTTGCTTGGGCGTGCCCATAAACTTGATGATGAGCTTGAGCTGGTGGATGTAGTCGTTGCCTGGAAAGAGCGGCTCGCGTTGCATCATTTCCGCCAGAATGCACCCGACGGCCCTACTCGTCTTGCTTGCAACCGTGCACGTACGAAGGATCCACGTGCATACCACATGTCGACCGACTCGGTGTAGTTGAGGCAGTTGAGCATGATCTCGGGCGCACGATACCAGCGCGTGACCACATACTCGGTGAGCTCGGCGTTTTCGGGAAACCCGCCCCGGGCCAAGCCAAAATCACAAATCTACGACAATGATGCACATCAGAAACCAAATCGAGGCTGGTATCAAATGTACCTTGAGGTCGCAGTTGGAGTTGAGGAGGATGTTGGACGGCTTCATGTCACGATGAATGACACCTAATGTCAGCACATCTCAGCCTCCCAGATCTTATCGCTCGAAAAAATGAAGATCGACTGAAGCGTACCGGCCGAGTGGATGTGGTGCAAGGCGCAGAGGATCTGGTACAAAAAGTACTTGATGTGGTCGTCCGACATGGGCTGCATCGAGTAAATCACTTGGTGCAAGTCGGTCTCCATGAGCTCGGCAATGATGTACATGTCTTCAAACGCATCGCGGGACGGCGGCGCCGGCACGTCGAGCAACTTGGTGATGTTCTTGTGCGAAAAATGGCCCAAGAGCCGCGTCTCGCGCAGAATCCGCTTGGCGTCGACGAGGTCGTCAAAGATGCTTGCAATCTTCTTGATCGCGACGCTTGATCCATCCATGTGGTTCTTGGCAGCAATGACCGCACCGTACGCGCCCGTGCCAATGGGCTTGAGGAGCGAGTACTTAAGGTCGAGCGTGAAGAGCTGGCCGCTGGCGCTGAACGAGTGCACGTTGGCGCGGCTCAGGTACCCGTTGCGCGTGAGCCCTGGCGCGACGCGGGCCACTACAAGTCGTCCTCGCGTTCATGCCATGCGAAAGAAGGTGATCCTATGTACCGTTGCCTTTGGGCTTGAAGACGCGGTCGTGCATGACGGTCGGTGCGGGCGGCGACGTGATGGTCCGGACGTCTTCGACAGCCTCCGGGCTCTGCATCTCGGGCGTGTAGCCGGTCTCGTCGTCGTTGTCGCCATTGTTGTTGTTGTCGTCGTCGTCGTTGTCACTTTGGTTGGTCCCGTTGGCATCGCTGCTGCCGTCGTACGACTCGAGCTCGTGGTCCTTGGCCGCGCTGCTCGACCGCAGCTTGTGGTCGCTGCGACGATAATCGCTGTTGTTGTTGTTGTTGCAGCTGGACAATCGGTCGTCGAGGAGGTCGGCCTCGAGCGCATCCACGGTATCGTCGCCACGTGGTAGTGCATGCAACGACGCGGCCGGCGGTGGGATCGTGGCGCTGCGGATGACAACGGGCGTGCGCGCTTCGGTGGGCAGCGCGTGGGTCGCGACGTCGCGGCCGGCGCTCTGCATGGACGACGACGGCGTGCGCCCGACCTCAAAGATGGCCGTCTCGAGCGCGCCCAGCCATTGCTCGAGTGCGCGGGCTTCGCGCGTCGCGAGGCGCAGCGGGTGGTTGTAATGCGGGCGCAGCAGCTCCATGACGTACGGGCAGCGGGACTCGGCGCAATCGCTAATGTCACGTACGATGTCGTCTTTCGAGAGTAGGGTTTCGCTGAGCAGCGTCAAGTCGGTCGCACTCTTGTATTGACAGAGCGACCATGTGTCGGAGCGCAAGATAAAGTACGTGGGCTACAGCCATCATCATCAGCGACACGCAATGCTCTTCATGGTTCTACCTTGGTCGGGAAGTACTTGCTGTGCGAGAGCTTGGTCAAAGCCCCTTCCATGAGCACGACCTCGTCCGAGAAGTGCATGTTGCCCGGCTCGTCCTTCTTGAAGAGCCGCGCCAGCGTCGTCTTGTGGCGCGTCGCAAACATGCGCCGGCCACCGCTGTCCGAGATGCTGCTGCCATGGCTTGGGCGTCGCATGCTGCTGCTCGAGTCGTTACGATTCTAGTCGGAGCCTGCGCCGACCAGTCGACCGTCTTGGTTTCAGTATGCGCCCGGTATCTTGCGAGATCTTTCCACCTTTTTGGCCAATCGCATCGCGCGTGGCTGCAATTCGCCTAATCAGTACCGAATCTCCCCAATAGCTGGGACAAACGTCCCGCAGTGGCACGGCTGCGATCACCACCAAGGCGCGAAAAAAGCAGCGTGCCAGCCCATCACACTCTGGTGTGAATATCATTAGGGTGGTGCTGAGCTGTGGTGCTGTGCGATATACTTTTCTCAGGACGTCGCAGCACCATGCGTACGACGGCTGCCTGGCCGCTCGCTCCATGGAGCAAATTTTGACCGTCGTGCGAGGAGGCAAGGCCCAATGACGCCACGGACGATAGGACGACACAGCACGCACAGAGCGTACCACGCTGCAGGCTACATGAATGCGCGCTGGAGACAAATCAACCGCGCACGCTCCATGCAACCCGTGCGCGCGTTTTGCAAGCAACCGACTTCAACGTGAAACCACGTGGGACAAACCTGTTTTGCCCAACGGGAACATACTGCATCGGCGAATTCGTCCTCGGCATTGACCAATCACAGGCGCGGGGGCTTGTTATTCGATTTTTCACATCCGAACGTCAGCAGGTGGCGTTGCTAGGATGTGCTTGTTGGCTCCTCGAACCCGCGGGGCTCCTATCACATTTCGAGCAGACTACATTGAGAAGAGGAGCTAGCTGTAGCGTACCGCCCCAACGCACTAGACTATTACATATACTAATACATCAAAACGACGTCAGTACCGGTACTTGGAATGTCAACGGCGAGAAGCACGACAGGGTGGGACGGTTTTGCTTCGGCGAGAAGACGCGTGGCGATCGTGGCTGTACTGCAACGCATATGTTTTCGGCAGTTGCCACCCTGGTTCTCTCTGGTTCGACTGCGGGTCTTATTCTATAGCACTGAAGGCGTAGGGACGTCCTCGTGGCAGGGGGATACAAGTGCCACGTAGAACTCCTTGGTGGCGGCTCGCTCCCAGGCGCGCGAGATGCTACTATTGAAAGCAACGGCCGCGACGGCTGTTACTGCTTGAAGTTGACGCGGGTGCAGGAGATGCGCCAGATGGCGATCTTCGCGGTTCCTACTGGCTCGCGCCCGCGATCGAGGCCGATGACACGCGTCTGCCATTGTACATTTCGTGTGTCTTGGCAGAGGACCCGCTGCGAGACATCATCCTCTTGAACGTGCAGGCCAAGGTCCTTCGTGGCGTAGTCGTCCTCGGCGGCGTGGAGGACGTCGATCGATCTCGCGCCGTGCTGGAAATCGAAGCACGAGGAGTAGCCGTACTTGGCAGCAGCGCATGGACGAGTAGCCAACGCATTACGACACGCCGTGATGCAACGGCGTGTGGACACCGCGTTGGGTTGAGCAAGCGGCACCGTTCCGATCGAATACACAGAGGAGGCGCCTGCATGGACGCCACACTCGTACCTACTGTACCAGCTTGGCTCGGATCGTTGCGAGAGACTGTTGTGCTCGATACGCAGGCTGTCCATTCTGTTTTGAAACAGCATGTCGGAGGGAAACAGTGGCTTCGGGAACGTATGGGCGAGAAGCACAGACGCTACTCGCCTCGAGACCGTCCTCATATGGGGTGGACATGTACCTTTATCGATGGATTGCACCCAGTGCCCTTCTCGTCGACGCAACCTTACTACATTTTGTACACTTGCAACTTGGTGCGTGATGGCACCACGTCGCCGCGATACAGTGTAATGCGCCGAGACAGCGTCCAAAGCGATCTCCATGGTCGACGCGCCACGTGTCTCCAATCAGATCGCCATGTTCCGCGAAACGTTATCTTTTTGCCAGTTTCAAGTTTGAGTCGGAACTGGAATTGATGGCCAAGCGACCTCGCCAGCCAACCCGGCAACCTGAGCCAGACCGCTCAGTGCGTGTCGTCGACCAAGGACGTCCTCTCGCTCCTGCAGGCATTTGCACTTTCAACGCTCGCCGAGCAACTCGTGTTGACGTCTCTGTCCCTGGCCACGGATTTGAGTTTGAACCACTCGTGTGTCGAGATAAGGATCACATCAACGTACTCGCTGGCCTCGGCCAAGACCTTTGGGCTTGAACGCGTATCGGCTGTCGACAGTAGAGCCTTGGTGCCACCGATTCTTATCATACCGCCGCCACGCACATGGGCATAGATGACGCTTGCAACGGTGCGAGGCTTGCTTGATGTCGCTCTGGCGCAATACGCAGCTGTTCTTTGCCCACGAAATGACCGCATCGACACCGACAATGACTCGCCTTAACATTGGATCCATTCGCACTTCTACTGTTTCTCGAGCGCTGGACCTTGCGATCGATGGTCGACGTGCCATCGGCATCCTGCAATTACCAGCGAGCGCTCCGTGCACTCGGACGGCGATCGTCTTGGGCTTCCTACGTCGCCTTCAAAAGATTGTGCTGCAATTGGTCCGGTCCGTACACTGGGGCGACAAGTCCGTCGTTTGAACCGGTATCTTCGGCTGCCGTATGAATGGCCGCCGGCGTCCGTCGCGGTACCCTCCACGCAATGCGTCTTGAGGCATATCGAGTGCTCTTGGAAGCTCGCGCGTCTGCCTTCAAGTCACTTGTCGCCGCAAGCTCTTGACGACCGAGTCTCTTGGTTGGCTGCGACCACGCTCCATCTGCGTTGCCTCCGAGGCCATGGCAATATCGCTTTTGGATGGCCACCGTCCTGTAAAAGGGTCATTGGTATGGACAGTTTGCATCGAGGCGCTGGAGCCGGTGGCTCCATGTCGTACTAGAAGATATGGTGCGGAATGACACTTGCTGCAGGACAATCGCCTTGTGTTCGACGACAGTGCTCGCAGGTGCTGCCATGCGACCGCACCGAAAGCATTCAAACCACAACCTACGACGACCTATTACAACTGCAGCACAGAATCGTCCTCTGTTTTAGCGTGTTTTTACATGTATTTTCTTGACTTTCCGGCATATTTAGTGCAATTGCATTGTTGTCAAGCATGGAGTTCCTCGTGCCAGCGTTCCAAAGCCTCTGCGCGTCGGGCGTGCTGCAGCGTCAAGCACCCGACGAGACGTGCTTGGAGCGGCAGATCCGTCGCCTGCGTCTGCGTCTCGACACGGACAACGTGTTGCCGCTCGACGTGGTGCTGGAAAGTGCAAACATACGTCTCGAGGAGCTCGAGACCGAGATGCGCAAGCGCGCAACGCCTATCGAGTGGGTCATCACGGCCTACCGCCCAGCGACGACCGACACGCGCTCGAGCACGCTCGAACCATGCCCACGTGCGGAGCCAGCGCTGCGTCAGCCGACAGGGTCTGACGGGCCTGTTCGGTACCTGGTCGGCGACGCCGAAGACGCTGTGGCCTTTCGCGTCACGGTCCCTGCCGAGCCACCGCAGTTTGGCCCACCGCCCGAGCGTGTCCCACTGAAGTGGGCGACGGCCGTGGCCGCGTCGACGCCGAGCCCGCCGCCGTCGTTGAAGCCAAAAGCACCGGCGCAGCCCGCGACGCGCGTGGCGGCCCGGAAGATACATGGCACGGCTTCTACGACAGCGCCAAAGAGTGTCAAGTCCCGCAGCCTCGTCGCCAAGAAGGCCGCCAGCATCGGCCGGCGTCGGGCCGACCTCTGAAACCACACTGGTTCGACCTCTCACAACCTATAGTATCGTAGATCTTATAAGATCCCATCGGAGGATAATGACCACGTCGAGCCTTGCACTTTAAGAGCACGGCCAGTACCTCGCATGCTGGCGCTGCAACGCAAGCACGACAAGGAAGCTTGCTTCATGCACCGGGTCCCGCCGTCGTATCCGCCTTGGTAGCGGAATGCACCGCCTGTCCACGGTCCACGCTGTAGCAACGAATCGATAGGACCTTGGCAACGACGTCCGTGTACTTCATGGCATCTACATGCTCCGGTTCACATCGGCACGTCTATGGCTCCTGCGACGAAGTCACTGCATCGCCGCCAGCGCATCGAGCACGCACTCGGACGTGGCAGCCGGACAAATTAGCGTGCATTTTGACCAATCAGCGCCCGGATGGCCAATTGGGCCGTTCAGCCAATGGCATCGCGTGGGGGTTGCAGCCAACCATACAGCAACAGCTCGACCGACGATGGACGCGTTCCAGAGCCTCCAGCAAGGCGCTTCGTTCGACACGAAGCGCTTCAAGTCGGACATCAACCTCTTCAAGAGTATGTCGTCCTCCTGCTACGTCCCTAAGCGAACGATGTTCGTAGATGCCAAGAAGAGCGGCGCGATCGGCAATGGCGTCGCCAACACCAACATTGGCGAGCTCGACTTCTTTGGCTGCAACGCCGCGTACGTCTGCCTTGACATCACACTGTTCTTAGCGATATGTAGGCCTGCGCCGGCGCCCAAGAAGCCGCACCAGCGTGCGCGCACGTCTAGCATCGATGTGCCCAAGTGGGCCGGCGGTGGCGAGGCCGAGCCCAAGCGCAAGGAAGGCAGCAAGCAGCGCCGGAAGCGCAAGCTCAGCGAAGACGCACTCGCTGAAGAAAAGGTGGCGCAGGCCGACCGCCTCGCCGCGTCGCGCCTCCTGGCGCCGTCGACCAAGTCCAAGAAGACCAAGCCGGCCAAGCGCGCAGGTTGGATCGTTCCTGTGCATGGCTCGTCTCAAGTACGCGGCTGTGTCTAGCGCCATCGTCGTCGTCGTCCAGCGAGAGCAGCTCTGCCGAAGACGAGCAAGACGAGGATGACGACGAAGAGGCCAGCGACGACGATGATGAAGAGAATGTCAACGTCTTTGGCAACACGGTGACTGCCGATGAGAGCGCCGCGCCGCGCTCCAACCACGCGTATGTGCTTGGAGTCATTGAAGTGAGGATCGGGCTCATGCGTCTCGTACTTACTAGCGACGACATCAAGCAGCTCCGGAAGCGACTCAACATTTCGACGTGGGGCACCATGGTGCCAGACCCAATCGTCGAGTTTGCCGACATGGCCGGTGCCAGCAGTCTTCGGTCGACGCTCCTCGCCAACGTGGAGGCGTCGCAATACAAGAACCCGACGCCCATTCAGATGCAAGCGATTCCGGCGGTCCTGAAGCGCCGCGATGTGCTTGGTATTGCGCCGACGGGTCGGGTAAGACGGCTGCGTTTGCGATTCCGATGCTCTTGAACTTGGAGTGCCCGCGCCAGGACGTACGTCGCTTGTGGCATTGTCTATTGGTGTTAACTTTCAATGTGTAGCAAGGCATTCGGTCGGTCGTGCTCGTTCCGACGCGCGAACTCGCGGTGCAAATCCACGCCGAGTTTCAGCGCCTCAGTGCCGGGCGCAAATTTCACATTTCGCTGCTCTCCAAGGCCAGTGCGTCGACCATGGCATCGCATGCCAAGTACGTCAATGTTTCTGCATTTCTGCATTTTGAATTTTGAATTTTGCATTTTGGATGTTTGATACATGGACATTGAAAATGGTATGAAAATAGGAACTGCACGGTCAACTATGACGTGGTGATCGCGACGCCGCTGCGCCTCGTGCATCTCATTACCGAGAGCGCGTTGGCCCTCGACAAGTACGACACATTATTGGAGTTGAAAGGATTGAGATTCGGATTAGGGTGGACATGATCTGCTTGGACGAAGCCGACCGGCTTTTTGAGATGGGTTTCGTCGAGCAAATCGACGAGGTGTTTGCGGCGTGCACCAACCCGTCGCTCCAGCGGATGATGTTTTCCGCCACCATGCTCGAGGTATATATATTTTTTCATTTTTGCACCCAATATTTGTACATTATTCTGATTTCATGTTGTGAAAAATTAGGGTGTCGAAGAAATGGCCCAGAGCGTGCTCAAGGACCCGATCAAGGTCGCGATCGGTGTCAAGAACGCTGGCGCCAACACGATCAACCAGCGCCTTTTGTTTGTCGGCAAGGAAGAAGGCAAGCTCGTGGCCATGAAGCAGCTCATCCAAGAGGTATCCTTGGCACTCAAAAGCGACATTTTGATTTGTGGATTCCCAACATTTACGATTAGGGCTTGAAGCTCCCGGTGCTCATGTTTGTTCAAAACAAAGATCGTGCCAAGGAGCTCTTCCACGAGCTGGTCTACGACGGTATCAACGTTGGCGCGATCCACGCCGACCGTACCAAAGAACAGGTTTGGCTTATTTTAGTAAAAAGGCTATCGAGACGCATGCTTTTGTGTCTAGCGCGACAAGGTCATCAAGGACTTTCGAACGGGCTCGGTGTGGGTCCTCATCTGCACGGATCTCATGAGCCGCGGTATTGACTTCAAGGGTGTCAACATGGTCATCAACTATGATTTCCCTCAGGTACCACCGTCTTTCTCTATATTGTATAGTCGCATGTCTCATAACAATAATGTGCTAGAGTGCCGTGAGCTACATCCATCGCATTGGTCGTACGGGCCGCAATGGCCGCAAGGGCGAAGCCGTCACGTTCTTCACGGAAAGTGACATGGTACGATTTTGATATTGAGATTCGAATGTGGAGTTTTGAGATTCACTTGTGTAGATGTATTTGCGCACGATTGCCAACGTCATGAAGCTCTCTGGCTGCGACGTGCCCGATTGGATGCTCGCGATGAAGAAGGCGAGCGTCCGCCAGCGCAAGCAGCTGCTCAAGGCGCCGCCGCAGCGTCACCGCATCGAAACGGTCTCTGGCTACGATCTGAAAAAGGCGCACAAGCACAAGTACAACATTGTCTATCGCTTGCAGGACAGGTTTCAACAACATGACTAGGCTCATGAAGCAGCACACGGCCAAGAAGAAGACCAGCAGCGCGGACAACGATGCGAATGATGCATAGACCGTCATGGTCCCTTTACTCTTAAGCTTCTCTACACGATGCCACGCTGCATGTATCAACTTTGTTTCAAGTTGCATCGTCCGAGTGTGTTTACCCCTCGACACGGTGTTAAAGTGGCGGACGCCCTCGCTGCAGACAGCTCTATTTCATGACATCTCCACGAAGCACCATCGCCTCGATACATGGTGTCTTGACCGTTCGCCCCAACACAACGCCTGTTACTGATGGTCGGATCGGCGCATTCTGCCACGTGGCGCCAATCACATGGCGCGAAAGATTCGTTTTCATCCAATGGCATCGCGTTTGGCAGTTTCATTCGTCTGCCAGTTGGCATTTTGGCCGGATTGATCCAAATTGTATCATGCATCGTTCCACCTGAAGCGACGAACGTGTGAATCGTCCGAGTTTTGTGGCCGTCGTCCGACAGTCGGAGCTGCAGCGTCGACGCAAGCTGGACAATCCCTTGACGCACATGACGTCGGTTGTCTACCACCTCGGTCGTGACGCCAGCACGTGGCTTGCACTTCCAAGAGCTCTTTCTAGGACACTATTGCCTTAAAGATGAAAACAAACGGCGTTGACCGATGCGTGTACTCGAGCGCCATCACGATGGCGACCACACTCGAGGCCTCCACACTGCAGTGCAATGCAACGTCACGGGCTCTTGGCGCGATGATCGGTGGAGGTAGCGACCTAGCTGCAGCGGCTTGGTCCGCACCGTCTGGATCGAGTGCAATGCGATGGTCTCGAGGCATGGCGACTGCATGGCCCAATCGAGAAGAGGAAGACAAGTGTCGTCGTCGTCGTCGTCGAATACACAATCGATGAGTTCCAATACCCGGAGTTGGCGCGGACTCGATAGCCTTTTTGGGACCTGTTGGAGTCGACAAGAGCTCGCGAAGGGCACCAATTCGTAGCAAAAATGCAGAATGAACGCTCCGGTCGTATCGTTGTCTGTACAGAGGTAGAATTCGTAGCGTGCTGACGGATTGATCACGTTGGACTGAAATGCCTCGACTTTGACGTCCGCGCCCGTCATTCGTGATGCGGGGCAGATGCATGGCGGCGTCGACCAATCCTTGGATAACATCGTCGCGCACTTGAGCCCAAGGCTCGTAAGTGACAAGGTGGCAGCGATGGAACGTGCGAACCGCGTGTCGTCGACCGATCGAAAGTCGACAAGCTCCAAACGCTGTGCACGGCCCGAGGCGAGCCATGTTGCAAGGACTGCGAGCCAGCTTTCACAGAAGATGGCGCTTCCCTCCGCGCCAAAGAGCTCCATCTGTGTGACGAATGGCGCGGCGCAAGTGACCGCTGTGAGAAAAGCCAGCTCCGAGAGGTGCACCTCCATAGAGGCGGCCGAGGCCCGTACTGAAACGGATCATGCAAGCGAGCGCGTGGCCATCGAAGCTGTTTTTCAGTTGCAACCACGATGCGACTTCAATCGACTTGATTTGGTGGCCCCACTGGGCTGCAAACGCAAGAGTCGCATCGGCACCATGCTCGTCGGGGCTCGCGGGCCGCAGAACATGGACGAGCTTGGAGGGATCTTGGATCCGACTCGAGCGAAAGGCGGCCAGCGCAGTGAGCACGGTCGATGTGTACCGGCTATCAAAGTCTTCAATGCAGACCTGTGGCCTGAACACCAAGGGAGTCGACACAAGGAGCGTGTGAAGAGCTGACAACGGTGCATCAAGCGCATCTCGTGGAAGCGCCTGAAGCAGCGCGAGAACGCTCCCTTAGGGCAAGTACTGGGCAATATGGATCAAGATACCAGCGTAGCCGAGCGTACTCGGGCCCACGCATGCACGCTTTGCCATGTCGAGGCTGCGTGCCAAAGATAAATGTGCACATATATTCTGCATGGTGATTGGGTACTTTTATCGAAGCGATGCATTTTGATTGGCTTTACGTGGCAGTCCTGTCTTCTCGTGCCACTGCCAACCTATGATAGGTCGCCCATGTTTGTCATGCAAGTGCGTCCATGGGTGTAAAGTATAGACCAGTATATGTTATGCATCAATTCTCATTCCTCAGTTCGTTCAACCACCTCGAGCGACGTGCCACTAGTGAAGCTTTTGAATCGTCAGCGTCCGGTCGCTGCCATCCGACAGTTGAAGCTGCAGCGTCGACGCAAGGCATGCGATCTCGTCGCGCATCCCAATTCGGAGTTCGACCACCTCGATCGCAACACCAACGCACGTGAGAAGTGCGTCGAAGAGTACCTTGTAAGACGCAACGGTCATGGTCTCATCGCGCAGATGCAGTACAAACGGTGCAGACCGACGCGTGTCACAGAGCGCCATGGCGATGGCAAGTACATTTTTTTCTTCGACCGTGCAGCACTGAAGTGAGACGCGATGGACGCTGGACGCGATCCATCGACGCAGGTAGCGCCCACACTGCAACGGTTCGGTTCGCACCGTCTCGGTCGCGATGAGCGTGACGGTCTTGAGGCACGGTGACTGCGACGCCCACTCAAGAAGCGCCAGGCACGTGGCATCGTCCATGCCACAAGCCTCGAATTGAAGGACTGTGAGATGGCGCGGCGCCGGCGTCGAGTCCAATTGGTCAACCCAATCCATCACGCAGCCCGTGAGCGAGAGCTCGCGCAGGGCCACAAGACGCGGCAGCAGCTCAAGAAGACACGTGGACATTGGTATACCTTCGGCGGCCAGGTCGAGCACCTGCAGCGTCGAGAGGTTGACGCATTTCGTCAGGAACCCTTCAATGCCAGAGATTGTGTGGAGGCACAGTTTGGTCATATTGAGCAGTGGTGCGGCAACATTGGATAACGCTTGGAGAACGTTGTCGGCCTGCCAGAGCGTGAGGCTCGTGAGCGATGCGGCGGCGGCAATGCACCGCGCCAACTGAAGGTCGTCGGCCGATTCGAAAAAGAGAGTCCGAGGTTCTCTGCGCGGCCAGACGCGAGCCACGTTGTGATCGTCGAGAGCCAGCGCACACGCATGGATGTGTCTTTGCCGATCCCGAGGAGCTCCATGCGCGTGACATACTGCGCGGCAGCAGTGACTGCTTCGAGAACGGACGGATCGGACGGCTCACAAATATGCACTTCGTCGAGGCCGGTGCAGGGACGAAGAATGCGGGCGAGCGCACCGTTGTTGTTGCCCTGTTGGAAGTACGACATGTCGATGGACTTGATCTTGTGCCCCCACTTGGCCGCGAGCGCAATTGTCGCGCTCCCATCGGCGCCATATTCCTGGCTCCCGGCTCGCAGCACCTCGTCGAGCTTGGTCAAATCGTTGATGCGAATCGAGCGAAAGACCGGCAGCGCCGTGAGCACGGTCGAAGTGTACCGGCGATCAATTTCTTCAATGCAGACCTGCGGCCACTGGTCGGCTTTCAAGGCAGTCGGCAAGAGCGTCCGGAGTGCAGCCAACGGCGCATCGAGCGCATGACGTGGCAGCGCCTGCAGCAGCGCGAAGACATCGTTGATCGAGGACAAGCACTGGACGATGTGGAGAAGGATGTCAGCATCGACGACCGAGATTGGCGCCACGCAAGCTCGCTTGGACATGAACGCGCAAGCGTTTCTGCGTTGATAAAAGTTGAAACGAGCTTTAACACCAGTCCTCTTCGCAGAGTCGATCCCAAGCCAACAATGGGCCAGAAGCGGAAAAGCCGTTTTTTCCGTTCATTTCCTTGTGGCTTTCGAAAGCAACAATGAAATGAAGGGAAATCGGTCGACATGGAAATCGTAACTTTTGCCAACTACACACTTCACAAGTATGTAGATGGAGAACGCTGCAACAAGAGGGGCTATCGGTACATGGGTTCTTGACTACTATAAATCTCGCAGTCAAACCGTGGCGGGGCTCGTTTCGATGGACTGCCGGGCTACGTCGTTCGCTGTCGTGTTCTACCATGGCAGGGGTACTACCTGTGTCGCGTTCTATCATGGCAGGCCCCTGCCATGATACCGGTAGAACGCCCAGGACATGGATTCGGAGGCGCATTTAATCGGACCTAAAGTCCCTCTAAAATGCGTTTCATGAGTTCGAACTTAATAACGGAAATGCAAAAAAGACGCGCTGCAATTCGCTTGCAGCTTCGTGGCGAGAAACCAACGACCAACATTCTGGAAGCGCCAAATAGGGGCACGAGGATGAGACTGGCGTGGTTGCACGACGGGAGGTACCCTATGTGTGGTGTTCCTTTCTACAACGTGGCCTTATCGTCGAGCTACTTGATCTCCCATGCAACTCCTTCATAAACGTTTACAATTCCTGCACTTTCAAACCGCGGCAGCGCTCGGGTTGGTAGACCAAATGGATGCGCCATTGGCTTTATAGTACGCTTTCGCGGGCATGAGCAAGGCTCATGTCGCTAGCCCGACTGAGATGCGACCTCGGCCCCCAGATGAGTGCGATGCGCCGCCAGTCGGATGAGCATCCGACTGAAGAAAGGATGGCGTTTGCGAAACAGTTCGTAAAGAACCTCGGTGTCATGATCATCCATGCCGACCTGGAGCTGCGGCACCAAGCCAGACCCGCGTTTTGATTCACAGGATCTGCATTCCGTCGACGTTTTTGGACGCGATAAATGAATTTAAGAGCACCCTGCCTTCAATGGTTGGAGAATACGAGCGAGCTTAGGTCACTGGAGTGACCAAGCGGGATACATGTAGTGCCATTTCTCCTATTTGCGCAACAATGTGTTGCGCTGGGGCGTGACGAGCCGATGGAGATTGCAAATACTATTTGTGAACCGATGGGATGAATTACATCTTCATCCAACTCGTCGATCTACCTGTGCGAAATCGGGTACTGTACGGCACGTGTCGAAAGACTGGTCAAGCCTCAGCAGTGCCTTGCTGTGCCTGCAGTGCTGACGCAGCTTTGCTAGCACCACGATAGTAAGCATGGACAGGATACAGTAGTAGGGAAAGAGAGTACAGTGCACAACAAGTCTATTACCAAGGCCATACATTTACGCCTTGCTATTACTAATACTAGTACAAATCATGTTGTCTACGAGTCGTTTTTATTTGTCCGCTGGCATAGCGCAAGCAATACGGCGCACATGCTGCTGCCACATTTACGAGAATGTCGTCTGTACCTGAATATTAGGTTATGCAATTAATGCACTGCTCGTAGTTGGAGTACATGTAGGACAAGGGTTCTTCAGGATAAGATCGTAGTGCCATCTTAAAGGCACCACAATTCAAGCCCGAGGCCACTTATATATATCAACGTGTTCCGCGTTATCTTCTTTACAAAGAGTTCGTATACGTAGCCACTTGGTCGACGAAATAACGTTTGGGATGGAATCGTCCCTAGTTGACATGTCGATACAAGACACTTCTTTGGACAGCAGAGCAGACCATGATATGCCACCTCTAGGCTGCAATAGTGGCCTCGGGCACAATGCGCCCGATGACCACCGTGTCGAGCTCTACGAGTTCGCTGTGCCCCAAAAGGAATAGAGTTGTTTTAGAAGATCCATGTAGTCGTTCTCGAACACTACAAAGCGCACTGGTCTCTTGACGCGTCGCTGGTCGCTCTCTGCGACGACCCTTGGTGTGCACGCTACCTGGTCCCCTCGCACAATCTCGAATCACGACCACTAACGCTCCTCGCTGACGCACCGGCCAGGCCTCACGAGCGCATTAGGAAGTCCACCATATCTATATAATTGCATGTAATATAACTCAGTTCAACAACAACAAAGCGCACTGGAATGCAATCGGTCCAACCGCTTGCACGAACGCAATGCTCAAGACGGCTTGAACGTTGTTGTTGTTGTTGTCGTTGTTGGAAGACATTTAGGAACGGAGGAAAGGCCTTTTGGCACAGCGTAGATGGACGAATTTCAAATGGTTGTGAAGTTGCTATAAGACCCTTCGTGTGCGTGTCGTCGAGTTGGGCGAGCGATGCGAGCATGTCTTCGCCTACTTGGTATTGGAGCCGTACGTCATCAACACAAACAGCTTTTGATGTTCAATTACTCCTGCTCCAGGCGAGTATTACCAGTCGACGCGGCGTGAGTGTGTCGCCGTGGACGTTCGTTTTGGACAAAATAAAAAGGGTCATGAAGCTAAAAAGGCGCAATAAGGCTCATCAAATGCAGAGCTGCCTGCAACTCAACTTACTGCTGTAATGCTGTGAGAACGTGGAAGATTGCAAGTGCGTTTGCTGCCAAGAGACCGAAGTCATCAATTCTACACCACCGCTATTTAAAGTATTTAAAACACGCGTGGCGTATTGAATTGCTAGCTCACACGGCCTTTTGGCCAAGACGCGAGGGCATCTGCATGCGGCAACCTCGGCGCCAGATTGGTGCCATCTCGGCGTACGGAGTTTTCCTCGGAATCCTCGGAAGCCCCTCCTTTGTCTCCGGATACGGGTGGTCGTGCGCAACCTTGATTGGTTGTCAAAGCACTGTTCCGTAATTGTCTCCTCCAATTGTCATGGCCGAGTATGTACTGCTTTTGTAGAATAGGCCGAGCAGGACTTTCCTGTGAAAAATGAGTTTTTCACATCTCCCACACGGTGAAAACCACGCGCCAGCTGGTGATATTTTCTAAAATTTGTATCTTGTTTTGTGTATAGAAGGTAAAGATAACGCGGCGCGGATCAGCATTCGAATAAAAAAGTACGATAAAGTACGATTTTTTACGCACTTTATCGCGATTTTGGCGCACTAGAACGGGCCGCATCTAAAAAAGACACTTGAAAACAGCTGAAATCGTACCTAAAATTCGAGCACGCTGCCCCCCCACAGCAAGGGATCTGCACCATCCGTCTCGAAAAAACCACGCAGTGGTTTTTTCGCAGTGAAATTAGGTTTCCCACCGGTAATCATACCTTCTCGGCCTTTTGGCTAATGGGCAAACGGGTGTATTTGACTTTAAACCCTAAACACTGCTTTTGTCTACAAATTGGTCTCATGCATACCTTGCTCTTCCTTGGCGGGTCGCGCGAACGATAAATAGTCAATGGACGCGCGCCGCTCCGTCAAGAGACTGGGGTGTGGGGGCCGAAGCCCCTGAGCCCTTCGATGTAGTTGTTGAGCAGCACCCATCTTGATCACGCGGGAAACGCGTATCGGAACGAGTCGCGGAGGTTGGCGTAAGCTGGTTGCGCGAGCAGGTGGTCGATGACTTGACGGAGCGCGTCGATCTTGTCGTCGGATGTGTTGCCGGGCCGGAGCCAGTGTCGAACGTGGGAAAGCCAGCGAACGACGGTGACGCCAAAGACGTACGTGGCTCGCGGCGGGCGGCCGTCTTCGTACTTGACGCGGTTGCGCAGCGTCCAGAGTTGGTGGAACATGACCATGATGAGGCCGAGCCCCAAGGACTCGATGTGCTCCCGGGCAAACTCCCACTCGGGCAGGGGCTCCCAGTCGTCGATGACCATGCACGTGTGCCACGACAAGTTGAGGCCAAGCGTGCGCCATGGGGTGGCATGCATCGCCCACAGCGGTTGGACGTGAGGGCACAAGAAGAAGAGATGACCACTCGTCTCCAGGCCATGGCAATCGGGGTACGGGCAAAACGCAGAATCGGGCTGCGGCATGAACCACAAGCGAGAGTTTGTCGGCAAAATGTGGAAGAGACACCGGAACCATACGTCGTACTCCACCGGCATCGCATGCCGCTTGCTGCGGCGAACGAGTTTGACGTACTCGTACAAGTCGTCCGGCGGCCGTGGCTGCAGACGTAGCATCGGATGCTCACGATCCAGACTTGGCCGCGACGATGCGACGGCTTGAAGAATGGACTTGGGCCAGTGGGCAAGCGTGACAAACGCCTGCTTGTCCGGCATCGGCCATACCAGCGGGCGTGCCGCGAGCTGTGGCAACGGGTGACCCCATGGCGTGCGCAGCGCGGCCCACACTTGTTGCGCCACGACTGTGAAGCGCTTGTACAACCACGTAAACGTCGTCGGCGGGCTGTCGTAGGTCTGGGCATGGATCTCAAGGCGCAGGTTGAACTGCTCCTTGGAGGGCCACGCGCCGTTGTCGAGAATGTCCGTAAGACGTCGCAGACCACAGCGGGCGAGATGACCGTAGAAGCCGCGATGACTAAGCTCGAGCGAGAGAACAAATGCCGTCTTGCCCGTGCCTTGCGGACCTTGGAAGGCATCTAGCTGATTGAACCACAAAGGCGCGTTGGCGAGCATCGTCGGCGTGAACCCCGCCGGCGCCCGGCGCGTCGTTGGGACACGAGCCCAATGTTGCCACACATCACGCAGAAGCGGAGGCAGCTGGTCGAGGTCGAGCATCGTGGTACGCCGGTTCGGGTAGTACCAGAGAAAGTCCAATGTCGTCGCGTCATCAAAAGGGCCATAGACGTCGGCCATGGCAGCGCGTGCGAGACTTTGCCACGAACTCGTCGTTGCATCGCACGGCGCGACCCATCTCTGCAGCACGCGAAGGCGCTGCCGCGTCACGATCGAGTGGACATGCGGGATACGCAGGCCCACGAGAACGTCGAACTGCAAGCCTTGTCGAGCGAGGCTGATGTAGCGATCATGTCGGCCGATCTTCGAGCCGAGGACATACTTGGTGACCATG